CGATCTCGCCTCGAAACGAAATGGCCGTCTAGTACTTCCAGGTTTTCCATGGTGGTTTAGCCTCAATTGACTCATGATTTCAACTATAAAAAATACTGAAATCTCTACAAAACCTATTCTGATTTTAAATCTTGTTGATATTTTAATATGAATCAAATTTATCTGTTTGCATGTCACTGAAAAGTCAAAACAATGGAATATGGCATGAATTCATTTTTTTATTTTGTAAATATTTTCATTCTTATTATGCTTCAATTTGTGAAGAGGACTAAATGTTTGAATATTTATATGTGGTTTATTGTGTCTTTTCATAGTTAAGTTCTCTTTTCAAAATAAATTGGAGTCGCTCTTACATCGAACCCTTAAAGTAACAATAGCAACAAAATAAAGATATAGAAATATTGTAGTAGATGTAACTCACAAGAGTACCCATAAGTAGTATGTGAAGTCAGAATTGCAACAGTCATCAGATTGAAAGAAGACTAGTACAGCGAAAGAACGGCGTAAGCAGGACACTTGAAGACCAGGAGAAAAGATAATTCAGATTGCAGAACGCACCGAAAGATTCAAACGAATGATTGAAGTCTATGCATGTGTGTTATTTAAATTTTCTGACTGCTTTCAAAGAATCTCTGGATAAAAGTAAACTGAATACTTCCATCGAAAGCCACATCATATTTATTGTTACTATAATTCAGTGCATAGAGAGAATTCAGTTCCTATATTAGACTGTCTATAAAATATGGCTAGTGAGTAGTATTTCATTGAACAAAATGAAGTCAACATTCATTTTTATATCGGTTGTTTGAATCTACCCACTGATGTTAAAGACTGCAATTGGTCTGTTCTGAAATGAACAATAACTCTGGGATGCAGGTATGTCCTTTTGATAAGTCTCAAATAGGACGAAACTCGCATCCTGAATTCTACTTCCAGCCACCATCTATCTCTACTTAAAAGTCAACACTGTTGGATCTAAAGTTTTTATTAAAGTATTATTTACAAAACTCCACCTGTAGCTCTTCTAGAGTTACTGCCGGTCCCAAGCCCGAGTAAAGGAGGAGGGTTGGTCATGGGGTTAGCGACCCCATCCCGTAGAAAAGCTAACTCGCTAAAAAAACGCTAACCAGAAAAAATAATTCAAACCATTTAAACTCTGCTCTGGGAGTTGAAGGAATAATGACGTCTCATGATGAAAGCCGAAATTCTTCGGAAGTCACGAGACCGATGCACCTTCTAACAACCAGAGCAACACTCTTTATAGGTATATGGAACGTCCGGACAATGTGGGAGACAGGAAAGACCAGCCAAATAGCAATGGAAATGCGGAGATACAACTTGGTCTGGTGAGCGGCCTATGCTCCTCGACGAGGGGTAACAGGCGTAAGTAAGTAAGTAAGTAAGTAAGTAAGTAAGTAAGTAAGTAAGTAAGTAAGTAAGTAAGTAAGTAAGTAAGTAAGTAAGTAAGTGATTATTTACAAACTGATGGGAGTTGAATTCTAGTTCTTAATTTTTCCAAATGATGTCTAATCTGATTTTGATCTAGTATGTATGGAGGGTATGAGTTTTTTTTACAGCGATTCTCATTTTCATGTTATTGATGCTTAGGATGGCAACTGATCTGTGTCTATTGATGTATATGTATCCTGAGAACTTTATTTTGATATTGTCATTAAGCGAAAATTTTTTCGTAAAGTTGAAGTGTGACTAGCAGTGGCATCCAGACTTCTCATTCCAATATATTCGAAACTCACCAGTTGAACGTACCTACATCCTAGTCCTAATATTCACAATGAAAATCGACCCCAATATCTCTCACTATACCCACTGAGTCACTGATTCCAGGTAGTCACCATCTTATGCAACATGTATGAAATTTATTTGTAAAGGGTACAAATATATCACCAAATATTGACCAATTATTATCATTAACATCAACAACAGGATACCATAAACCCCTACAAAATTAAAATTTTAAACGTTTGTCTTAATCTAAATGCATTCTACGTATGAAGAGATGTATTAAAATTCTATATATAGAAGTCAATAAACCCCAGTGATTTAAAACAATACTTTATGCCTGAAATAAAATGGAAGAAACTTTTTTGGCCTATCGAGAACAATCGTTTCTCAATATTTTGAAAAGACAATCACTAGGTCCCAATAACTGAGAATTTTATAGTGAAACTAATTTTCTGTTATTCACTTGGTATTGTTTGTTTGAATCTTCCCATTGATCTTAAGGACTGAGTTTGAGTCCCAGAGTGAACATCAACTCTGAGATGGAGGTACATCCAGCTGACGAGTCCCAGATAGGACGAAACGCGCGTCCTGGATTCCACTGCCAGTCACTATACATCTTTGCTTATAATTTTATGTTACTTTACAATTAAAGACTTAAATATAATTATGTTGAAATTAAAATTAAACATTGAACATTGTTAAATTGTACATTTAAATTGTGTTAACAATGAAACAACCTCTGACTGTTTAATATATTATTCATAATACTATAATATTACACCATCTTAACCAAGTCTGTTGTAGAGATATCAACTCACTGGAGACAATTGGTGAACGGTTGCCCAATTTCGTGGATCGGTTGAAGTTAGACATTAACACCGTTGGATGCTGGTTCAATGATGCTAGAGGTTAAGTGATCTGGCGTGAGACTGGTAGGTTCTGGATTCGAATCTCGTGAGGCGGGATCGTGGATGTGCACTGTTGAGGAGTCCCACCATAGGACGAAACGGCCGTCCAGTGCTTCCAGGTTTTCCATGGCGGTTTAGCTTAAATTGACTCATGATTTCAACTATGAAAATAATAACATTACATTCATTTATTTGATACAATTTTGGTTGATGTAGTACTGTATCTTTTGTGACGATGAAAGTGTTCAAAGCCTAATGAACAAAACAAACACTTTTTTTATGTATATGCCCTAAACATCAGGGTAATATTTTGACATCACTGACGAAAGCAAACTTATTACTGAAAATCAGTTGTACTTCAGTTATACTGTAAAAGCATTGGGTTTGTTTAGGATTGATCAGTTAACATTAATGTTTGATTCAGTTAGAAATAAAATTCTTTAAAGCTGAAAATGGATAAAGGTCAGTTAAATTACCTCTTAAATTGTTCAAGTTTGAAGCTATTCGGTCAGCTGTCTCCGTGGACTCTAAATATTTAATAATTAAGCTACTTCATAGTAGCTCAGGCATTTCAGTGCGATAACATCAGACTATATAACTAAGCCCAACTGTTCCAGATGTTTCTATCGCAGTTTAAAAGATATTCGTACTTACGGGGACCAAAGTCTTAATTTATTTTTTCTAACGGAAGTGCGAAATAACAAAATCTCGTCAAAGAAGTGTTGCAAACGGCTTGATAAACATTATTCCTGAGACTTAGATTTTTGGTGTAAACGATCATAATAAAAGATATTTAGGTAATTTTCATAGGATAGATGATAGAAAGTTAGGTGACGGTAAAACTTTAAGCTACTGAATTGATTCATGTCACAAGAATATTTTGAGAGTTTACTACGTATATCTAGTAAAACACAGAGAAAGAACTTTCAAGGTTTGGATTTGACCTAATTAGTCAGCGGAAGAAAATTGCAAGTTATTTTCTAATCACACAGAATTACTTTTGCCTCCACCCCAAATTTAAGTTAGTGTATGTGCATCATAACAGAAAGTGTACGATTGTAATCTGCCTTCTAAATAAATACACGCGGTTACTGTGCCATCTCTATGGGAGCACCTGAATAAATAAAGCCTTAATGTAAAGCAAAATTAATTTAACGAAACCAACACCTGACCTAACTATTTTCGGCATTTTTAAGTGTTATGAAGAAGTCTAATTCCTTCTATATTATTACATAATTAACCAAAGTTAAAGTATGTTTTAAATTTTATATAAGCTTTACGTTTAAAACATTTGTCGTTGTTACATTAAAACTCACGGTATACATGGTAAGCAGAGATGGATAGTGGCTAGCAGTGGAATCCAGGACGCGCGTTTCGTCCTATTTAAGGTATTTAAGGTCCTATATTAAGGTATATCGAGGCAATACGCACAGTATGCACATATGCCAATTAGAGACTGACCAGTTGCAGTCCTAAACACATCGATGGGAAGATCCAAACAAACAATACTAAGTGAATTCACGGTATACAGTTTTTTTAACTTTTAACAGCACGATGTTACGTTTTAATGGCTCTATTTGGTAAAATCTGCCGAAAGTGTGGGATCATTTTTACTATGTAGATGTTACATCATAATAATTGTAGTTCATAGTTTCAAATAAATATGCGATGAATAGCTTCTCTAATTTCTGAAGCCTCATAATCCTCAGGGTTGGGAGAGATGATCATCTTAAAAGCAAATTTTATGCCAAATATTGGTTAGTTAAATGTTTAACTGACTATCCTGTACGAATGGGAAACTATTTTTGTCCAGAGGACACCAACTATTAGTTCATCCCTATTAAAGTAGTAAATTCGTTTAAAACATCACATTTATGAACAGAGGAAACTCTTAGATTGTCTACTGATATTTTTGGTTTATAAATTATTCCTACATTGAGTACATATATTTTTTGTCAAATAGGAACGGTATCCTTGAAGTTTACTTCATCCTAAGACCAACTAATTTTTCAATCTTATTGATGAAATGTAGAAGATTCTAAGTTGATCTTTTATTGATGTGTTAGTCTTGAAAGTGTTCCTGCAAATAAACCCCGAAATAACTAATTATGCATGTCTTCGATATTGATGCTGACCTTATCAATCTTACTGTACACACCTTAGCCGAAAGTGAGCGGTCACGCATCCGAAACATATCATATATGGGCACGTCTCGCTGTGATTCCTCACAGCTATCAAGCTGAAATCAAACGCTTCTCAACACATCGATGACTTTCTAAATATATATTTAAGCTCATCATTTCTGACTCCTGGTTTGATTGCATTTGATATCGCCCAAATATAAAAGTGTCAAGGACAAAAGAGTTGTCGAATTATGAATACCTGTGACATTTTTAAAGACTATACTAACACAGGGCTGATGTTGACTACGTATTTTGTCATTTAAGGAACATTTAGGTACCAAAGGCTAGGAAAGATGTGGTATCAGTGTATATGTTTTGATATGCATTTTTGGCAGGCAAATGTACCCCAGGTCTTAAAGAAAAATAAATTTATCAACATTCTTTCAGCTATCTTTATTTAACTTTACTCAGTGTAAATGCCTAAGAAAATAAATAAGAAAAGCTGTTTGAAGAGTTTTGTTATCACCAACGGTTGCTCCAAAGGTTTCTTGAAATCTCATTTAGAATCACAATGTCATGAAAATTTGAGCTAGGCTTTTGCATTTCCTGGTAGTTCGATTATAATGTGGTAGTGGTTCAAGTCGTACAAACTTTTGTGACTATGATAAAACATTACTAATGATGGAGTATTTGCAGAATCGTGGGACCATTTTAGTATAAAAATATAAGCTTACAAAATAAAGTATTGATGAGGAAATTACTAAAAATTCTTGTTTAATTAATATTTCAAGTGATAAATGACACAAATGTTTAGATTTTTTCAGAAACTCAAGCAACTAAAATAGTAGATTCAAACAACCACTTATCAAATTTAATCAAAGTACTTTAATAAGTAACAGCTCACAAAATATCTCAAAAACTTCTTGTGTGTACAGTTATTCTTAAAACCAATATAGACACTTCATTTTCAGTCCATGTTTATTTGAAAGTAGAATAAGGCACGATGGGGTAATAACTCTTTAAGTTCAAAGTGTTCAAAGTTTTTTGCCAAACATTTACAGTGTTATGGTTTTATACCGGGAATCAAGTTCTTTTCTTAATCACAACCGTTACATAACTTTAAAAAACAAAGTAGCTGTGGTGTTTTCATATCTATAAATAATTGTTCTATTTATAATTTGGTCGGATCGAATAATCCGCATTAGAAGAAAAGAGAATATTTTCAAAACTTCACGACATAAACCTGTGTGCTGAAGAGCTATATCTGGTAGCATTCACTGTGTTTCCAAATCAGTGTTTAGCCAAGATTTTTCTTTGTAAATAATTATGTGTAGTAAGTTATTGCGTATACATGCCTACTAAAACTAACAGAAACGTCAAAAACAGGCTTTCTGAACTTTACATACCTCAAAGTAAAATCCGACACATCGTCAAAACGTTTCAGACGAACTGTTACCAAAAATTCCTCATTTGTTTTTAATTCCCTCCTCGGAATCTGTAACAATAAACTTCTTCCTAATTCACGAATAGCATCTGGGACCGTATGTGCAATACTAACTGACGGAATAGAAACAAATGATAGCTTGGCATGATTCAGTGACAAGTGACAGAACTTAAAATTATCATGATTATCATGTTGTTGTTTGTTGTACGAATTTGAAATAAAATCCGATGACGTATATGCAAGAGTAACTTCTGGCGACTGATTCTGCTTCCAAAGAGCTTGTGGAAGTTGAATTGATGCATGGCATATCCAGTTTTCACTAAGGTGGTCGATAACTAAAACACAAGATGTCAGCTCCTTAAAGTACGAAACATTTATTGATATAATGCAACACATATTGCCCGATTCGAATCCTAATTCACTGAATTTACCATAGTAGCTCGCATGACACAGAAAATGCAACGTTTTTGTTTCTTCGCTTATCTCCGTATCAAAACTATGTACAGTCACATGAAATTTTGAATTTTTGATCAGCTTATCACCTAAGACAGTTAAAGAACTGTGCAAAAATCCTAGCGATGCATCGATCTCATAACGATCCAAGTTGCTTGCTGATGCAAAACGTATTGACGAATCATATTTGAGGCTTTGATTGTCTCTGATTAGGAAGGCAGAATCTCGCTGACCAAATGTAATATCGATCAAGTCATCTGTGTAGGCTAAAACTATAGATAACGATTATCGATTTTATGATTTACCTCTCACAAAAGCAATTGGGAATAGGATATATGTACTAAAATAAAAAATCATTCTTCGATGATAAAGACATTTCTGTTTTCTTTCCAAGCGATAACCAAATCGGTATTTGGAAAGCAGAGCATTTAAAAGTTGATGTTAAATGCTGTAATAAAACAAATTACATATTATTAGCAGCAACAACGGGTTTCTTATTACTGTAAAAAAATTCGATTTCTGTGCTGAGTCGAGATATTCATTTGTCTGTCTGTAAACAAAATGTCCGTTAGTTCTGGTATGCAGATAGTATGTTACTATAAAATGGTTTGAAAAATTGTAGACTGAGTAGAAGATTCTTTTGTGCAACAGGGTTTATTGCTTCATAACAAAGAATTTTCTTTTCCTCTGAGTGAGAACTAGGGATATAAACAACCATTAAGAAGAAAATTTTAAGTCGAGACGACACTATTTTAAGAGAGAAAAACATTTGTCATCAGCCTAACATGCTATATTGAACTCTAAACTTCCTAGTATTTCCCCTAAAATCCATTTTACGGCTGATGGTTCAGAGGACGTCTATGAGTTTTTGGGATCGTAATAGTCGTAGTAAAGTCCTCTCTAAATAGTTTATGTTTTAAGGTGTGGATATTCATCGCTTAAATTGTCCCTCATATTTTTTAGAACTTAAGGTTTGCAAATATTTTGCTCTATCATGAGATGGCTTTCAGAGTAATCTTATCATTTCTTAGATTGAATGAGAATGGACTGTTATCAAAAATACCTAAAAAATTCACGAGGAGTCTTATCATCAAACTGGCCGGATATGTGCACCAAATGTATCAGAGCAATATAGGGCTCACATGTATCTTCTCACATCGCCTAGTTTTCACCTCAGTGAAATAAAACGCCTACAATTTTCGGATTGATGATATCTTAAGTGGGTAATCAACTAGTTTTCGAGTGACTTATAATATGATCGACTGTCTGTTTCGTAGACTTAATGATTCGTCCCTTCTAATTTACCCGAGTTCAAAGTTAAATAATATCGTAATAAAGCATTAACTCCTCCATTTAGATTTGAGCTTTGAGAAATTGTATAATTGGAAAATAGTTATATTTCAGACGGCTTATGGAGGTTTTCATTAATAACGTGTTATGAAAGTCTATACGATAATAATGTCTTGAGAGCAATTATAGAATGGGCTCTTGATCAGATTGATTTAGATATGTGTTTGATAATGACAAATCAGTTGTGTAGTGGCTCAAGTAATCTTATTAGAAATTTTAGACACACAAGTTGATCTAATATTTTCAAATCATTGTCTACATATGCAATCGGATTTGCTAATTATTCTCCTAAAACTTTGGACAAATTTGAATGATCGTGTATCTGGTTATCACACACTATAAATATTTGTAGGTATGTGCTTGGATGTGGAGAAATCCTTCGTTTGTACATACTTTATGATATCAGTATTTTCCTTCCTCTTACTTCCTAGGTTTACCTTCTCGTCTAATTTGTGTATGATGTTTATTCTCTGCTCCAGGACAATGTTTTTGCTGATATTTATCTTCACTTTGGTTTCATTCTTTGTGTTATTTTCCTTGACTGTTAGGCTTATAGTTTGACGCCACCTTTGATTATGGCATCTGCCAAGTAGTACTAAACACTCTGTAGAAGCTCACAAGTACTCTCTCAACCTTAACCTTCAAAATCCACAAGTCCACAGAAATAGAATGTCTTACAATCAACACAGTGGACTAGCCTTACCCATACATTATTATTATTCCAACGTGAGGGTACACCCGACTAAAACCACACCTAGATGCAACACCAGTGAGCTTCAAAGTGCGAACCTTGCGAGCTCCAGGAAGCAATACACAACCATATACAACACGAGCACCCCTCTTAGTAACCATATCCCCCATTTTACATCTGTAACATACAACCTCCCTAACTACTCATGAAAGGACGAAAATTGCCCACCGCAAACGAGAAAGCTATAACGTTGGCCTACTTGAGCCCCCACCCTAGTGAGTCTAGATATTATTAAAGTTAAGCTAGCCTACAAAACTCATTAGTTCCCCTTAATTCGACACATACACCACCTCACCCATTTTTTTCTCTCCCTCTCAACAGTGCTGATATGGAGTCCCCAACTGTTAAGAGCAACAACACCATTATTTTGAGACCATCCTCTACATACTCCGACCTTATGTGGAGTGACACATCTTTCTCTCCATCGATAATTGTTCCTAGTCTTAATAGCTACTTGACTGAACTTGCTGACCGTACTCCAAATACACTATCTATCCATTCAACTTACCCGACTCTACCTGACATTTCTAAACATACTTCTTTCGTCAAACTGCCATCCGACTACCTTTCTCCCATCAACCATAATAGTGATAAATCAAACGAGTATGAATATGGGGCCAGTACTCCTAATTCTTCTTCTCCTCTTTACAAACCAGGTAATTCATTGGGTTTACACCACACCCTTCTACTAGACAAAGACACCGTACATGACACTCATGGTAATCATTGCTTAATCTATACATAATAAGATGGCTCACATACGTACCGTGTGGCTTTAAACAACCCTTCACTTGTTTTGATAACGGAAAGTTGATTGTCCTCCGATGTCGCAGACTCATACCTTCAAACAGACACCCATGAGCCTATCCGCTATGATCAAGTCACTAAGACGGGTGATGATTTTCTTGTATATACATCAAAAAATATGAGAGCGGGAATCAATAGCGTTGATTTCGCGGCAAACTATCAGATTTGATGTGGCTTACTGCACACACTCATGAACGCAAAATACTAATCGGATATATGTATATCAAGCTCCTAACACTCCTACTTCTACTGACACTACTATAATTGAGTCATTTGCTAAGGCTGCCTCCTTATATTGTAGGAAGTAATTTCCTACAAGTGTAAGTCTAAACTATTCTCTAGACTATCGAGCACAGAGTCTTAGTGTAGCCAAAGTCAGAACAAGCAAGCTATTCTGCTTGATAAGCTTTGTCTCTTTCTTAAACGTAAATTAACACCGTTAGTATACAAAATAAACAATACAGCCTGTTAAACAGCGAAAAGGAGCGACATGAATAACATAGCGAACAGTAATTAGAGGATAGGAAAATGAGCCGACAAATATGGTAATTCAAATATGGTAAAAGTTACGCTAACATTATTGAAAATTGTGTCTAATGGCATTTCTGAAGAAACTCGAAATGCTTTCTTCACAACGCTTATGTACTCATAGGATGTTTTAGAATAATAATAATAATAATAAAGCAAATACTGTTTAATAATGAACATAAATTTGTGGTTGGTGAATAAACAAGACATAGTCACACAAGGTCAAAGAAAGTCAATATGATGGTTGGCCTTTCATGTTTTCATTGATGGGTTCGTTTATCGATCACTTTTTACATTTATTTCGCCTAAAAAGTTGTTTGTGGCGATTTCAATCTTCCGATCATCAACTGGAAGACACAATCTGGCCCATTGTGCTCTGGAAGTATACACAGGTCCTTAGACATACACGGTTGGTAGCAGCATGTACAACTGCCTACATGAAATCACCACATTCTTGACCTGATATTCTCTCACAACGTCACAACAGCATCAGCGGTGGTTGGCGAAAAGTCTCATAACAGTGATCATAAAACAGTCCTCTACACTCTTCCGATTTTTGCCAAGTACAACAAATTAAAGTCAATAAACACGCGTCTCCAATATAGAGACCGAAGAGGCTGACTGCGAAAAATTTCAAAATCTAATGTCAATTCTAAAACAAAAAAATGGGCCCAAATAGCTTCGTCAAAGAAGAAAGACAGGCATTTGTATCAGAATACTGTTTTCGGCACTATATTTTATGTATACACATAATCTCATACTTTCAGCTTCTTTCTGAACCACCTTCATTTATATAGTTCCTTATCCACTCACACTTCGTTTGCGCTTATTTTCTTTAACATGTTATAATGCTCTTGCCTAATTAGCGCCTTAATAAGAGAGCAATAGACTAAGTAGTTATACCTTAACTATTCCTACATGAACATTGTCTGCTCTGCTTCTCGTCCTTTCTTTTACTTACACCCTTCTTCAGCCCCCTTGAGATACGCTACCAAAAACATATATGGAACGAGTGACTTCGTCCTGCCTCAGATATCCCAAAGGGATAAAAGAATTAAGTTTCTAGGAGCCTCCAACTTCGCATGGATCTTTTCTTGACCATAAGTTGCATGTATCAACGCAATCTCCATAAAGCCCGCCGATTGTGATATTGACAGTACGTTTCTTAGTAAAACCATCTACATTCATATCTTATAAGATATCAACCCAGCTGAGTAATTCACTAGGGTGAAAATTGTGACTTCTGTAACAATTTGATCTTGACTGTAAACTGTCACGCTTCATGTGACAGACTGTTATTTGAGAATAAATTATTATAATTAGTCTACGAAAATTAATACATATGTACTACATATTGCAAGAATTGATTGCACTGCACCAAATATACTCTGTACTTCAAGGAGTGCAAAGTCAAAAACTACAAACCTATAAATGTCACCCTGTTATATCATGCCCAATGGAAAAAGTGACACAATATCAACTACTTAGTCACCTACTTAAGGTAAATCCAATAGACCCGTCACAACATTTGCTTCACACGTACTATAGTTCTTGCCCAAGACTCATATGAATACGACTTTCAAGACAAAGTGGTGCATCTGCCGCAACTACTAACCAGCTTGTGGTGAAACGCTTCTCCACATATCGATAGCCTTCCAAATATATCTTCAGATCACTTCATTTCTGGTTTTTGATTTCACTGTGTTGGCATATTTTGATGATTAAGTCGCTAAGTATAAATGCGTTGTCAAACTCCAAATACCTGTAGCATATTTATGATAAGGATGTTCTCAGCTAACGCTTGTCTGCATGTCATCACAGAATAAATAATTAAACAGTTTCATATATAGATGATCGTACGACTTGTTCAAAAATTTTTCGAAAAAATTTTTTCGCCGAACTTCATGTTTTTACTTTCACGAAAATCAAGTTATTCCACTCTTTGACAAACAGTAATGATAATGTGACGCATCTCAGATTTAAAGCTAACGATTTAAGACGAAAATCTCTTCCACCCCGTTTGGCGTTTAGGTTAGTGTAACTCTGTGCAGATTGACCATTTATTATGGACTAATCGACGGTAGAAAAATGGAGTAAGCTGAAGACCACATAGAAAGCAGTGGAAAATTCTGTTAATCTGCGATTAACTTCTAAAATCTGGCACGTTACCGGACTCTGTTAAGTTGTGCACACGATCGTTATCTAGGCTAGTCTATTCCTCTGCAAAACAACTCTGAGAGGCGTTTCGAAGTTGTTTTCAAACTTATTTTGCCAAAGGCTTGAGAAGTGCGATCGTTAACATTTCATTTAAGAACTGTGAAGGACATTTCGTCCCTGACTGTCACCCGTCAGTGAGAATATAAGGCTAAGGAATTCCAACCCACTTACCCTCAGTTTGCAATAATTTCCTCTGTCCCACTTTTCCTAAGGTTGACCTAAGCTCTGTAGGCTTCGAGGATCAAGTAGAATCAGAATCAAGTAGATTCTGAGGTACTCAATCCACACAGACCAGCTGGCTCAGATAGTGTTCAATACATAGTCCCGAGGTAATAAAAGGAGCTTGTTCACTTTACTCCTGGTACCCTCTTCATCTGTTTCTCAGCCAGTAATTGCTGTGCACCTGAATTTCAAAGGAGGATGGTGATACTGTTATGTAAGGGGTGTTAGAATGAGGAAGTTTCCAACTACAGACGTGTGTTCTTGTACTTGTGGGGCCAGTGAAATGTCTCCGAGGCCTAGCCAAATCATCAGGCAGTTGGGTCACTGAATGACTGACATTTTATCGATTCTCACTAAGGTCAAGGACAGCGAACGCACACTAAGTGACCGCCGGCAATGGAATGGCTCATGGGGTGGTGGGCGTACCTTATTGTACGTACTCTTACTAATATATTTCTGAAATAACGTCCTTTGTGTTATACTGTCTTCAAAGCAGCCACAGTACCTTGATACGACGAAAGGGTAATCCACGTTAGGTGCTGACCATAACGTGTGAATTTAAAGTTAGCTGATTCGTCACATCATTCCCGTCTAACTTGAGTAGACCCCAATCATTCGACATAGATCATCTACGTTGGTGATCTACACTGATGAGGTCGACGTTGCCCTACACGCTACACAGAAGCAGTCATGCAAAGAGTAATTATTTTACAGTAAATCCATTTTGTCCGAATCGAAATACGGCTTCCCACTTGGTGGATTATGTAAAATAGACCATCTGACTTTTTTGATTAGCCGAACAATCTCACTGGAACACAACCATCTCCTAAACATTAGCCTCATAGAATCCTCTAAAGAACCAAACGAGCTTAACCTTCAAGTTTTGTCTCAGAGACTAAGTTTTCAGATAAAGGTTTACCTGTCCATACAATGTTAGTAGATGGACATGAGCTTGATCGCACTTAAATTGGACATCGTTTATAAAACGGTCGGTAACATTTCGGATTAGACGGAACGGATTCTCAGTTTGGGTTGTTAAATGTTAAGAGGCGCATCTGATCAAAGTTCTGGTGTTTAGTAAGATTATTTTACACCCATAACTGATGAATCTTACCGTTTAATATCAGTAGTAAACTTTGGGGGCTAAAATACATAACGTATTGTGGTGAGTTGTGTGCCAACTAATGTAAATATCTTTTGAGTCGATCTGAAAGGATTAAACAATACGGGTCACATATTCATTACTTTAATCTTGACTTCAAGTTAGATACCATGGAATGATTGAAATGATATGTGAATAGCTGCTAGATATAAACAGGTCATTTTAACTTGTAGGCTCTTTTGTTTATGGCAAGCGACATAAATGGAGAAGTCCCTACCAAAAGCTCCATATTTGGCCTAGAATTTAAACTACTATCCTGTTTGATTTGTTCGTTGGGATAGTATGCTTATGTAAGACCGTAAGTGATCATTGTCCCGACTCGATCAACTCTAATCATGGTGTTCAAGTAGAAAAGATGCACCCATAGTTTATAATTGACACACCATCTCAAAGCCGGCGTTTCGGACAGCTCTATTTTATTATTGTAGCGTCAGAATTACGAATGGCAAGCCGCAATATCCAAGTCAGACTTCTGTTTTAAAACCTAGTACATCTTACTGAGACGACTCATCAATCACATTACTTCATAACGTTTACTTTCTGCAAATGTCTATCATATTAAAGTGGTGCTGTTTTTTGTTGACTATAAGTAGGGTTACAGGTCTGTCATAAGTAACACCATCGATGTGTGCTGCTCCTCCGAAACGCTCATACAGGACCCGGATAGCGTCATTCATTTGACCGCACCATGTAAAAATAAAGAACCAATTCGATTCATGCTTCGTGTATTTCGAAGCCGTGATGCTGCTCTCCGTGGTCTCGCTGGCGTACGTATAGCATTCAGTCTTAGGGCAGAACTAGAAGAACTACCAGTAGACAGTCACTTGTGCGCTGTCCGACTAAACATGACAGTAAGGACTCGGAAAGATAGGGACACTCGTCGTTGTCTCTTCGTCGTCTTTGCCTACTCTTCCACTGACTGCAGCTCAGATGATGTAAACGATGAGTTTTACAGAAAGCTTTCCGACCTCCGAAGAGGTGTAATAATGTAATAATGATGTAATAATGGCTGGTGACTTTAATGCTCAAGTAGGTAAACTGTTTTTGCCAAATATGCTATCCCTAGTATACTATTTCTTTACTATTGTTATCACAGTAATTGTTGTTTATTGCTCCTACATCTCATAGTTCTCCCCTATTTGTAATGTGAAACAACTTGTATCATTAAACTCATTGGAAGTATTATGTTTTTGCATAATATTGATGGGTCACTTTCCTAAAAAATTCATTATTGATTGAATTTAACTGTGAACACATGGAACATTGACGTTTTAGAGTTAATGCTGATAAGTTTTAAAATCCTGTATCTCCTTTTTTCTATTTGTTTAGACTTTATCGTATAAAAACAAATATTTTACCTGTTCTGTCTAAATTCAAGTCAGTTTATTGTAAGCTTATTATTACAAATAATTATTCTGCACAATGACCATGGACTCTGCAGTAACTATTATATCTATTCTCCAACAAAAATGTGACACTTTAAAAAGCAAAGTTAGTACCATTTCATAACTAACTATTATTTTATCTGTTGATTTTATTTAAACTTTAATATCTCTTTTAGTTTAGCTGCAATAATAATAACAACCACTCTGTTTAATGTCATTTAACTGCTTACATGAAGAATCCTAAACACAAAATACACTGAAATACGACATATAGCTCTCTTATATCCATCTAGCTTGTCAATATACAAAATAAACGTATGAAATGTATTTTTTATGGTACAACACATACATATTGTCCATGAAATCCATGTTATCTGCTTATCTTCCCTCCAAAGAATAAATGAGGAGAATACACAGACAGCAATGGTGATTCCACCTAGATTTTTCAGTACTTAGCTTTACGATAGGTTGTAAGATTATCATAAAACATATAATTTAGGTGATCAATATGATTGACTGACCAGGTTATATCTTATGAAAAATATAATTTGTTCCGATATTTGCGCAGTTAAAAAGTGGTAACTCAGAGATTACAAATATTATTTTAGTCGATTAAATGACGGGGGTGAGGGTTGCAATGTAAAATATACTACAAACTTCTCACTGTTTAAAATGAAAGTATTATATTATGTTCAGGTTGTTCGCAGATAATGATAATTCCTTGAATGACAGACCCCTTACAAAGTGATGTCTTATCCTGACCTATTTTATCATTTGTCAGAGGCCATGCTCTTCTTCCCGGTTTTTTTCTTTTGACAGATTGCAGATTTCACTCTGGTTAATCAAGCCTTACAATTGAAAACTTATCAACTATTGAATTTCATCAATCGTCACGAAGATTTCTCTGGTTTAATTACAAAAGAATACGATGAAGTTTCTAACGATATTAATATTGTTCAATCAGCCATAGATAGGTATACTTGTGAACTGGAAGATTGGAAATCGAAACTTGATCAATATACGATGATGGTGACAGCCGTGTTGAATAACAGTAGTAATAGTACAACTAACGGTAGTAATCTTAATAATCTTAGTAATAATAACAATGGAGATGACAGTATCAATTTGACATTGGGGTCAACTAAATTACCTATTGTTGCGTCATCTCAATCTCCATCACTTCCATCTGTGTTATTATCGTCAACTAATTCACCAATTCAATTAGATAATTCATCTTCTTTAGGAACTCTACAAAGTGTTAATAATACATCGTCTGAGTTTAAATTAACTCACCCAACAACAACAACAAAGTTACGTCTACGTGCACATTTTCCAAACAGTCAATTTACATTAGTTGAAATTAAATCTGGTCAACAAATCAAACATGCTTTAGAAAAGAAATTATCACATCGTGGTCTACACTTAGAACAGTTAATTGTTTATCGATCACGTACAGGGTAATTATTTACCTTGGTTACTTTTTTTATCAGTACATACTTATATACGCTAGGATTTCTCAAGTTATGCTAAAAATAAATCCTGGGTATAAATTCTACAAAGGTGTCATCATATTCTATCGTGACAATAATATGTAGTACAAGCGCATTAGAAATTGAATTGTATGGGATAAGTTGGATTTCATTCGAACTTTTTTATCTAATGATCACCGTGTGTTCACTGTCTACCATTTTCTACCAACTATTCTCATGTCCGGTATTCTTCAAGTTGTATAGCGCTGTATGAAAAGTACGTAGGGTTAAGTATCTTCTCACTGCATAATAACATAGAAGTCGTTTAAAATGTATTCAGCCCATCTCCTAAGATTGATACTCTGCATCAGTCGTAAATCAGTTGCATGAAATTAAAAAATTTCCCACCTTTGCTCTTACTTCATAGGTTTAAAATTTTTGAAAACAGTGGAATATTCCGTGTTCTTGTGTACTTTACGTATTACAGCAGACATGATCAGTTTTTACGTACTAAAATTGGAGTATTTTATCTCGTCTCCTGTTTTACTGTAGAGTTTACATCGCCAAATACTTTGATGAGTGCATTTCTTCACTGTACAAGACGTAGTCATATGTAGCTGAAAGTGTTCAATATTTCTGTGGGATTGTTTATTACATTTGATGGATAATTCTTGGATCCAGTAGCCTATATTTTGTTGTAGTAGTCGAACAAACAATCTTCATCAAAGTACTCGATCATCAGTTGTTATATTGTTTCAGGCCCAAATCACAATATTACAGAATATATTTTATAGGTATCATTACCAAGACTTGATTTGATAATTTTGAATAAATTGAGCATTGGGTAGATTGTTATAAATAAATTATATATTTGTAATATCCCAATGAGTAGAAAAATTAGATTTTCTGACGTTTCGTGACTCAGTGTAAGCCACTTCTTCAGAGAATAAATAACCAAATTAATATTAATCCAAGTTTAAATGGTACAACGGAACAATCTAAGATTAATTAGGTGATCAATCAAAAACAGGTCTGAATAAATCACTGTGATTTATTGATTGATCACCTAATATTCTTTGATTGTTCCGTTGTACTATTTAAACCTGGATTAATATTAATTTGGTTATTTATTCCCTGAAGAAGTGGCTTACACTGAGTCACGAAACATCAGAAAATCTAATTTTTCTACTCATTGGGATATTACAAATATATAATTTATTTATAGAATATATTTTACTTTTCCATTACTATACATGTAAATATTTCTGTTGTCATTAAGCTCTCACTGTTATTATAATTTGTTTTTCTGAAATTTTCTTCGGGATTCAATTATAAAACTGAACTAGTCTACCAGTTTCATGGGAAGATGATGCTGAACAAATTGCTTTAATTGGTGAAGAATTAATAGTTGATTTTGCTCGACGAAATATCAAACGTTTAGAACATCATTTTCAAAGGAAGACATTTTTTGAAAAAGCCTATTGTAATCTATGCCATAAATCTATATTCCATGGTAAGTTGTCTTCATTTGTTTATACGTATGTACAAAAAAACTTTACATTTAAAGGTGCTATATGTAAAGCATGTGGTTGCGCTTATCATAATCGTTGTCTTCCACGTGTGGATAAGAATTGTTTATCTAATCTAGATGATGATGTTTTCTATGTTGGTGATCATCTAAGCAGTCGGAAGTAAGTCATTGTTGATAGTTCCTTATCCTTTATCCTAAATATTTGACTTTTCAAAATTAGAAGTCAGTCAAATTCAAGGTATATTTTACTTGTAATTTGTACATTCAGAATGTTGGTTGGTTTCCCCCAATCGGTCTTGAAATGCTGACCAATCGAAAAACACTATCTCACCATTTCACACTTATCTAAACAATAGTAAAACACTTACCGCAGATCTGATAATTAAATTGGCAGATTTCACTTTCCTCCATTTCAATCAATTTTTTCATTGTAAGAATTTTTAGGGAAGTGTTCTTACTTTTTGCTGTAAAGCGGAATAATAATAACGTGTATTGTTTTGTTTGAATCTTCCCACTGATGTTTTAGGACTGCAACTGGTCAGTCTCTAATTGGCATATCTGCATACTGTGCGTATTGCCTCGATATAGCCTAAATTCACAAGCATTGTGAGCAAAGATGGATAGTGGCTAGCAGTGGAATCCATGACGCGCGTTTCGTCCTATTTGGGACTCGTCAGCTGGATGTACCTGCATCGGAGCGTTGATGTTCACTCTGGGACTCGGACACAGTACCTTTTGCTTCAAACGCAATCGCATTATCCACTTGGGAAGATTCAAACAAAACAATACTAAGTAAATTTCAACTTCACCCCATTACACAAGCAAGTGGCTATCAGGACTCAGTGGCCGAGTGGATAATGCGATTGCGTTTGAAGCGAAAGGTACTGGGTTTGAGTTTCAGAGTGAAAATCAACTGTGAGATGCAGGTACATCCCAGCTGACGAGTCTCAAATAGGATTGAACGCGCGTCAAACTGGATTCCACTGCTATCCACTATCCATCTTTGCTTACCAATAATAACGTGGTTTTTCTGTTACATGATTATTATCTCTTTCAACACTGGAATTATTTATTAACCTCTCCTTCTATAAATAGCTCTTTGGGTACTTCTAATTCATCTATACACGGATCGAATTGGTTAGTTTCTTCAAATGCAACACCAGGCTATACACATTTCTATCATTTTAATCCTGAAGATCTAACAACAGTACGTGTATTGACTAATTCCACTGGAGGTGGTTACGATAGTAATAATCTTCTATTACATAGTCAATATCTTCCAGCATCTTTGGGAAGTGGAAGTGGACATTTTCCTCGTCAGTGTTTATCATTAACCTGTAGAGAACGTTCATCGTCAACACCAAATGTGTCAAATAATTTGATCCCACCAAATCAACAAAGAAGTTTATTTACGCCTAGTTCACTTGGAAAGGTAGTTAGTTGCTGTGTTTTTTTAAATTGAGGAATCATTATTTGATTTATTTCGTTCAGAATGTTAATATTTTTTGTACTACATTTTGTTTTTCTCCAATTGTTGTTTTCATGTGATGTTCCGATACTACTGTATATACATATATGGGTATGCGATTTGTTTTTGTACTGTCAATAATGTGTAACATATGGCCCTATTTCTCCTTGTGTGTGTGTGTGACGCAATCGTTTTTCCTGCACATGTTTACTCTCATCACTTTATTTTTTTTATGTCTTTTAATGTAGACGACTATATTCTAAACATGTTCATAATGTATTTTCACCTGTGTGTAAACCAAACCATTCTAAGCGTATAAAATCTATACTCTCCAACTTATTAGTTTCATGTTCATTTTGCACTGGAGCTAATACAAGTAATCAAAGGAGCAATTATCAATACTACTGTCATTGTAATCCATCTAAATCTTATTCTAAGAATACTATGATTGATAAACAGTTGGACACTTCAAACTCTCATTGTCCTATCATCTGCGTAAATGGTGATAACTTTGAAATTAATAATAATAATAATAATAACAATCGTTGCAATGGTAAATATTCAGATAGAAAACTATCCACTTTATCTGCTCCAACATATCCATTAAAACAATGTACTCTTGATAACATCAGACTGGTAAATACTAATAGTTCGCTTTTATTTTGTCATGATACTTCAACGGTGATGATGACAAGAATGAAGCCGGTCGATGCAAAATACATGTCTACGTATAATTGTAATGATAAAGTTTATGGAGAGTTATCTATGAAGTCTGGCAGTAGTATAATATTTCCTAGAAGTATGTCATCATGTAGTAATGAGCGTGGTTATAATTCTGTAACTTATAAGAGTCATCTGCATGTTCCTTATAATTCATATAGTAAATTACTAACTATTGGATGTGACACTACTATAAAGTTTCATGTTAGTAGTTGTAGTAGTAAAAGTAGTGGTAAGTCATCTGGCGGTATCTATGAAAATTGCCAACCAATCGGTCTTTATTCTCTTCTCCCTCCCACAAAAAATACTTCTAAAGAAACATTTTCAACAACCAGTCAACTATCTACATCGTGCTCATTGTATGAAGCTTTTCCTGAGAATCCTCTAAATATATTGGCAGATAATACCAGTCTTTGTAGTGTTTCACGTAAAACACATAATCTATCTTCTAATAAACAAGAGCCAACCTCACAAGATTACAAAATCTTACTACTACCTGAAAGATTATATTCACTAAACCAAAATTTGTGCCCAGATCATGTATCGAAACTATCTCTATCACCAACTACATATTTTGGCGTGCGTCGGGTGCGGTCATTTTGTACTTCAATGGATTATTCAGTAGGTTTCACAGAACCACAGTGTTGGTTTTATTTAATACAAATGTGTAGTTGTTACCTTTTTTGGTTGTTTTATTTAAATTTGGTTTATCAAACCTTTTGTTTGGGTAGTAGGTTATTGATCTGCACATTTCTGCTCAACTGGGAAAGTCGTCTTACATTTCTTGAGTTACTTATGTGCGCTCATATAAGTGTGTCTAGTTGTAATACATGATGTTCAAATTTTTTGTTCATGGGACATGGTTATGAATAGTTTTCTTATTTTAACACACGGTTCCTTAGATTCACTTGATGCTGTTACGTTTTATGCCCTCTACTTCTGTATGCATTTTTTTAGCGAGAGGCAAATAAAATTATTCAAGGATCCCCTTTACACATTGTCTATCCAGTTACAAGTAAGTATATTCTCGTTTACTACATCATTGCACCATAATATATATGTAATATTGTTTTGGCATTGAAAGACACACTAGTCTTAACACTGACCCAGTGATAATCAGTTAAGGCGAAATGGTCTCTGCAGTGTTTCTGAGGAAACATTTAGATTAACTTTTACTGCATTTATGATCATTTGTTATGAAGAGTTGCGATTTGTGGTGCATCACAATGATAAACCAATTGTCTATTTCGATACGCTTGTTTTAACTAGCTATCATGTGTTCTGGTTAGTAAATTCTAATCTCCCTCCTCCCAACTCAATTTGAGTCTTTTATTACCATATAATGAGTAGCATTCACATGCTGGTGTTGGAAAACCGGGAGTGAGGTACTTTAACACAATTTTACTAAAGTTACATACCGTGTTATTATTATTGCTATTGTCATAATTAATATTTAAATTAGTCTTCTTCAATTGATCACATCAGTCGCAAATCACCGCACTTTAACAAGATATTCCTTTGTCATAACACTACAAACCGCTCCTCGTTTTATTCTTGTCTTTTGATTAATTCGTATCAGCTGTCACTTTCAATTAACTTATTGATTTGTGTTCTATGGTAATATTAATAGTATTTAATCATCTGTATTCCCTTTGTGTAATCGGCTTCTTTCAAAGCATTAGAAAATGTTTTGTCAAAGACATTTCTTGTCATTCTACGAGCACTACTGAATATCCGTTGAGGCGTCATTATTTTATAGGCATTAGCAGTATAGATTTTGGGAATAAATTAAGCAAATTCTATATGTAATTGAATCATTTACACGTAGCGTTGCAACAATAATACACTTAACTATTTCTTGAATCATTAAATGTATGATGATCTGAGGTTGTTAATTATTGATAATTCAGTTTATCATAGTGTGTGTTCAGCGCTTTAAAAGAAGTATAGGAAAAGCGCGTAATTAATATTAAGCATGAACTGGTTGCTACTTCAACAGAACAATGAACATCCTTAGCCATTTATAATCCGAAGTGGTCGGTCAGTACAAATCAGTAGGTATGTAGGTAGGTGCTTGTGATTTCATCTGTCAGCCCTTTTCAAGGTGGTCTTGGTGTCAGTGAATCTCATCACCCTTGACCCTCAATATCTGTTACAATGACAGAAATTTATTCATTAATTCTTTTTATTCCGAAATGTTTTTACTTTTACTTCCTCGTTAACAGATTGTCTCTGATCTCATTTTCATTATTAATTACCGTTTTTCTGTGATATTTAAATGGACAGATTTCAGATTCTGTACTGTTCATATGTGTGTATCTGATCTTACTGCTTAACATCAATGATCGTCTTAAATTTGTGGTTCATTTAATGTCTAATCAGTGACACATAGCTTTAAAGTCTCATGTTTAATTGTCAGTCTTTAAGCCGTTGAGGAACATTTACTATAATGAGAAGTAGCTAAATAGTAAAGACTTTCGTAGGTTATGGCCCTTATTGACTTAAATAGGTCAAGACCACTCTTAGTGGTAAGAAAAAAGCATTTATCTTCAGCATAGTATTCGTGGACACGTTATTTCACTCGACTGGTTCTTTAATAAGAATACCACTTAAATTAAAACCCAAATATATTCTGAAGCAAATATCAATCTAAGGGAATGCAGTAAAAATTGTCTGTTTATATAAATTGTACATAGGAAAATTCCAGAGTCTTCAATTTATTCACTAACACTAATCGGATCAATCAGCGTCATTCAACATAATCCTGTTTAAAACTCTGCTTTAATCAGGTCTCTGCGCTGTTAACAAAGCAAATAATTTTCGTTAAAACTATGCTGTATTGACGACCTTGAGTGAACTAGTCAGGATTAAGATAGTGCATCGTGGACTTTTGCGCAGTCAAACATCTTATCAATTAGGTGAAAACTGACAACATATCTTGTTCCTAAGACTCTTGAAGTTGATAAACAAATATTTACCATGTAACCAAACAGTCAGTATAACATAGTGCTTAAGATAAATGCTTACTCGTGATGCAGATTGTATATTGAAGTACTTGATATAATTTAATTCACCATTAAGTGTGTTCATTTAACTAGATAGTAATATTGTACTCGTGCTACTCACATTAAGTAACAACCCTACGTTTATTAAGTTCGTAAACAAATACTGTAAAGCTTCGTGGCATTATAACTGATGTTAATTTGTTATGCAAACCCTAATCCTAATTCGTAATTCCAACTCATAACTTCAGCCTAACACTTATTACCTCACCGAGGCCCCCACATCCATCATAGCTTATATAGAGGTCAATGAAAAAAATCCTGTAGGATTATAAACTCAACTTACAACACTAGCTCAACTCTTAAAATGTAAATCTCACCTTCTTTTTCTTTTAGTATAATGATTATTTCAATATCTACTTACTTACGCCTGTTACTCCCAATGGAGCATAGGCCGCCGTCCAGCATAATTTTTTCTGGTTGTCGTTTTTTAGCGAGTTGGTTTTCTACGGGATAGGGTCGCTAACCCCATGCCCAACCCTCCTCCTTTACCCAGGCTTGAGACCGGCAGTAACTCCCGAAGGAGCTACAAGCGGAGTTATTTCAATATCTAAGGGTTAATTAATCATATCAAAACTATTGTTCCACTGAAATTTTATTTCTTATCGTCAATTTTTTGATACTTAAATCTTGATTGGCTGGTAGGCCTCTTAAGGTCGTCGGTATCATATGCTTTTCTTTTATTTTTGATCATTTATTTTATATAGATTATAATTATACAACTGGTAATGGAGTACCAGAAAGCCCATCAATTCCCAGTGATAGTTGTTTCTTATCAAACCCATCTATACCATATAATCAAAGATCTGGCGGTGATCCAAAACAATCTATCAAAGTAAAAAATGTAAATTTTTTCTATTCTCTTTTTTTAATATCTGTATATGTACATCAGTGAAGTTTTGTTTGTGCACTAAAAATATTACTGTCAAGGAGGATTTGTCAAGATTTCGGTTCATTATTCGACAACATTATATATTGGTAAAGAATATTCCATGCTGAAATTGAACAGCTCGTTGATTTTCGAAGACTGTCTAGCTTATATCTTCATATCCTGTGTTGTCCATTCCGACTTTAGCATTTAGATCTCCCATCAGGATGGTGAAGTCCTTTCTTGAGCACTTCGCTATAATTGATTGCAGCTTCGAGTGGAACTGATCTTTATCGTCGTCGTGGCTATCATTGGTGGGTGCATAACATTGGTTAACATTCATTGTGATCCCCTTCTTCTTTGTTTTGAATGATGCCTTGATTATCCTAGATGTATGAGATTCCCATCCTATAAGTGCGTTTCGTGCTTCTCTGGACAGCATCAGAACAACTCCCTAAATGTGTGGAGCATTTTCTCCTTCGTGACCGGAGTACAGCAGCATCTCTCCCGAATCTATCTAGCCTTTGTTGTCCAGCTTGTGTCCGATGGGTCTCGCTAATTCCGAGTTCTGCGAAGTTGTATCTCCTCATTTCCATTGCTATTTGACTAGTCTTTCCTGTCTCCCACATTGTCCGGACGTTCCATGTACCTATAAAGAGTGTTGCTCTGGTTGTTAGAAGGTGCATCGGCCTTTTGACATCCGAAAAATTTCGGCTTTCATTACGAGGCGTCATAATTATTCCTTCAAGTGCTAGGACAGAGTTTAAATGGTTTGAATTATTTTTTCTGGTTTGCATTGTTTTAGCGAGTTAGTTTTTTTCGGAATGGGATCGCTAACCCCATGCACAATCCACCTCCTTTACCCGGGCTTGGGACCGGCAGTAGCCCCAGAAGGAGCTACAGACGGAGTCATTATTTTTCCTGATATCATATTGTTTATGCCTGATCTTTTCTTTTAGCATTAATACGGTTGGTGCTTCTACCACTCTGAAATTTATCTTGATGATTTCATCTCACTGTATTGATATGATGTGGCAACGTGAATCGATACACTTATTTACCAGGTTCTACTTTGCTTATAATTGACTATCTGTCGATCATATCCAACTATATTATATTAAATTCATCACTAGTTAATTAGTTTGTTGCTCCTTTGAAACAACAATCTAACTTCATTCATGTGATTATCATAACCAATAGTTAGAGACTTTGAATGATATGGCTCAGAATAATTTGCAATGGGTCAGGCACATCCATTCTTTGTCTTATCCCAAATTCTGAGCTTCTGAATTCCTCATAACTTTTTTATTATTTATATTTTACTAATTTATATTTTGAATCGTATCTTCAATGCCTAAATTTTTCTATTACTATTGATACTGTTACTACCTCTACTATTCCGGGATTTTGCCTGACATCTCTCTGTGCTAATGGGCGGCCAAACCAAAACGTGGCATCAGAGCTTGAATTCATCAACTTCTAATCTGAGCCATGTTGGCAGATACAGACTACCTGGTTGGGGTCCGCGCGACTATCGTAACCAATGGTTGAAGAATCTAGGTGACATGGCTCAGAATCGATCACAATGGCTTAGGTTGTAGTATCAGTTTATATGTTAAGCCGATATAATTTATTCTAGTTTCTGGCCATGCTAAGTCACCTATACATTGAGTCATATCTTGATCTTGTTAATTATTCGCTTATTAACCTTGACTACTATTTTATATGAGCGTATGTGTATGCACATTTCGTATCTTATTCATTATATGTCTGTCATTCATTTTTGTCTGATTATAAATATTGATTAATGGTTGCTTAAAGCGAGTTGGCTTCCCAGCCATCTCCAATACGCATCACTTTCGCTTCGCTCTCGAGATGGCTGGGAAGCCAACTCGCTTTAAGCAAGCATTAATCAGTATTTATAATCAGACAAAAATGAATGACAGACATATAATGAATAAGATACGAAATGTATACACTCTTTATCTTCTCTTAAACCTTAAGATTAAAATTGCTTCATAGCTTTCTTCCTTTCTATACTATGTCCTCATATACAACCTATCTTTTATATATTACCACCACTAAATTAACTACTTCTATGAATTTGGTGTTCATCTTGTTGTGTTAACGAGGTATGGCAACTTGGACCGATGCATATATGTGCCTTGTCCTACGTTATAGCTGACTGACTGTGCTAATAAGGTATGGCAACCTGAACCAATGTGCACATGTACCAGGTTTGACATTGGAACTAACTAATTGACTGACTGACTTTACTTACTAATATTCTTTTGTTTATTAGGTTTTTTTGCCTTATACTCATCGTTTCTGTGTGGATATAAATTTACGTACCTTTTAATTTTTAATTATATTTGCCTTGTCTAGAGACGTGGTTCAAATGATGAATGGGAGATAAATGGACAAGAAATTACTAAAGGTCCAAGAATTGGTTCTGGATCATTTGGTACTGTATTTAAAGGTTATTGGCATGGAAATGTTGCTATTAAAGAATTGAATGTTGTTGATCCTACACCACAACAATTGAAAGCTTTCAAAAATGAAGTCAGTGTATTGAGGTAATTATTATTTTTTTTAAATCACTTAAATGATATCAAGTTTCATTGTAAACTGATGACATGTGTGAGTGGTCATTTTCACCATTTTCAATCCGCCCCAACTGCCCTGGTACGGCCGAGAATACGAAGAGGTCACCTTCCCTCTCGAAATGCTCTCACATGGCCACGCGTATATAGCCTCTGCCAGAGAAGTCCTACTCACTGCCTTCTCACAGTGGTGGGGGTGTCGTTTACGAAATTGAGAGGACGAAAAGCGAATGTCCGGCTCTTTGACCGGGTTGGTGGACACGGAGGGTCCACCTAGGGGAGTTGGAAAACCCTGATTCCAAACCAATGGTGTACATGGGCCCCAGTATTCTGAGGGGACAAATGGCGTATGAAACTATTGTTGGTCACCGGCTATCATGAGACTGTATCTCCTCACGATTTTCCCCTGCCCTGTGGATCAGACCTTTAGGTCAAAAGGTTCCGGGTGTGTTGACCTAAGAAAACCACCTGCTTCAGTTTGGACGCCTGGCCATTATCACAGCCCTCACACAAATCAAATGAAATTTGTGTGACGCATATATACCTGTTGCCCCTTTGTACCAATATTTATGTGTTTAAATAAATGAATAAATAAATTTTCAATCCAAATTATTCATTTTTTCACAAGGGGTTTTTGTGGAGATTTAGTATTTTTATAGTTAAGATCATGAGTCAGTTGAAGCTAGACCACCGTGGAAAACCTGGAAGCACTGGACGGCCGTTTCGCCCTATTATGGGACTCCTCAGCAGTGCTCATCCACGACCCCGCACTCGCGAGATTTGAACCCAGGACCTACCATATTCATTTTTTGTTGGTATCAGTCCATGATGAGGATTATTTTCCAGTTAGAAAAATCCACATACCATATATACTGCTGATAAACCTCTTTATGCCATAATAGGCAGTCAAATTATCCTAGATATATTACATAACATATCCTTAGTATATAATATATGACTTGTCCAGCTTGTCAGAACAGACAATGAATTCAAGTTGATAAATAGTGTGTCGACTTAGTAACAAATCACTAATTTCTCTAATGATTAAGAAGTAATGTCGGCGGGACTATAATTTATGTACGACCTTTGAACGAATCTAATATGACCTTGAGAAATGTTAGCCAAACAGTAAACAGTCAGCATAGAGTAAAAATATACAAAACCGAATAGTTAAAGTGGATACACTTCTTTTATATGGTCCAAAAACTTATCAATGCTAGAAAAAGATTCAAAGGTTCCAAAATCGTAATGCATAAGGTAGAGGAACTCATCCAAATGGTCATCCATATAGTTGGTCTCTGGAACCATGATAAGGTCACAAAAACACTCTCAGCCTCGACCAAATAGCTTCAGTGTTGTTTGTGTGTATTCCGGTTGTGTAAGTTTATCATTTTTATTATGAATATGTCCCTACAATGCTCATACCACTGAACAGCCGAAGCTTCAGTAACATCTGCGATTATTGCAGCAATTATTATAATATGTCTTACTCTCAATCTGGATCAAGCGATAAAGGTTCCTATTCTAACAAACGTCTTCCTTCAACATATATTACATCGAAGGACAACAGGGTAGTCTGCACAAGGTCTACCAGTCATTTAATACCTGCAATTATAAATACGGGAACTTCTTAGAAGTCTCATTTGTTGTAGCCACTTAATTGTCAAGTCTTCTCTAAAATTCTCGGTAAACCGATCGTACATAAGCACCAGGTACTGAAATCGGCGCCATGACCTTGAAATCCCTCAAACGCTTCTGATTGGCTCGTCCATAAATTATAGTCTCGCCGTAATATCAATTACCGATTCACTGGTTTTGGTTATTTTTTTGTTTAAAAATTTCTTTGTTTCTTCATTTTATTTTGTATTTTTCTTTAAAATTTTAATTTTAGAAAAACACGACATGAAAATATTCTTTTATTTATGGGTTGTGTCTCTAAACCATGTATAGCTATTATCACTCAATGGTGTGAAGGTTCCAGTTTGTATAAACATCTTCATGTGTTAGAGCATCGTTTTGATGTTCCAGAACTAGTCGATATTGCTAAGCAAACATCACAGGGAATGGAGTAAGTTTTTCATTTTGTATTAGATTTGTGGTCTTTCTATGTTTTTTTGCCTATATGTGTACTATAAATCGACTGATGTAGGTAACTGGCTAGCAAATATGACTAGAACCCGTAGGTAGGCTACAGTGGTGTAGAGAGGTTTTCATTACTTATCGTTGATGATGTTCGAATAAAGCTAAAAAGTTCTCATCATATAAATAAACTGTATCATTTATTTACCAAGTGTCATGTTTTCCTGTTGTTATTACACATTATGCACCATTCAGTTTCTGTGTCGATGCTAAATGTAACTGGTTGAAACCCGAAGCACACTTAATCTACACATTTATATTATGCTTATGAGTAAATGACTGGTTATAGTGTTCATTGTGATATTGAGCTCTGTTAGAGGTATGAGACTGGTAGTTACACCCCTCTCAGCAACACAGTGAAAAGACGATTTCTTCTAAAGGATGTAAAAGTGAAACAGTTAGGAGTGATCTTTATGGTGGCCTGGGAGGGTGGTTGCTGAGCCAGTCACACATAACCGTTTTATGATTAGTTTTCGATATGTTAGCTCTGGACATTGAAGGGCTTACTGTTAGCAGTGGAATCCGTGAGATAAAAAAAGGTGTGTTATTTTAAGACTCAACCTTTTCTAGCCGTTCGTTTGTTAGAAAACAGCATCGCTTGAGATGCTAGTTGTTAGCGTTATGACTGCCTATGAATCATGAGTTTTCTGCTTTTAACCTTACTACATACTTGTATGTGAGGACCTAAAGGAACTAGTGTTCTAACTAGTATAGCTCGGTTCAGTTATCACCGTTGCTGCTACCTTGACGTGGTGGTCGGGCTTGCCTATTGTGATGAACCAGTCGAGCTATACAGGTTGGAACAATCATTCCTCAAGGTCCTACCATGCCAGACAGGTCGGTTGAAGAGCGTTAAGACTAAAAGCAGCAAACCCAAGGTCCGAAGGAGAAGTTGTACTGCTGACTGTACAGAGGTGTGACAGCAGTAAGGTGTTTCCTTCAAACAACCAGCATAACAGCGATGCTGCCTTCCCACAAGGAGGGGTGGGGTTAGAAAAGGTCAACCCTAAAAATGAACACCTCGTCTTATCCCACGGATATCCGTCTGTGGCGGTAAAATCCCAACAAGTACGGAGCTAACACAAAAACTACCCTCAAAAAGGTCATGTGTGACCGACCTTAAGCAGTTGTCCCTTAGGCACTGCGGTCACGCTCTCAGGTCATTAAGACCACTTCTAACCCGATTTCTCCGAAGTATTTTTATCTAGAACTTCCTAATCATTTAAGAGTGTTTACCTCGGTACAATTCTTACCATTTTTATCACTACAATTAGCGCTAATCTGAATATAATTCAGTCACCTGTCAAAACCTATTGTGTGTAAATAATTTATAGATGAAATAATATTTACCACGTGAATTATATTTGACACTTGATTAACTCAATAATTAGAATTATACTGTATTTTAATGGTTCAAAATCATTTTATTATAGGTTGTGAACTATTACTTATGTTACTTCAGGATTGGGTTGCATCGGCACCTGAACTAATGATAGGGAGTGAAGTAGTTGAGCGTGTTGACCGCTTCACTTATATTGGGAGTTTCATCAGCCCTTGTGGCCTGGTGTGTGACGAGATATCAGCACGGACACAGAAGGCTCGTCTAGCATTCTGTAACTTGCGTCATGTATGGCGTAGGCGAGATATCCGTCTAGCGACCAAAGGACGGGTTTACTGCGCAGCAGTTTATTCCGTCCTACTTTATGGCAGTGAAACATGGCCGATAAGAGTAGAGGATATTCGTAGGCTACTAGTATTCGATCATAGGTGTCTTCGAAGCATTGCTCGTATATCCTGGGACCACCGGGTAAGCAATGCAGCTGTTAGGAAACGGGTACTAGGTAAGGATGACAAATCGATTGATGGCGTAGTGAAACTTCACCAGTTGAGATGACTGGGACACGTGTTACGCATGTCCAACCACCGACATGCAGTGTTTTATGGTGTAGGAGTAGGTTGGAAGAAAGCTAGAGGCAACCAGACCAAAACGTGGCACAAATCCATGAAGTCACTGACAGGTGGGCTGAGTCATGTTGGTAGGTGTAGACTACCTGGTTGGGATCCGCGAGATGATAGCAACCGATGGTTAAAGACCTTGAATGACATGGCTCAAAATCGTTTGCAATGGCGAAGGTGCATCCACTCTTTGTGTTCTACCAAATTCTAATCTGAATTCTTCATGTCTCTATCATTTTTCTCTTTCCAAATGAAGTCGTAATATAAAGTCTATTTGATCACTGAGCAGTGATCAATGTTACATTTATCATAATGTGACACTGGTCACTAATCAGTAGTCAATCAGATGTAAATATCTCAATCCCACAGGTGATCAATTGCTGCCCGAATAGCTCAGTGGTAATGTTTTAGACTGTGAAGCTGAGTGATGCCGGACCGTGTCCACCAGACAGTAGCAGTCCCCTCAAAATTAGAGATACTTCTTGCTGATGCTTGCCATGTACTACGAAACCTAGATCCAAAGTTTTCAGTCAACTACCTTCATTCACATGACATCTGAACTAAGTCGTAATGTGATGTAATAATTCTGTTTTCATGGTAATAAAATGACATTGTGAACGTTTAACAAAGTAGGATACCAAGACGGAAAATAACTATTCAGAAAATAGCAAACATTAATAGCGTGATATTATAAATTGGAAGCTATCAAGGACTTAATTATACACTAAAATTACAATTTACTAACAGAGAATCTAGACTATTTGATTCCCTAGCAGATTTAGACTAAATTACAGATAAAGGTTATCATCCAATATGACAATATAATCCCCAATTTACTGGCTACGCAAATCGAAATGTCAACTCATTAACGAACGCAACTCGAATATTCTTCAATAATTTTTGCACTAAGCTCGCAACTATTTGACACGAGAATGTCTATTTCCCGCTTTAATCAACGAAAGTGAGTGGATATATGGAATCTTTCAGTGTATCCTCGGGAATTAGCCATTCATGATGTTGATTACTGTGGCGCCTAATTCGAAATTATCTTACCTCACAGTTAAATCGCCTCTTCCATAATCTTGGAATCATTTAACAACACCATTTACAATATTTGGTGGTGTGTGGTGGTTGACAGGATACTCTGGACCGAGGTTTAATTTTAATTGGCACTTGTCAGTACAGTATGTAGTATCGGCTGTTATGTTAAGCCCATATACTTTATTCTAGCTATGGGCCAAGCCAATTCGCCTGTTCATATTGTGTCATATTTTGATATTCTTAATTATTCGCTTATTAACCTTGACTACCTTGTTATGTGAGCGCATGTGTATGTGCCCTTCGTATCTTATTCATCATATGTCTGTCATTCATTTTTGTCTGATTATAAATATTGAGTAATGCTTGCTCATATCGAGTTGGCATCCCAGCCACCTCCAATACGCATTATTTTTGCTTCACTCTTGAGTTGGCTTCCCAGCCATCTCCACTATGCATCATCTCTGCTTCGCTCGCTTACACTTGCGCATGTACTCACAGCTTTCTGGTCTTCATCATTCATCAATAAAGATGTAGTTACCGCTTCAAAAAAAATAATGCGTATTGGAGGTGGCTGGGATGCCAACTCGATATGAGCAAGCATTACTCAATATTTATAATCAGACAAAAATGAATGACAGACATATGATGAATAAGATACGAAGGGCACATACACATGCGCTCACATAACAAGGTAGTCAAGGTTAATAAGCGAATAATTAAGAATATCAAAATATGACACAATATGAACAGGCGAATTGGCTTGGCCCGTAGCTAGAATAAAGTATATGGGCTTAACATAACAACCGATGCTACAAGTATACCTACAGTCTTAACTAAGCTAATACTTCTTAGTGGATTCGAACAGGGGTGAACCGACTTTATGATCTGAAACATTCCCACTGGGTCATTGGATCTACTACTAACATGTAAAACTGAGACATTTACATTGTCTGCTCATGTTTTTTATATTTTTTTAGTGACGGTCAGATTTTACCAATCATATCCCAATATAAGTACTAATCTTTATTACTCGACATTGAGTGCGCTAGTATGAGATGTTAAACGGTTAGAGTTTTTTCCGCAGGAATCGCTTGCCACTCGATGACAGAGCAATAGTGCATCTATTGTCCACGTATACATATTATTTCAGTTTCAGTTTCCATTTGGATAGATTACACTTATCAGACATTAAATTTCTCTGTTGTGCAACAGTAAAATCTAGTGTTAAAGTGGCTCTGAAGGAGACACGTTTCATTCCAACCTTCGGACTTATCATTCGAATGTATAAATATTATGATCCAATAGAGTTTTTTTGGTTTCACATGGTAGACTAAATATGATTAAAAACTACTAAAAACCAGGAAGTACCGGACATTTGTTTTATTTCTAGCATGGTTATCTAACTGAAATCAGTTTATAATGTAAAAATACGGAGTTAACTAATCTCCGCAACACCTCCACCTGCCTATACTAATAGGTTTCTATGGTTGAAATACTCCAATGATTTTGTTCTCTTTTCTATTAAAAATCTTTTCATGTATCCATTCTCTAGTTATTTACATGCTAAGAATATAATACATCGTGACTTAAAGTCAAGTAATATATTCTTACATGATCGTACTGTGAAAATTGGGGATTTTGGTTTGGCCACAGTGAAAAGTCGTTGGTGGAATACTGGTTGTCAACAACCAACTGGATCTATATTTTGGATGGTAAGTAGAATAAATTTATTTCACTGTGTTATACTCCTTGAATAACATCTTCATACCCTAATCTTCTGGTTTACTGCTTATACGCTTACTACTTCTACCACTATGGGATTTGAATCGATAGTTGTATCTCTGTGCTAATGTGGTATGGCAACTCGTACTGATGTACGTACGTACGTACGAAGTTCTACGTTGTGACTGACTGAAGTAGAATAAATAATAATAATAATAAAGGCTTACTTAAAGAATAATTCACATTTTTACTTGTTAAATTACCTATAAACAGTTGCTTTACTTTATCCTATCGTCTCATCCTTTGCCATTTTCTTTTCAGGCTCCTGAAGTTATTCGTATGGAAGGTGAAACACCTTATACTAACCTTTCAGATGTATACGCATATGGTGTAGTGATTTATGAATTGATCACTGGTCAATTACCTTATTCTCATTATAATAATCGTGATCAAATTTTATTTCTTGTTGGTCGAGGTTTATTGAAACCTGATCTAACTGTATGTCGTGCAGATATTCCGCATCAATTACATCGTTTCTCATTAGATTGTTGCAGTTTTCAACGTGAAAATCGGCCACCATTCTCTCAGGTAAATTAAACATTGTTTTTCTTTAAATTCATTTAGTATTGTTTATTTGAATCCTCCCATTGATGCACAAGAATGTGGCTATCAGGACTCAGTGGCCGAGTGGATAACGCGATGGCGTTTGAAGCGAAAGGTGCTGGGTTCGAGTCCCAGAGTGAACATCAACTCTGAGATGCAGGTACATTCAGTTGACGAGTCCCGAATAGGTCGAAACGTGCGTCCTGGATTCCAATGCTAGGCACTATTCATCTTTGCTTACCATTGTTTTCTTTGTTTTTATGTCAATTAATTTTCATGATTTTATTGTATTTTGAACTATTTCGCGATGAATTTTTACCTAGAATCTAATTAACAAACAACTTTTAGTTTAGCTTTAGTGGAAGTTTGTATTCCAAATGATTAGTTCATGTCACGTTCTCAGTCAGTCATCAACAATATAAAACATGTCCTTTATTCATTTATTTGAACACATAAATATTGGTATAAAGAAGCACCGAATACATATGCGCCGCACAAATCTCATCTGGTTTGTGTGGGGCCCGTGATACTGCCCATGCGTCCAAACTGAAGCAGGTGGTTTTCTTCGGGGGCCACACCCGGAGCTTTTGACCTAAAGGTCTGATCCACAAAGCAGGGGAGCATCGTGAGGAGGTGCAGTCCCATGGTAGTCAGTGACCAATGATTGATTCACACGCCATTTGTTCTCTCAGGATACTGGAGTCCATGTGCACCATCGGTTTGGAATAAGGGTTTTCCAACTACCCTAGGTGAACTTTCCATGTCCACCAACCCTATTGAAGCGCCGGACATTCGCTTTTCGTTCTCTCAATTTTGTAAACAACACCCCTGCCGCGAGAAGGCAGTGAGTAGAACTTCCCTGACAGTGGCTGTATATGTGTGGCCTTGTAAGAGCATATGTACATCGGTCTATGCCTACTGCAATATAAAGTTATCAAGATGGACTCTAAAATAATAGAAGTATTATCAGTGTCATTGGTATTTGGAAAGGTTTGGCATAGACTATACGATTTGAGAGGGAAGAATAAATTTGCAGTATGAAAGGTTTGAAATAGTTTGCACACTCAAAAATTAAGAATAAATGTATTTGCACTATTTTGATCATTTCTGGGTCATCACACTCGACGTCTCCGACCGTTGGCCACGATAATCTCACGAACGTCAATAAAATAATCTGAACGTACTGTGGCTCATCCTAGACCAATCAATCTACAGTTCTTTACAATTGTGTCTAGCAGAAAACTACAGAATTTCAGTCACCACATTAAATATTCTAACCCCACTCCATGTACTTGAGTATAATCATCTAAGTTGTATAATTTAAAGCTGAGTACAAAAATAAGTTACGATCACTCAAAGTATCGATGAGAAGTAAAGAAATTTCATAAATCGTAAGTTATTCATAGTGTCATTACAAGAGTGTTTATTTGTTAACCAATGCACTATTAAGTGTACGGTTTCACTTCGAACAGACTTAGAAAAAGAGTATTCTGTAATATTCTGACAATAATAACTTCATAGAGCTTATTGGTATTATGTGTTTTATGCATTGAATGGCATTATTCGTAAGCCTTCATGGTCGTTCTGTGGAATATTATTTCATCCATATACTAAATTAGTTCTTCTTGATGGTGTTGTTTTTGTTACTTGATTTTACACTCCTACTATCTTGTCATTGATTGACGTCTGACCATATGATTGGTTAACCTTTCCTGTATGAATTGATGTTTTAGATCTATATCAATCGATTTAAAACTATACTTAGGATCTTAACAGTCCTCACTTTGTATATCATTCATTAAACCTGTAATGTATAACCTTTATAAACAATAAAAGCACTACCTTTAATGAACTCATAATACTCTACGAATATCATCTATTACTGTTAGTAATGCCCTAAATCGTGATTAAATACAACTAGTCATGGCTTCTTACTTCTAATGATTCTCCTTATAGTACTTATTAAATTGCCCCCAAATGCCCTGGTACGGCCGAGAGTGGGGAGAGTCTGCTCTCCCTCTCGAAATGCTCTCATATGGCCACGCGTATATAGCCACTGCGAAGGAAGTCCTACTCACTGCCTTCTCGTGGTTTTACTGTTGCTTACGAAATTGAGAGGAAGAAAAGCGAACGTCCGGCGCTTTAACCGGGTTGGTGGACACGGAAAGTCCGCCTAGGGGAGTTGGAAAACCCTGATTCCAAACCAATGGTGTACATGGGCCCCAGTATCCTAAAGGAACAAATGGCGTATGAACCAATTGTTGGTCACCGGTTTCCATGGGTTTGCATCTCCTTACGATGCTCCACTACCTTGTGGATCAGATCTTTAGGTCAAAGGCTTGGGGTCTGGCCCCTAAGTAAACCACGTGCTTCAGTTTGGGCACCTGGGTAGTATCCAAGCCCTCACACAAATCAAATGAGATTTGTGTGGCGCATATATATCTGGTGCTCCTTTGTACCAATATTTATGTGTTCAAATAAATAGATAAATACTTATTAAATTATTTGTCTAAAATTAGTCCAATTCATGATGTAAACTATTTTCAAATATAATCTAATTAACTTTAGATTAAATTATACATTAGAGAAATGTAGTAAGTTATCAAATTATTTCTCTTTCAATTCATATAGTATTGTTTGTTTGAATCTTCCTATTGATGTTTAGGACTGCAACTGGTCAGTCCCTTATTGGCATATGTGCATACTGTGCGTATTGCCTCGATATAGCCTTAATTCACAAGCATTATAAAGAAAGATGAATAGTGGCTGGCAGTGGAATCCAGTTTGACGCGCATTTCGTCCTATTTGGGACTTGTCAGCTGGATGTACCTGCATTTCATAGTTGATGTTCACTATGGGATTCGAACCCAATACTTTTCGCTTCAAACGCCATCACGTTATCCATGCAGCTAGAACGAAACGCGCGTTCTAGATTCCACTGGTAGCCACTATCCATCTTTATTTCCTTTTCAGTTATAAATATTATATTTGTTAGATTGTTTTCAATAACTTTATCTACTGGATTCTTCTTTTTTCTTCTTTCAATTATATCATTGCATAGATTTATCCATGTTTAGATTCATTATATCGTTCATTACCAAAATTACATAAATGTTCATCAGAACCAAATATAAATGGTGTTATATCACGTGGCAATGTAACAATTGGATCTTCAAATAATGAACGTTTAATTATGGATGAATTTAATGATAAACGTATTATTACTAATAAATCCGCTACAGTGACAACAAACTATCTAAGTTTATCCCCTAAAACACCCTTTAATAATAATAATCATAATAACAGCAGTAATGAATTGTTCTTTACAAATCGTAAACTAACCGATACTACTACTAATATGACATCACATTCATCAAGTAATATAGATAAACAATCTACAAATACTACAATAATCACTGACCATTCATCATCATCATCACCTTCCCCACTTCATCTTTCTGATGATACTAATACTACTACTACTACTGCTACTGCTACTACTACTACTACTACTAATAATAATAATAATAATAATAATACAGAAGAACATGTTGATCGTACCCTATCATCGTCTATCATCCATGTTACATCTTCTTGTAGTTCTTCACCACCATCACCATCATCAATTGTAAATGAACGTACAATATTGATTGTAGACAGTAAAATTGTATAGAAAAAAAGTAAGATCGTGTTTATTCATCATTAACTTTTATTATTTTTATTCTATTCTTTTTTGTTTCATTGTTGTCATTACTTACTTACTTACTTACGTCTGTTACCCCTCGTCGAGGAGCATAGGCCGCTCACCAACATTCTCCAACTCCGTCCTGGGCCTTCCTTTCCAGTTGTTGTTGTTGCGCTAATCAAATTTCTTATTATTATTACTTATTCATAAGATGATAAGTAAATTATTGAAATATTTCTATCTTTTCTCTTTACCTATTAGATTGTAAGCTCAATGTGTAAATCTCTCTTTCCTCAGATACACAATACGCACATGCGTATCATATTACGTAATAAATAAGTTACATTGTTTCTTTTTTTTTCTTTTTACAGTTTTATAAACTGTATAAAGCTTTCCCTTCCCCCTCCCCCTATTTACTATTCCTCATTGTCTCATCTGTGATAGATAATTGTTTGTTTTTGTTGTTGTTATTGTACAGCTTATACTTTACCCTTCTGCCATATATGGTACTTTTTTTTAAATATTTTCATATGAGAAGATTCTTTTCATTGATTTTTTTTGTTGTTGGTTTGTTTGTTGGTTGGTTTCTTTCTATAAAATCTTGAACAAAACCATATCGTTTTTCATTTGGTTATTTATTTTTCAACTTTGATCATAATGATTTCAAGTTTAATTTTTTGTGTTTTTTTATTTTGTCAAAAGAAAGAGATATGATGAATGATTATTGTCCTATCGGTGTGCATATATATATATATATATATATATATATATATATATATGTACTATTCAAACAATTCTTTTGGTATTTGGTTATTATTCATGATGTCTGTTGTGACCTCTCTGTCGTCTGCACCAATGAAATGATACCTCTGCCAGGGATGTCATACTCACTTCCTTCTAGTGGTGGGGGTGTTGCTCACGAAATTGAGAGGACAATGTCCGGCGCTTTAACCGGGTTGGTGAACACGGAAAGTCCACAGAAGGGAGTTGGAAAACTATGATTCCAAACCAATGGTGAATATGGGTTCCAGCATGGTGAAGGAACAAATGGCGTATGAATGAATCGTTTATCACCGTCTACCATGTGACTGCATCTCCTTACGATGTTCCACTGCCTTGTGAATCAGATCTTGAGGTCTAAGGCTCCGGATGTGGCTCCCTAAGAATACCACCTGCTACGGTCTGGACACCCGAGAAGTAGTACTTGAAAGCTAGTCAGACTTTTTATTATGAGTTCACATTGTGTTAGCACAGTACTTTCAAGAACTTTCCGCCAACGTTAGAAATTTGTGGTGCGAAGAAATGTAGATCTTTCCTAGCATTTTTCTCATCTTTAAAGATATGTGTAAAGGAACGTCATACCTTTCTTACGTATGCCCAACTACCGACTTCCCGGAAGTGCAATGTTTCACGGCGTAAGAGTAGGTTGGAAGAAAGCTAGGGGCGGTCAGACCAAAACGTGGCACAAATCCATGAAGTTACTGACAAGTGGACTGAGTCATGTTGGTTGGTGTAGACTACCTGGTTGGGATCCGCGAGATGATGGCAATCGATGGTTAGAGACCATGAGTGACATCGCTCAAAATCGTTTGCAATAGCGAAGGTGCGTCCACTATATGTGTTCTGCCAAATTCTAATCTTCTGAATTCATGTCCCTATCTTTTTTCTCTCGAAATGTATGTCACTGGATTATACTCCTTGAATAAAATCTTCAAACCCTAATCTTTCGGATAACTGTTTATACTCTTACTACTTCTCCCACTATGGGATTTGAATCGACAACTGCATCTCTGTGCTAATGTGGTATGGCAAGTCGAGCTGATGTACGTATGTACGAAGTTCTACGTTGTGACTGACTGGATACCCCTCTTCAGTCAGTGATAAGAACTCAACCACAGATCTTAGATTGCTGCTTTTGATCTTATTGTTCTCCAATCAACCTAATTAGCATGTTAGAACTTAAAACAAGAAAAATTCTCTGGGATTATCACGATATTGAAACCTAACTGCAATTTCAAGTTATCACTTATTAATAGGTTGCAGTGATTTAGTAGATGTTGTTATGACCCGTAGCAAACTACTCGAAAGAAAACATGAACTGAATAAGAAGTGCCAGTCAGCCAAACTTGTGATATTCTCTAAATGATTCATTCATCTTTGACGTTGATGAGATTTTGTAGACTGATTAGTGCTGTCATCCAAGGTGGAAACGGTTCAGGGTGATTGATTTTCCCTTGACCTTACAAAATCAACAATGGACTTTCCCTACAGATCAGGTTGCACCTAATAAGATGATTTCTACATTGAATGATTTTATGAAATCTTGGTTTATATTAAGGAATATCTAAATTACGTATATCTACTCACCCAATAAACATGTATAACTCATGAATCTATTGAATAAATCAACTATAATAGAACCTGCTCTGTTCAATAACCCTTTAATCAATAATAAAATCTAAATAATAGAAAAAAATATCTGTTTATATAAAGAAATGTTCGGTGCCTAATCATTTAATACCTTTCCCAACCCTTAACACCGAATATAAAATAAAGCTTAAACACTCATCGAACTGAAATGTCTTTTTTTAAACTCTAAAATATAATCAGAAGGAGTTTTGTGGAGGTTTTAGTATTTTCATAGTCGAAAGCATGAATCAATTGAAGCTAGACTACCATAGAGAACCTGGTAGCACTGGACAGCCGTTTCGTCCCAGTGTGGGACTCCTCAGTAGTGCATATTCACGATCTCGCCTCGTCTGTTGTGAGAAAGAAACTCACTGAAGACATTGGTGAATGGTTGCTCAATTTCGTGAATTTGTTGAAGTTAGACTTTAACACCATCGGATGTCGGGTCATTGGTCTAGAGGTTAAGCTCTCGCGCTGAAGACTGGTAGATCCTGGGTTCGAATCTCGCGATGCGAGGTCGTGGATGCTCATTGTTGAGGAGTTCCACAATAGGACGAAACGGCGGCCTAGTGCTATCAGGTTTTACTTGCCGGTCTAAAATATAAGTTTTAAATTATTTCAAATTACATTAATCGTTCATATTTTCTAACATAAACAAATACATAAAAAGAAACGTGTCTCATATCAAATCACCTTTGATCTGAATGACAAAACATTAACATGATCTGATTTATTTCCATATACTAAATATTTGATAAGATTTGTAGTAAAAGTATGATGTAAAGGCAGATCAATCAAGATTAAAAACACAACTTTTGAGCAAAATCAGAATATCAAAGATAATAAACAGTAGAAATATCTTAATATGTTGTACAAAACATTTAGGGTTCATATAGTTGAAACCATGAGTCAATTGAAGTTATATCACCATGGAATACCAGGAAGCAGTAGACGGCCGTCTTGCCCTATTGCGGGATTCCTCAGAAGTGCGCATCCACGATCTGGCACGCGAGATTCAAACTGAGAACCCATCAGTTTCGCGCGCGAACATTTAATCTCTGAACCACATCCAACGGTGTATATATATAACTTCAATCAATCCACAAAATTGAGTGGCACATCCACTAAGTTGATATCTCCCAACAGACCTGGTTGAACTCCACTAGCGATGGCTTCTCACTAGAACTCCAGGAAGTACCTCATAGAGACAGTCACTAATGAGCATATGATCATTATTAGAATTACTATAATCTCCACAAAACCCCCTTCTAATAATTTAGGATTGAATTGATAAATTACGTTTTATAAATAAAATATGGAGTCGACTTTCTTATTGATCAAATAGAAGCGGGACTTAATGTTCACAATTATCTAGATTGTATTCTCTGATAGAGTTTATTACATCCTTCAAACGATTGAAAAACCTTCAAATATAATGTAATCAAGAACTTATTTTTGGATGTTCATTATAACATTTGAAACTATATGTGGTTAATAAGCAAAGATGGATAGTGGCTAGCAGGGGAATCCATGGCAGGCATTTCGTCCTATTTGGGACTCAACTGGATCTGCCTGCATCTCAGGATTGATGTTCACTCTGGGACTCGAACCCAGTACATTTCGCTTCAAACGCTATCACGTTATCCACTTAGCTACGGAGTCCTGATAGCTAACAGCTTGTGCAATAGGTTAATGTTGAGTAAATTATTTACATTTATAATTTTTAGAAAAGGAAGAAGTGATAGTATTGTTAATCCCATACTCCTCAAAAGACCGATAATCTATAAGAGAGAACTAATGTTTAGTTATTTCATCAATTCACTTACAAAGTAACCTTTAAACGGTTCATTGAATACATCAATTCTGTCTACACTTTATAATATTTATTATTCTCTTCTCTATAAACAATTCATTTCTACAAATAGTGGATGCCCACTGCTGAGGAGTCCCACAGTAGGACAAAACGGCCTTCTAATGCTTCCACATTTTCTATGATGGTCTTGCATCAATTGTTGGGGAGATCCTGAAAATTTCTCCGATAGATATGACAAGCTCAGGAAACATTAAGAACCGTTTTTATCCAATCAGCGTTTGACTAGAAGTTTTGCTAGAAAACGTCACGAAAATGAACAGTTTCTGATTGGTTGATTACTACAGTGCTACTTTGTTTATTAGCATTCGAGAATTTTCAGGAAAACCCAAAGACTTCTAAAATACTCTAAAAACTCTATATTTTCTATATGTGAATGAACCTTAGGAGTGAAGTGCTTCTCGTATATTTTGTGCCTTTTCTCTCGTGTTGAGTCGCTGTGTAGTTCTAGCTTGGAGGTTATGAAACTAACTTAGTATCCGAATATAGCTTTCAATCAACAAATCGTATGACAATTGACTCATGATCTCAACCATTGAAATAGCTTATCTGTTTGGCTAAGGATAGGCTAAATAGTCGTTTCTATTGTTTATAGCTTATCCCCAAAACTATGCTGTCGGTATATTTACTCTATAGGAAAAAAACAAAAAGGAAATGACCTATAAAATATTGAACAAATTCAATTTACTACTCATTTGATGGAGAATCTTTGGAGGATGTGGAAACCTTTACATATCTGGGCAGCATCATTGATGAACACGGTAGATCTGATGTAGATGTGAGGGCGAGGATCGGCAATGCAAGAGTAGCATATCTACAACTGAAGAGCATCCGGAACTCAAAACAATTGTCAACCAAGACCAGAATTTTCAATACTAATGTCAAGACAGTTCTACTGTATGGGGTGGAGACGTGGAGAACTACGAAAGCCATCATCAAGAAGATACAAGTGTTTATGAACAGATATCTACGCAAGATACTTCGGATCCGATGGCCAGACACTATCAGCAACAAGCTACTGTGGGAGAGAACAAACCAAATTCCATCAAGGAGAGGAAGAAATCAGAAAGAAGCGCTGGAAGTGGATAGGGCACACATTGAGGAAATCACCTAACTGCATCACAAGGCAAGCCCTCATGGAATCCTGAAGGTCGAAGGAGAAGAGAGAGACCAAAGAACACGTTACGCCGAGAAATGGAGACAGACATGGGAAGAATGAACAAAAACTGGAAAGGACTTGACAGGAAGGCTCGGGACAGAGTGGGTTGAAGAATGCTGGTCGGTGGCCTATGCTCGATTGAGAGTAACAGGCGTAAGTAGGTAAATAACTACTCATTTGCATAATAAATCTGTATTTTTGTTTATAATTGTAAGATCACAATGAGTAGTATGGTTTTTTCGTAAGAGTCAAGTGAATTACACAAACGACAAATGAAAGAAAAAAAACGTGTATGCGAATTAATACTACTAACTGATTAAGAATTAAGTAGACAATAAATAATGACAGTTAATATTTATGGAATAATGTATCAATAATATCTTCACAATGATTATTACTCTTTTATTGTTGTCATGATCCTTTGAATACTACTGAAATATTAATTAGAAACTATCCATTCTCTCTGTTTCTTTGCTTCGTTGACGTTGTTTTGTTGATGGTCTTTTAAATTTTTCAATGATTAAATTATCCGCTTCTTCAGCTTTGAGAATATCTTGTTCTTGACGTGTATGACATAATACTATTGGTATTTCCATTTCAACATCACGTCCACCGAAACCAGTTACAGCTTTAATTCTTATCTATTTATTCATATGAAAATTAGTCAAAATTAAATATATAATAGTTATATAGAATAGAAATATGTATATAAAAGCTAGACCACCATAGAAAACCTGGAAGCACTGGACATCCGTTTTGTCCTATTATGGGACTCCTCAGCAGTGCGCACTCATGATTCCGCACTCGCGAAATTCGAAGCCAGGACCTACCAGTCTCGCACCAGAGCACTTAACTGATATACCATTGGAGTTCTAGTGAGAAGCAGTAACCAGTGAAGTTCAACCATGTCTGTTGTGAGATAACAACTCACTGAAGACATTGGTGAATGGTTGGTAAATTTCGTGAATCGGTTGAAGTTAGACATTAACACCGCTGGATACCGTCTCAGTGGTCTAGCGGTTAAGTGTTCTGGCGCGAGACTGGTATGTCCTGGGTTCGAATCTCGCGAGTGCAGGGTCGTGTATGCGCATTGCCGAGGAGTTCCATAATAGGACGAAGTGGCTGTCTAGTGCTTCCAAGTTTTCCATAATGGTCTAGCTTCAATTGACTCATGATCTCAATTATATAAAATTACTAAAATCTCCACCAAACCCCTTCTGATAATGTATATAAAAAGTTGGCAAAACTATAATTTGTGGACGAGTCAATCAGAAGCGTTTGACGGATTAGAAAATTCAAAGCTCCAATTTTAGTACCTGATACTCATGTACAATCGTTTCACTGAGGATTTTAGAGAAAACGTGATAATTGAGAGGCTACAAAAAATGGGACTACTAAGAAGTTATTTTACTTGTGATTGTGATATTCAAATGACGTTTGGACGTTGTGTAGACTACAATGATGATGTCCTTCGATGTAATATGTGTTAGAGGAAGAAGTCTGCTAGAATAGAGGTTTTCCTCGTTCAATCCAGATTGAGAATAAGGCAAATTATGACAATTGCAGCGAAATGGATAATAAAAGCACTAGTAACACTGGCTGCAACTGGGTACTGTAATATATACGGATGATTGGAGAGCGTACAGATGCCTACAAAGACGTAGTTATGTGCATCGTGTCGTTATTCACAAACGGAATTTTGTGGACACAACAACCGGAGTGTACACAAACAATATTAAGCTATGTGGTTGAGGCTGAGAGGGTTTTTGTGACCTTATCATGGCTCCAGAGACCAAGTATTATGGATCCATATGGATGAGTTCCTCTACCTTATTCATTATCATTTTAAAACCTTTGAACCTCTTTCTAACTTTGACAAGTTTTTGGACCATATAAAAGTGTATCCACTTTAACTCTTTGGTTTTGTATAATATATATTAACTCTATACTGACTGTTTACCGATCGGGTAATATTTCTCAAGGTCACCAAGGTCCGTTCAAAGGTCGTCCGTAAATTATAGTCTCGCCAAAAAGTTTTCACTGAAAGTAAAGTTTATCTACATCTTGTCATATAACATGAGAATAAAGATTGGATATCAGCATCATTTTTTTTACCACATATTAATCAGTTATAATATCGATGAACTAGAATATGTGAATATTGATAACCTGAGTTATTTGATCAGCTCCGCCTGTATCTCTTCTAGGGCTACATTCGGTCCCATGCTCAGGTAAAAGAGGAGGGTTGGGCATGAGGTAGGCAATCTTATCTCGTAGAAAATAACCTTGCCGGAAAAAACACTAACTAGAGTAATTTGATCAATTAATTAGTTACGGTACTGAGGCACCAAAAGCTTTTGATGAGAAAGCTATTTGACTAGATTCTATTTTATCATCATTTATGACAAAAACATGGATGTATACTTGAATGATTTTATTGTGAATCATAAAGTTCAAAAAATGTTTCAACTTATAATAACTGACGCGGAGATTAAACGGTAAGAGCTAACCACGTTGTGTTGTACGAACGTAACTTTGTTCTTCCATTGGACTATAAATATACCAAGCACTTGTTTTTGTTCCCTACCTCTCTGTACATATTCCAGAATAACGATTCTTAAATTAATTATTCCCTGATCTTAAAATAAGTTGTTAACATACATTCGCCTCCTAAACAACGAAAATACTGTTCAGATAGGGTTTTGTGGAGATTTCAGTATTTTCATAGTTGAAAGCACTAGTCAATTGAAGCTAAACCACCGTGGAAAACCTGGAAGCACTGGACGACCATTTCGTCCTGTTATGGGACTCCTCAGAAGTGTGCATCCATGATCTCATGCTTTCAACTATGAAAATACTGTTCGTTGTAAAAATATCTAGGTCAAAATCCTAGTCAATATAATTGCGATTAAGAGGTATAGGAACCGACTATAGTTAAGATATTGATTTATTGATAACCATTTTTGAATGAGGAGAATGTTATTCTTGAACTGAACTCAGACTGAACAACCTCTCATTTTTCCACCTTAAAACACCTGGTATCCCGAAATTGATTAAGTCCATCAGTTTCAAGATGAGATTTCGGACAATTTATGAAAATAACAAGAACCTCATTCGTTTTCATTTAATAAGCTATTCCTTCAATTTAAACTTGATTTTGACATTGTCTGTCAAAGTTTCAGACTATACTAAATTACATATTATTAAGGCATTATGATCTTGATGTAGGTTTGTTCTCTGAGCTGGATAGTTTAGTTGTAGAACTTTCATCGTCCTTCTGAACAACATCATTAGCACAAACTTCGATCATTATGATCGTAAACTAATATGAAGTCTTGAAAAGAGACTTTAAACCATTCAATAAGTTTCAATTATGTCATCACTTGTTACAACTGATGCCAATCCATAATAACTAAAACCTGGTAAATAGACAAACAAACAAACGATAACATACCATATATTGAACAATAATTCCCATATTTTCTTTCTTTCTATAATCTTTTATTAATGTAGAACTAGCAAGATTTGTATCTTGATGTTTAAGTTTACCATCTAATGCAATAATTGTATGTCCTCTTATCTCTTGTAATGATGGTCTTAATTGAAAGATTTCATTCCATCCTGTTGTCTTTGAATCAATAGGAAAACCTTTTTCTGTATCAATATCAACAATATTACAATGAATTGTACGACGTTTGAATAATGTAATTTCAACATTTTGGATAACCTAAATTAGTTTTAAAACGAGAGTGTTAGTTAAAACACCAGGATAAACTTTACATTTATAAATATGATGAAATGATTCTTGAATTATATTTTATTGTATGAAGATAATTACTTTAATTAGATCAGCTGAATTGTATCATTGTCCTTGTCGTACATAATTCCTTTTAAGAAGATTCATCTTGGTAAGATCTTCCTTTCACTAAACGTGTTAATCTGAGATAGACATGTTAAGAATATCAAGGAACATCATGTAACTGTTTCGTTCTAGTTTCAAAGTATTTATAATTTTCGATTGTAGAGATTGTTGAAATTCATGATTTCGAATTCAATTCATTAGTCATAAAATACCAGACCTTTAGGCTTTATGCAAGAATTGACAAAGGATGGTTTCAAGGATTTTAAAGGTTATACTGGAATTTACTATATACTATATAACTGTAACTGTGAAGTAACTAGATTATGAATATCTGTATTCCTCTTATTATAAGCTTCATTTTGACCTATAGGCTATTATTATTATTATACGATTCACTATCTTTAATTTATAGTCAGTTTAATAGTTACAGGAATGTTTAAAATAAGTGATTCGCACAGTGGACTCTGTTATTAGTGTTCTGGACTCAACAGGCAAGGCTAGTAGGACAAAGAACCAATAAGCACCCTAGGTTGTTCATGCTGATTGAACATCATTGGTTTGGCACAGTGTTAAGATTATATAAGTCGTATTGCGATTAGCGAATAAGTCATGTGATAAATAACCGGGTTTAAAAGTCACAACAAACTGGCCACGGGGGGTTTTGCGGAAAAAAAAACACAACAAGTTTTCTATTACAATCCAGTTTGTACTGTGTTTCCAGATATCCTCTCATATACATAATGAACATTAAAAGAATTCAACTGACGTACACATTCAAAAACTTTAATAGATCTACTATCTCTAACCTGACCAACAAATGAACTTCGAATTTACCCATTCATTTCTATTGACAGTAATCAAGAGATTAATAATTCTAAATGCTTACATTCTTTTCTGAGAAAGTACTTCAGTCTCAATAGAAAACGGATCCTTATCGTCTCTAAATTGAACTGTGTATGTAAAATAGATTATGTTGACTGTGATACTTCTAATACCGAAAAGTCGTTTCGGAAATCTTGGCTCGTACCAAGGAACATTTAAGTTACACAAAAGAAACCTTCTAAGAATCCCATAAAACCTAAAAATCTACAAATCGGTCAGCAATAACGATACGTACTATTTTTAACAATCACTAGGTCTATATTTAAAGTATTGAAATCAAATTAAGACAAGTAGTAGACGTTTTCCTTTAATTATCAAACCCCAGTATGCTCAGTAGGAAGAATGATCTACTTGTAAAATCATGTTGAACCGTTTATTCAGACATCTACATCTAGGTCTATCCAGTTATCATGTCATGAACATATCTTCTTATTCAACTTTACATATAATGAAAGACACATAAATCAACACAATTATTCATCATACAGAATCATCTACACTGGAATCAGATGGTAGTTGGAAGTAGTTGACAGGAAACCATAGACCTAGGTTTCGTGCTATTTGGCACTCGTCACCAAGGTGTACATGTAATCTTGAGTAAACTGATGGTACCTAACGGATTCGATCGCGTGTCACCCGACTTCACAGTCAGAGACGTTACTACTGGGCTCTCTGAGCTGCGACTGACCTTTTGTAAGACTGAGAAGCATTTTCAATGTCAATTCACTTATACTAGGGGCAAAACTGCAACTTGGTCGATAGGATTCGATCTACACTAAGAAGGACCTAACACACATGACATTGATCATCCCCACTCAGTGATGAATCAATTGTAAATAGACTGGAATCATATGACATCAACTTGATTAAACCTATTTTAATAGTACCAAATATTCTGTTTTATTTATTAGTACCCCTTGAGTATGTAGTAATTTCAATAGTTGAGATCATGAGTCATTTGAAGCTAGACTCATGATCTCAACTATTGAAATTACTATAATATTCACAAACCCCATCCTGATATTAATCAACATATGCTTACTAGTAACTGGCTTCAAGAGATATTTCCTGAAGTTCTAGTGAGAAGATGTGACCACTGGAGTTCGACCGGGTCTGTTGTGAGATAGTGACTTACGTAAGATAGTGGTGGACGATTGCTCACAATAGGACGAAACGTCCGCGTAGTGCTTTCAGGTTTTCCATGGTGGTCTAACTTCAATCGATTCATTATCTGAACTATTAAAATTACTATAATATCCACAAAACCCCTTCTGATATATTAATTCAATCAAGTTTTCATGTATTATAATATATTCATTTAATGAATTAAAATAAAATAAAAAAACTAAATTAATTGCTCAATAAAGTCATATATTATTTACTTACTTACTTACGCCTGTTACCCCTCGTCGAGGAGTATAGGTCGCTCACCAGCATTCTCCATCCCACTCTGTCCTGAGCCTTTCTTTCCAGTTCTTTCCAATTGTTATTCATCCTTTTCATATCTGCTTCTATTTCCTGGCGTAATGTATTCTTAGGCTTTCCTGTTTTCCGTTTCCCTTCAGGATTCCATGTTAGGGATTGCCTTGTAATGCACATTGGTGATTTCCTTAATGTATGTCCTATCCACTTCCAACGTTTTTTCCTAATTTCCTCTTCAGATGGAAGTTGGTTTGTCCTCTCCCATAAAGCGCTGTCGCTTATAGTGTCCGGTCAGTGAATGTTGAGTATTTTGCGTAGACAACTGTTTATAAGTACTTGTACTTTCTTGACGATGGATGTAGTAATTCCGCTTTTAGCTCTTCTAGAGTTACTGCCGGTCCCAAGCCCGGGTAAAGGAGGAGGGTTAGGCATGGGGTTAGCGACCCCATCCCGTAGAAAAGCTAACTCGCTAAAAAACGCTAACCAGAAAAAAAATAATTCAAAGTCATATACTACTAACTTGTATTTTTAATCGACGTACAATATTACTAGATTCATTATCAATTAATAGTTTCAATGGTATTGTTTCCCCATGAAAATATATATCTTTTGGTAATATAGCTGTAATATGTAATTGACCAGAATGAAAATGAAATGGTTGAATAATCTCTTTAGTATAAATATTATCATCTGGTTTGGGAATAGCCAATGTAAGTCTACGTATAACCAGATTGACAGCATTTCGTTTACCAGTTGTATATTGTGGTGTTTCTGATGCATAAATCTATAATTTAGATATAAATTCAAGATTGACATAAATTTTATGGTAATAGATGAATTTTTTCATAGTTGAAATCAAGAACCGATTGAAGCTAGACGACCATGTAAAAACTGGAAGCACTGGACGGCAGTTTTCGTCCTATTATGGGACTCCTCAGCAGTGCGCATCCACGATACTGTTTCACGAGATGCGTACCCAGAACTTACCAGTCTCGCGCCAGAGCACTTAACCGATAGACCACTGAGCTGGCCGGTATCCAACAGTGTTAATGTCTTACTTCAACCAATCCACGAATTCTGAGCAATTGACTCATTATTTCAACTATGAAAATACTGAAATCTCCACAAAACTCCTTCTGATCAGTAGATAAATTATTGTTTTAGTAAACTGTTTATAATGTAAGTACTTTTTAACTTTATTGTTTTTGTCTGTCATTCTTTACTACTTATTAAACAACCAGTAGTTCGTATTTATTTATCAGCATAGGATTGTGGAGCTTATTGAGTTTTTGTTCAGATCATGACCGAACAACTTTAGACTACTATTGAAAATCTGGAAACATAGTTGAGGGAACAATCACGATCACTCACGTGGGAATCTAATACATTACCCTCGGCCTCTCGTGAATGCTTAGTTTCTAGTCCAGTGAGAAGACATCCAACGGTGTTCATGCCTAACTTCAGCCAATCAACGATTTTTTAAGTGTAAGTTTTATACTCCCATTATGGTTTCAACGATTAACCGAACAGTCATTTAATAATATAAAATATATAACAATAACATAGAATCGCGAGCCCAATGTAAGTAGTATATGAAATGTCTATCCAAAACTGAATGAAGTCTAAATACAAGTAATTCTAACAATCTGATTTTATTAGATGTTTCATGTCTACCGAATTGAGATCTATGATATGAGATACTAATGTTCTGTACTCATTATAAATTACCTTTGATTTAATTGACGACTCGCTTGAATATCTAGGCTACCCGTTTTCTGACATTAACACATCTCAACATGTAATCGGTCTTTTGTTCGTTTTAATACATCATTATGTCTATTAATCACATAACCTATTCAGGTGCATTTATGAAATGTTTATGACCATTCGCTAGATGAGTTACAATAAAGTACAATCAGAGATATCATGAGTGTTGACAATATGCGGCGAAATAGAATGTATATTACTCATATGTTGAACTGCTGATATCTAACTGGCGATGACTCAATATTTGTCGTCAGGATCGATCAAGGAATAAGGAGAGGAAACTTGCTGAAATACATTTTGCTGAAAATTCTAGCTTAAATCTTGTCCAGTCGTGTATTGCTTTCACTATATTTAATCAAATTTTCCGATAACTATCCCATATATTTTTCATAGTTGAAAGCGTGAGTCAATTGAAGCTAGACTATTATGGAAAACCTGGAAATACTGGACGGCCGTTTCGTATATATATAACGTTTTAGCTGAAAAAAATAACAAATATAAAATGTGGGAACTAAAACCTAGAAGGTCTTTTACCTCTAACCAACTTAGATTATTTTCAAACCTTCGCCGATTGTATACATATATTAATGTTGAAATTTTATCAACTTCCAACCGTAGCTTTTCTAAAGTTAATGCTGGTCCCGAAACCGGGTAAAGGAAGAGGATTGGGTTATGTGGTCGGCAACTCTATCCCGTAGAAAAAAATCTAGTTATAGAAACGCCAACCAGATTAAACAAATTAAACCATTTAAACTCTACCCTTGAAGTTGAAGGAAGAAGAACACTCTCAGCAGTGTGCATCCACATGCGAGACTGATAGATCCTCTGTTCGAATCTCGCAAAGCGGGATCGTGGATTCTCACTTCTGAGGAGTCCCACAATAGAACGAAATGGCCTTCCAGTGCTTGCAGGTTTTCTATGATGGTCTAACTTCAATTGACTCGTGAATTCAACTATTGAAATTACTTCACAAATTATGTTAACAAAAAATATTATTATACACTTACTTGTAGAACATATTCAATTCCACATGGATTATCATCTAATGAATTTTTATTATCCATTTGTAATGTAATTGAAGCTGGAATATCATGTGTTAATGTGAAATGAAATGGTAAAGCATTATCCCCGAAACGTTCAATAAGTCGTTTCTAATGTAAAAACAAAGGTTAAGTAATATTAATTGATTTAATTGTAAAGAGTCAATGATACTTGCAAAAAATATAAATATTGAAATGCATTCGGACACTTACTCACTTACTTACTTACTTACGCCTGTTACCCCTCGTGGAGGAGCATAGGCCGTGCTTAGGACTGGCAGTAACTCTAGAAGAGCTACGGGCGTAGTTACTCGGACACTAAACACTAACTAATGAGTACAGCACCCAAATGTATCACAAGGCAAGCCCTCACATGGAATACTCAAGGCCAAAGGAAAGAGGAAGATCAAAGAACACATTAAGCCGAAAAATTTGGACAGATATAAGAAGAATGAATAAAAACTGGATAGAACTAGAAAGAAAAGCCCAGAATAGAGTGGGTTGGAGAATGCTGGTCGACGGCCTATGCTCCATCGGGAGTAACAGACGTAAGTAAGTAATGAGCAAATTTAGAATATTAGATGATAAGAGCGAGTCAGCAAATAAACTTGGGGACTAGGTTTCATGGATGCTGATACCTACTATCAAGGTGTATTTTTAATCTTAAGTAATCTGATGCTCACTGTGGGATTCGAATCTTGGTCGCCAAATATCATAGTAAGAGAAATTACTTACTTACTTACCTACTTACTTACTTATGCCTGTTACTCCCAATAGAACATAGGCCGCCGACCATCATTCTCCAACCCACTCTGTCCTAATAAGAGAAATTACTGTTGAATAACTTGGATGATAACAACAATGGATTCCCTATAGAACTAAAGTCTAGTTTTATAGTTCTTGGAAAATCTATTCTTTTTCATGAAAAAAATTTAACCTGACTTTTATGGTTACTTGGTGCAGAACCTCAACGATAGACTAGATATTTGAAACATGTCTGTCATCAGTGAGTTCTGTTTTTCAAAAATGAAATTAGTATCTAAAGATTAGTGGTATATAAGGTTCATTGTTTGATATGGAATCAAAGATTCTTGATGAGGTAATACAACTTTCAAATAAGAAAAGTAACACATTATCATAACAATATAGCTAATTTTTTTTATATAGTTGAAATCATGAGTCAATTAAAGCTAGACCACTATGGAAAACCTGGAAGCACTGGATGGCCGATTCGTCCTATTGTGGGACTCCTCAACAGTGCGCATCCACGATCTCACCATTTATAATGTTAAAACTTTTTTGAATACTGTAAGTGTTAATAAGATTGGAAGTGTAAGATTATTTTTCATTACGAATGTTTGTCGTATGAAGAATCAATTGGGAATTTTCACAGGATACTTTAACAATACCCATCTATAATCTAACATGACATGGTACCCTGGACTCATAAATCTTTCATTAATAATGAAATGAACTAAATTATATATATGAGCAGTTGGAAATCATTCTTTAATACCTTAATGGTATAGTGAATACTTTGGGTTTTTTACTTTGAGGTTGAACATTATTGTGAAGTTTCAAACTTAAACAATAAAGTCACTTATAATCCATAGTGGTTTCCAACATTTTTTTTCACGGGATATTTGACACCTTTGTATTGATAATGCATGACATTACTATCACCTGTTAAAGAACTGTTAACATCAAACACCATGATACCCAATGTTTATGTTAATCAATACGTATATGATTATAATTCGATCGTGGTTAGTTGAGAAATCTAGGTTGAGCATTTCGGTCGAGACTATAATTTATGGACGAGCCAATCAGAAGCGTTTGAGGGATTTCAAGGTCATGGCACCGACTTCAGTACCTGGTGCTCATGTAGGATCGGTTCACAGTGGATTTTAGAGTAGACTTGACAATTAAGTAGCTACAATACATGGGAATACTAAGAAGTTCTTTTATTTTTGATTGCGGTAATTAAATGACTTGTAGACCTTGTGCAGGCTACCGTGATGTTGTCCTTAGTTATAAAAGATGTTGGAGGGAGACGTTTGCTAGAATAGGAAGATTTTTCATTCGATCTAGATTGAGAAGAAGGCATGTTATAATAATTTCAGCGAACTGTATACTAAAAGCAGCAGGAAAATTGTTTGCATTAATTGCAGATTTTACTGAAAATTCGGCTGTCAGGTGCCACGAGTACTTTAAGGAAATTTCTATAATAAAAACGATAAACTTACACAACCGGAGTATACACAAACAACATTGAAGCTGTGTGGTCGAGGCTGAGAGGGTTTTTGTGACCTTATCGTGGCTCAAGAGACCGACTATTATGGAGCCATATGGATGAGTTCCTCTATCTTATGCATGAGGAATTCAGAACCTTCGAACCTCTTTCTAACTTTGACAGGATTTAGGACCATATATAAGAAGTGTATCCACTTTAATTTTTTGGGTTTGTATAATATATTTCTACTCTACACCAACTGTTTTGTGATTGACCATTATTTCTCAAGGTCATATTAAATCTATTCAAAGGTCGTCCATAGATTATAGTCTCGCCGCATTTCGATCTATGAAGGACTCATCGGTTGGGTATATATGAATCACGATGTCGATATTTACACCGGGAATCATACTTCAGTACTAATAGCTTTCATACAGTACATCAAAGTGTTATCGAATTGAACTATTGAGTCCAGTTATCTACTAGCGTATTTAACTGTAAAATTTAAACAACTATATAGTTCCTGTGTTTAAATCCTGCTGGTGGGATCATGAATGCGCACTCCTGAAGAGTCCCACTCCAGGACGAAACGGCCTTCCATTGCTTACAGGTCTTCCATGTTGGCCTACCTTCAATTGACTCATGATTTCAACGATTACATCACATACATAACAATTTTAGATATTCATATGAAAACATTTATCAATATACTACTTAAATAAACTTACTTGTACTTCACTATACTTATCTTCATCTATATTTTTATCTATTGGATAAATTTGTTTAGTTTGTATAAGAAATTCTTTATAAAATGTTACACCTGATAGAACATCATCTAATTGTTGTTCACCATAACGAAATGTACAACGTATACGAGCGAATATTTTAGATGATTTCAATTTCATTTTATCAATTGTAGCTATACCTTCAATTGGATCAATCATTTGTAAATCATCAAATATATCTCTTTGTATTAAATATACTACTAATTTATTATTTGGACTATTCTTTTTATAAATACTATGTTTAGTAGACATGATTATTGAATTACAAATGATAGGATACTTCATTTAAAGGTTTATATAGATGAGGAAACATGAAATATGATGACCTTCAATGGATTATATCACTAATGTAGGGTGGTGATGAGATAAGTTTGTTACTAAGCCCCCCCCCCTCAAAAAAAAACATAAGAATCTTGAAGGAAGAAACTGTGTGCTTTATAGAATTTTAATCAGAAGGTAGGGGGTGTTTTATGGAAATTTCAGTGGAAATCATGAGCTCATTAAAGTAAGATCATCAAGGAAAACTAAATTTTTTTTTAGTTGGTAACTATTCCTTATGAATAGAAACAATGTACTGTTGATCATATTTCTAAAATCCAAATAAATTGATCATTTAATCATACTAAGATAAGTATTAATTCCAAGAAAAATAAGTGAAATATGAACCGGATTATTGAAAATTTAATCTTTTATCAAAATATATAAATTTACATTATACTACTTAAATAGAAAATGAAGAATTAGGATGTTAAATTGTGATGTATGCTACTGATATCAACAGATTTAAGTAGTATGTATCATCAATTGAAAATGAAATTTCTAGTGGCAAAAGGTTAAAAAGATTGAAGAAAAGAGAATGAGAACAGAGAGTGATTGGTATGGAAATGAAAAAAAAACAAACAAAAAAACAATGAAGTCTTAGATGATTGACTGAACAGTCAAGCTTAGGACAATTGATTGACATTTACTGTATAGTTTTCAAAGTTTATTAAAATGTTCTATAATCTTGTATTTAAATACATTTAATTGTACACAATTGTGTTCTCGTTCACTACTAAAGTATAGAAATCTGTGTATTCAGTTTATTTATGTGTATAAATTAAGTATAATCTAAATATTTGTAGCTTAGTAAAGTTACTTGAATGTTTAATGTTCATTAAACTTGTTGAATATTCAATTTTAGTTGTGTATTCATTATTTTATTATATTAGAACATATTAATATTGGTACAAAGGGGTATCGAATATATATGCATCACATAAATCTCATATGATTTGTATGAGGACTGTGATACTGTCTGAGTTTCTAAACACAAGCAAATTGTTTTCTTAAGAAGGGCCACATCCGGAGCCTTCGACTTAAAGGTTTAATACACAAGGTAGTGGAGCAACTTGAGAAGAAACAGTCCCATGATATCCGGTGACCAACGATTGATTTATATGCCATTTGTTCCCTTAGGATCCTGAAATCCATGTTCACCATTGGTTTGTAATCAGCGTTTTCCAAATTCCTAAGGTAGACCCACTGTGTCCACCAACTTTATTGAAGCTCCGGACATTCACCTTTTGTCCTCTCAATTTCGCAAACAACAGTAATGAGACGAGAAGGCAGTGAGTAGGACTTCTGTGGCAGAGGCTATATACGCGCGGCCATGTGAGAGCGTTTCGAGAGGGAGAGCTGTCTCTCCTCACTCTAGGCCGTACCAGGGCATTTGGATGCTAGTATCAGGACACTTGATGAAATGTTTACCACAATTTTTTTGTTTACTAATTAGTAAACAGGTCATTGATAACACTTATGATCATCACGGAGAAGAAATACACGTATAAGTTTGAACAGGTTGTTGAATTTTATTAAAATCTCAAACTAAGCGATATTAGCTCACCATTGAAAACCAGGATGTACTGGATGGCCATTTAGTCACACTGTTGAACTCTTCAGCAGCGATAACGAAAGAGCGGGAACGAAATGCAATTGTTACGAAAATGCATGAACAATAATAATCGGAGATGATGGACTGATATTTGAAGAAGCAACGTTGAAGATTGAGACAATTGATTAACAGTTTGCAAATTAACTGTTCACAGTATTGTTGTTAGATTTTAGTCAGATATTCTGTAATTTTGTGCCCAAAATATATTCGATTGTCTCCACTCGTCTTCGCTAGTACATGTATTATAGAAAAGTTACATTACTCTATAAACTACAGAGTAAACAACATAATTTCATAATATAATGCCCTGTGGTAATACGGTCAACATAAACGTTTTTAAACCTAATCTTACTTTAACCACCAATCTCTGTCAAGCAAAACAGTGACTTAACATAATCCGATCATCTTGGAGGCTGAAAGATTACGGCTTCATTGTACAACGTCTTCTCCTTTGTTGGAACGTAAGCTCTGAGATAGCGTTTGAAGTGAAAGTACTGATTTCGAGTCCTAGAGTGCGCATCAACTCTCAGATGTAGGTACAACCAGCTGACGGGTTCCAAATAGGACAAAATGCTCGTCAAACTGAATTCTACTGCTAGCCACTATCCATCTTTGCTTCAAAAAGTCAATTATATCACAAATATTATATATTCTACTCATTTACATTTGTTAGTAATATAAATAATAATAATAATAATAAAATGTAATATGAAATGACATTTGTAGGAGGTCATCCTACGTCGAAGTAGATCCAAAAATAAATTTAATAATTTTGTCCTACATGTTCCACTTTCTTCAAATGACGACGTAATATAATGAATGTTTCATAAGATCTAAGTTAAATCAGCACTTAATTTATGAAGGGAAATTACTCACATATTCACACAATTAGGTATCCAAAGGAACAATGAAAAGTAAACAAGAAAAAAAAAAAGAGAACAAATATCGAAAAATAACCACAGGGTTTATAATATACATATATAACATCAAAAGGGAGTCATAATTATGCAACTGTCTATTTGTTAATTGGATGACTCTTTTTCAAATGCATTTTGTTCAAGAAGTTTAAGTTGCCAAATTTTACTCATATATTTTGAGTATATATCTATGCCAAGTATTTTCTTCAATAATATCTAAAAGGGATAAAAAGTAGTAATAATAAAAGAAGTAGAGGGGATATTGACAGTAAATACTGTTGTTTATATATTCTAAGTAATGTACATTCATGGAAACATATGGAGTGAAATTGTTGGCTTTAAATGTAAATTGTTACTCCAGGATTTACCTGTGATAACCATAGAGGGATTAGTCTGACTAACATAACATCTTAAATACTAGCCTCAATAATTATCGGGCGCCTAACTAAGACTTGTGAACTGCAAACACGATAAAATCAAATTGGCTTCAAACCTGGTCTTGACTACATCGACCACATATTCACCATTCGTCAGGTTTTAGAACACAGACATGTTTATCGGCGTCCGACAATGATAGTTTTTCTTGACTTAAAAGCAGCATTTGACTCTGTAGACTGAGAGGTTCGGTGGCAGTGTCTGTCATTGGAAGGTGTACCTGAGAAGTACATAAACCTTGTGAAGGCTCTTTACTCAAACACTACCAGTCGAGCGAGAGCTAATGGCGAACTGTCATATGATTTTACAACCTCAAGTGGTGTCCGACAAGGCTGTCCACTATCCCCATTTTTGTTTAACTTCATTATAGACCTGTTGCTGGAAATAACACTCTCTGCGACTGAATTTTCAGGAATTGATCTCCTACCAGGGGGACCACTAATCGACTTAGAATACGCAGATGACATAGTCCTGTTTGGTGAAGACGCTGACAAAATGCAAAGTCTTCTGTTAGAACTGGGTAATAATGCCAGGATGCGTTTCTCCCGATCTAAATGTAATTTTTTACTCCAGGATTGGTCTGCGTCAACACCTGAACTAAGGATAAGGAGTGAAGTAGTCGACAACTTCACTTAACTTAGAAGTCTGATCAGCCCTAATGGATTGGTGTCTGACGAAATCTCAGCACGGATTCAAAAAGCTCGTTTGGCTTTTGCCAAAGAAAGTTAGGGGCATCAGTGCTTGAAGTCACTAACTTCTAGTCTGAGCCATGTTGGTAGATGCAGACTACTTGGTTGGAGTCCGCGTGACCATCGTAACCAATGGTTGGAGACTCTGTGTGACATGGCTCAGAATCGATCACCATGGCCTAGGTGTATGCACTCTTTATCCTCCCTTAAACCTTGAGATTAAAACTGCTTCACATCTGTCTTCCTTCCTATAGTATATCCTTATATACTATCTTTCTTTTATACACTACCATCATTAAATTTACTGCTTCTATGAATTTGGTATTCATCTTGTTGTGCTAACGAGGTATGGCAACTTAGACCGATGCATATATGTGCCTGGTTCTACGTTGTAGCTGACTCACTTGGCTTTTATGATCCTATTGGGCTGGTAATAAATCAAGTGTATTTTCAGTTAATTCTTGTTGCATTACGATCTGCATTGAATATAATGAGTAATTCAGTTCACCCATAACAAGTTGATCAATTTCATCGGTCACATTGTTCCATTAGGATTTCGCGAGTACAAAAATTTATAAATGACATACAAGAATATTGTCTAATAGACCTTCAGAAACAACTAATAATCTATCCATCTATTAAATTTAATGTTTTATAAACCATAAACAATTCAAGTAAATTACTTCAGTCAGCTAGCAATCAGTTCATCATAATCTGATTACAATCGGTTGCAAATTTGGTTCAATTCAAGTTACCATCATGAATCGATCAATGTTGGACCACCATTGAGAACTTGAAAGCACTGGACGGCTGTGTCGTTCTAGTATGGAACCCCAGAAGTGCGCACTCACGATCCCACTCTCGAGATCCAAACTCAGGACTTTTGGTCTCGTACGTGAACGCTTAACCTCTAAACCGCTCAGCAGCCATTCAACGGTGTTAATGTCTAGCTTCAACCAATACAATCTATACTTCAAATGTCCATCATAAATGTCCTATTTAAGTACTCGATGCGGTTAATTATCTACCGAGTATTTTGAACTCATTTTCCCATACATAAATACATGAGTTTGAAAGTCTAAATAATACAAAATAATAAGAGGTAGTCGGTTGATTTTCCTCCAGTTCGGAATAGTTTTTAGATGAAGGGGTGAGGATTTTGTGTGAGCAGTCGAACGTCGGTATATGTAATAACTGGGTTTGTAGAATTATCGCTACTGTTACGGTACAGTAACTGTATAAATGATAGTAAGATTATGGTTCTAAAAGGAAGAAATGGAATACGGGAATAAAAAAAGGAAACAATATTAAATCTTAGACCAGTTTGCGCACCGTCAACTCGGGTCCTACAACAAAAGTTACAAACATTGTCCAGTCTTCAGCCTACATGTTTGCATGTGTCAGCATAACTTTGATCAATAGTCAACACTTTCCTGGACCGATACCATATCTTGTTTTGATCACTATTTTTTCTTAAACTTATATTACTTTGTCAAGCATTTCTTACTGACATAGGGAGTGGTTAAGTATCAATAATAAATGACTGTATGAATTTTCTCGGAGGTAATTGAAATTCAAAATATGTATAGCGTCAAAATGATGAATTTTAAGCAGTTTACCTCTTGAGATTCTGAAGATACATCTTGATCAAGAACTTCGTAAGCTTCATGTAGCCTCTTCAAGCCCACATTCTTTATACATTCCCTATTGATCAGTACAATAAAAACAACAATAATACAGAGTTATATTTAGAATTCTGCGTAAAAATAGATCATTTGCTCGTTTATTCAGTGCACTGCGCACTGCTGAGGAGTCCCATAATGGGACGAAACGGTCGTCCAATGCTTCCAGATTTTCCTTGGTGGTCTAGCTTCAATTGACTTATGCTTTTAACTATGAAAATACTGAAATCTTCATTAAACCCCTTCTGATAACACATACTTTTATTGTATAACTGTTAAGAAGCATATTCATATTCACATTCCTATTATTAAAAGTTTTATTTTGACCTATAGATTATTATTATACAATTTATCGGTCTTCAGTTATATCCAGTCTATCAATTACCATTTCCCATATTCACAGTCACTTTTAGCTAAATCTTGTACAAATGTCATTTTCTATTTTATGATACGATGTGGTCTGTATGGTTTTTATATAAACCTAATATGTTTGAAATACATGATTCACATTGCGGGGGTTGAAATTGATGTTCTGGACTCAACAGGCAGGGTTACTCAGAGCGATGGACTGATGAAAACTTTAGAATGCTCGTACAGGTTTTATGCGTCATTGTTTCGGTCATGTGAACATCGACACAGATGAAAGTAAATGTAGTTGATATGGCCCGATTAAAACAAAAAGCAAATTTTGAATGTTACCATTACATAGTACTATTCAAAATACAATATCGTAGACATTAAAAAAAATTCTGAGACCATATATATTCAATACGAAATGAATATTTAACAATAGATTATGGATTTAATTCGAAGAATTCTGTAAAAGAATCTAAGGGAAAAAAATATGATCCGATTTAAAGTTGTGAATTGACTATGAACACAACGATCTTACTCAAACTGAAGTATAAATCTTGGCGTTTTCTGTATAAGAGAAAATATGTTTGTTTAGAAACAAGTCCATCTCTTGAATGATGGCTCCCCGAATGCCATGGTATTGCTGAGAGTGGGGAGAATCCACTCTCCTTCTCAGAAATGCTCTCACACGATCACGCATATATAGCCTCTGCCAGGTAAGTCCTACTCACTGCCTTCTCGTGGCAGGGGTGTTGTTTATGAAATTGAAAGGACGAAAAGTGAAATGTCCAGTGCTTTAATCGGGTCGGTGGACACGGAGGGTCCACCTAGGGGAGCTGGAAAACCCTGATTCCAAACCAATGGTTTACATGGGCTTCAGTATACTGAAGGAACAAATGGCGTATGAACTAGTTGTTTGTCACCGGCTACCATGGGACTGAATCTCCTCACGATGCTCCACTGCCTTATGGGTCAGACATTTAGGTCATAGGCTCGGGGTGTGGCCCCCTAAGAAAACTACCCGCTTCAGTTTGAGAACCTGGGCAGTATCACAGCTCTCACACAAATCGAATGAGATTTGTGTGGCGCATATGTATCTGATGGCCGCTTGTACCAATGTTTATGTCACAAGGGGGTGTTTGTGGAGATTTAGTAATTTTATAGTTAAGATCATGAGTCAATTGAAGCTAGACCACCATGGAAAACCTGGAAGCACTGGACGGCCGTTTCTTCAGCCGTGAACACCTACGATTCCGCCTCGCGAGATTCGAACTTAGGACCTACCAGTCTCGCGCCAGAGCGCTTAACAGTTATCTTGGATTCTAATGCTGGTCTTAATTTATCAGTCTCATTATTTACACGATGTTCCATTCATGATTTACATTGTCAAAGAAATAAATATAAAATATCAAACCTGTGTAATTCTATAAAACGTTGTTTTAAATGTACAGATCGATTGATTGTTTCTTCTTCTAAAGAAAAAAAAACAAACAAAGAAAATTGAACAATAAACGATTGAACAGTCAATTACTTTCATATAGGAATTCAACATAGTATGGACAACAAAACCTACAAGATAAAATGAAGTAATTGTATCTCAAAGCATCTTATCAACTGAAGACAACTCAACACATAGGTCTTATATACTTTAGTGAAATTGAGATGGATGTTTCAATATAAATGAGTGGCATAACACATAGAACATGTATTTTAACATAATTACGATTAATATAGTCAGTCAGTCAGCTAAAACGTAGAACCAGTCACATATATACATTGGTCCAAGTTGTCATACCTCGTTAGCTATCATAATGATACACTTGTAGTGTCGGTTTCTATGTCAAGCCTACATACCTTATTCTAGCTTTCGGACAGACCAGTTTATTCATTATTCTTGAATCACCCCAAAATTTTTTTAATTATTAGCTTCGCCTTCGCCTTGCCTTGCTTTGCCTTACTTCGATTCGCCTCGCCGGGATCTAACTATACAGGGTTTTTGGTAAACACATCTGAAGAGTCGCAAATTAGAATAAAGCAACGAAGTATTGCTGGGTAGTTGTGAATTAATTATCAGTTAATGTCAGTCTGTGATGAAAACTGTTTTCGAAGCGAAGTAATCCCTACAAAACTATTCAACAAAGTAAGAATATTTACAACCTACTTGGTTCAATTGGTCCATTATCTTCTAAATTAGGCTTGAATAATAACTTTTGATCTTTACTTAAACAATTGTTCGAATTAGCAAGTACAGTTGGTACTTTGTTACCATTTTTACAACGTGGAATTATCGTAGGTGCACCAGGATGACAACCGTCTTTTAAAGTATCTGCTAAACAATTTACAACAGCTTCAATTTCTTTATCATCACTGAAATGTAAAAAAAGATAGTATACTGGTAGATTTGGAGATGAATTAAATAGTATAATTATGATCTCGCTGAACCCAATAGACAATAAACTTCTTGGGGTGTAAAGGATAATTTTCTTTTTTCATTACGATTTCACATTCTCAATGAAATCAGGTTAGATCGTATTTATACTTTCTGAGTTGTTGAATAAGGTTATGACTGGTATATTTTAGTGTTTAGATGTCGTTAATAGGAGATCCTTCTTGACATAAATTTAATGCTAGTCGATACTTATCACCAAGGCGTAAGTGTAATCATCAAGAACTTTATACTTCCTTCGGAATTCAACCCCGTGACACCCAGGTTTACAGTCTGAAGCTACTAATAAGATACCTGGACCTCATGTAAGGCTTAAATATTTACGTTGGTTGATCAGTCAGAGGTAACTGATGTCATATTTCGACGGTATTTAATAGTGATCGAATTTTATTGATAAAGTCATAGACAATAGTTACAATAAATCAACTCGAACATTTATCAGAATAAAATTAGGACTTACATTAAAATCATGAACCGATTCAAGTTAGGCCACCATCGAAAACTTGGAAGCACTAGATAGTCGTTCCAACCTAGTAAGGGAATTTTAAGCAGTGCTCATCCACGACCCCGCACACAGGAATCGAATTCAAAGCCTACGGTCTCGCGTGAACGCCAAACCTCTAGACCATTGATTTATTTACTTACTTACTTACGCCTGTTACCCCTCATCGAGGAGCATAGGCCGCTCACCAGCATTCTCCATCCAACTCTGTCCTGAGCCTTCCTTTCCAGTTCTTTCCAGTTACTATTCAGCCTTTTCATATCGGCTTCTATTTCCCGGCGTAGTGTGTTCTTTGGCCTTCCTCTTTTCCGCTTCCCCTCCGGATTCCAAGTTAGGGATTGAGTCGTGATGCACATTGGTGATTTCCTTAATGTATGTCCGATCCACTTCCAACGTCTTTTCCTTATTTCCTCTTCAGCTGGAAGCTGGTTTGTCCTCTCCCATAAAACGCTGTTGCTGATAGTATCCGGCCAATGGATGTTGAGTATTTTGCGTAGACAACTGTTTATAAATACTTGTACCTTCCTGATGATGATCGTAGTAGTTCTCCACGTTTCAGCCCTGTATAGTAGGACTGTCTTCACGTTCGTATTAAAGATTCTGACTTTGAAATTAGTTGAAAGTTGTTTTGAGTTCCACATGTTCTTCAACTGTAGAAATGCTGCCCTTGCTTTGCCAATCCTCGCTTTTACATCTGCATCCGATCCTCCTTGTTTATCAACGATGCTCCCCAGGTACTTGAATGTTTCCACCTCTTCCAGAGTTTCGCCGTCAGGTGTGATTGGGTTGGTGTTCCCCGTGTTGCATTTGAGAATCTTGCTTTATCCTTTGTGAATGTGGAGGTCTATCGATGCGGAGGCTGCTGCTACATTTGCTGTCTTCATCTACACTTGTTCGTGTGTACGAGAGACGAGGGCTAGGTCATCTGCGAAGTCCAAATCATCTAATGAATTCTGAGCTGTACACTGTATTCCGTATTTCCTTTCAGATGTCGAATTCTTCATAATCCAGTCAGTCACTAGAAGGAAGAGGAATGGGGAGAGTAGACAGCCTTGTCTGACTCCGGTCCTTACTGGAAATGCATCTATCAGCTGACCTCCATGCACCACTTTGCACTGTAATCCATCGTATGAGTTTTGGATAATGTTGACAATCTTTTCAGGAACTCCATAGTGTCGAAGAAGTTTCCATAATATTCTCCTGTCCACGCTGTCAAACGCCATCTCATAGTCAATAAAGTTGACGTATAGTGATGAGTTCCACTCAACTGATTGTTCAACGATTATCCGTAATGTCGCAATCTGGTCTGTGCACGACCGATCCTTACGGAATCCAGCCTGATGATCCCTTAGTTCGGCGTCTACTGCGTCTTTCATCCGATTCAGCAGCACTCTGTTGAAAACTTTTCCTGGTACTGATAACAAACTGATACCTCTGTAGTTCTCACATTGGCTCAGATCTCCTTTCTTTGGTATCTTGATGAGATATCCTTCTTTCCAGTCCGTTGGCACTTGTTCCTCTTCCCAAATCTTCTTGAATAGAAGGTGAAGCATGTTCGCAGTTATTTCAATGTCTGACTTCAGTGCTTCTGCTGGTATATTGTCAGGTCCTGCCGCCTTCCCACTTTTGATTTGTCTGATGGCCATCTTCACTTCTTCGATCGTTGGTGGAGTGACTTCTATTGGAAGGTCTGTGTGGGCTGCTTCGATGTTCGGTGGATTCAATGGGGCTGGTCTATTCAGCAGTTCCTCGAAGTATTCTGCCCATCTTTTCCTCTGTTCTTGAATCTCAGTGATTGTTTTTCCTTCTTTGTCCTTGACTGGTCTCTCTGCTTTGCTATATCTCCCTGCCAATTTCTTCGTTGTATCATATAGTTGTTTCATATTCCCTTCTCTTGCAGCTTTTTCCACCGTCGTTGCTAGTTCTCCCATGTATTTCTGCTTGTCGGCTTTAATGCTTTCCTTCACTTCCTTGTTTGCTTCTGCGTAGTTTGCTTGTGCTTTGACTTTATCTGCTCGTGTTCGGCTGTTGTTAATTGCCAGTTTCTTATTCTTCCTTTCTTGAATTTTGTCCAGGGTTCCCACAGAGATCCATTCCTTGTGATGATGCTTCTTAGGACCAAGAACCTCCTGACACGTTGAAGTTAGTGCTTCTTTTAACCCTTTTCCAGTTGTCCTCCAAAGTAGTTTCTTGTTCTTTCAGTAGATCCTGTACAGCTTGGAACCTGGTGTTGAGAGTTATCTTGAATTCATGGAGCTTGTCAGTATCTCGAAGGAAGGCTGTATTAAACCTTTGTAGTGCTGTTTGTCCAGTTGTCCAGTCTTTCTTAAGCTTCAGTCTCATCTTGGCCACAACCAGGTGGTGATCTGAAGCTATGTCAGCTCCTCTCCGGGTTCGCACATCTTCCATTGATCTTCGGAATTTTTTGTTGATACAGATGTGATCTATCTGGTTCTCTGTGGTGTGGTCCGGTGAGATCCATGTAGCTTTGTGTATGCGTTTGTGTGGGAATATTGCGCCGCCTATAACCAATTTGTTGAAAGCACATAGGTTTGCAAGTCTCTCCCCATTTTCATTTCTTTCTCCTAGTCCATGTCGTCCAATTATATCTTCATATCCTGTGTTGTCCACTCCAACTTTAGCATTTAGATCTCCTATCAGGATGGTGAGGTCCTTTCGTGAGCACTTTGCTACAATTGATTGCAGCCTTTTATAGAACTGATCTTTATCATCGTCGTTGCTATCATTGGTGGGTGCATAACATTGGATAACGTTCATTGTGATCCCTTGCTTCTTTGTTCTGAATGATGCTTTGATTATCCTGGGTCCATGAGATTCCCATCCCACAAGTGCATTTCGTGCATTGAATTTGTATCAAAATGTGTTGATGTGTAGCTTCAATCAATCCGTGACATTAAGCGACCGCCTTCTATTGTATTTGGTGGGTAATTGCCTCACACCTGATATGATTAAGCTCCACTAGTCATGGCTTCTCATTGAAACTCTAACTTAGATCGGTCAATGATTTCAATGAAATTCAACAATCTTCACAACTCCTTACTGAGAATAAAATTAAGACGTTAATCAGAAAAATCGTAATCACTCAAATATAACTGGAATAAAAATTTAAATGATATCAGATAAACTAGGAAATCGGTACTGAAGCTAAAACTAAAATAATCAATAAAAATAACGCCCAAAATGACCAAAATAAATGTCCATACCCTGGTTGCAGTAAGACACTTCCAACTAAAAAAGGTATAATTAATCACTGTTATGTAGTACATAGGTGGTCAGCAGTCACCGGACAGGAAGTAAAACCAAAGAAAAAAATAATGCAAAAACAACTATTAACCCCCGGTAGTTGTGTCGTGCTTCAATGTAGCCTCTTCTCCAGAAGGGCCTAATAGGCTTCACCAAATTGTTTGACTGAAAGGGGCACCAGTGGGAATACTTTAATTATCATCATCAACATATTTAGTTTCCAACGCAAAGGTTTGATTGTCTGCATCATGGACTAATATTAGTTAAACAATCTTCAAAATCAAGGAAACATTGAAAAGTCAACCACTGACCAATGAAAACGAATTATGACTGCACTGTACTATGAATTTATTAAACTTGAAAATTTGAACCTCTAGTTGTCAGGTAGGTTATCGTTAGTCAACGAGTCCTTTTTAAGGACGAAAAGATCCATTTTTCGACCTATGACAGTTAAGCCGAATATTTAGAGGAAATGAATGTCTTGTGTTTTCTAGTCTTCGGTGGCTCTCTAGCTAAAGTCAAATTAAGATGCTAAAAACAACTTTACTTGTATTGAATATTCTTCACAAACTATGACCAAAGATAACATAGAATGAAACTCTTCTAGATATTATTCCTTGTTTCATAAGAATCAACCCAATCATTGTTCGTAGTTAATCACCCAACTGCATCACGAGGCAAGTCCCAACTTGGAATCCGGAAGGGAATCGGAAAAGAGGAAGGTCAAAGAACACATGACGTCGAGAAATAGAAGCAGATATGTAAAGGATGAATAACAACTGGAAAAACCTGGAAAAGATTGCCCAGGACAGAGTTGGATGAAGAATGCTGGTGGGCGGCCTACGCTCATCCACGAGGAGTAACAGGCGTAAGCAAATAAGTAAGCAATTGTTCGTAGTTGTGCTTGGGAAATCAACTGTAATTTTATCTAATATACCTAGTTCCATTAGATTAGACGATTTAGTAGATCAAAACAGAAGTGATAAAGCATAATTGATTAGGTTTCATTCATATTCAAAGTAATGAACGTTTATTAAAAACAAATCGTAGAGCTAAGTAATTGAATTGCCTTTTTCAAAATATAAAATTTTGATCAATTAGTTAATGCAGCTCATTTAACTACAAGTTTATCTATATGGCATCAAGGTATACTGTTTTTACGAGGCTGATTATAGTAACAATCTGTCATGACCTAGGTAAGCGGTAATGTTCTGAAACGTTAGACCAAATAGAAAGATCCTGGTGATTTAGCCACTGAGTCACCTTCCTGCTGTTATGTAAAATACTACTTACTGTTTAAATAAATCTGTTTATTTAAAAAAATTGTTAAAAGATAAATGTAAACCAGCTGCTACCTTGACATGGTGGTCGAGCTTGACTATCGTGATGAACCAATCGAGCTATACTGGTTGGAACAATCGTTCGTCAAGGTCCTACCATCCCAGACAGGTCGGTTGAGAAATGGTAAAAACAAACGCAGCGAACCCAAGGTCCAAGGACGAAGTTGTACCGCTGACTGTACAGAGGTATGATGACAAGAGGGTGTTTCCCTCAGACAACTAGCATAACAGCAATGCTGCCTCCCTACAAAGGAAGGGTAGGGTTAGAAAAGGTCGACCCTAAAATGCACACCTCGCTTTATCCCACAGATTTCCGTCTCCGGCAGTAAGGTCTCAACAAATACAGAGCTAACACGAAAATTATTCACAAAAATCTCGTATGTGACCGACCTCAAGCAGTTGTCACTTGGGAACTGCGGTCATGTTCTCAGGTCACTAAGACCAACCCTCTTGAAGAATCCTTCCACGGTGTGGGCAACTGGTAAGTGGTAACCGTCCTCATACCTCTAACAGCACTCAAGATCACTGTCTTCATTGAGTTTTTTTAAATCAATAAAAAAATTACTGAGCAACAAAAAGTAACTTTATAATGCAACCTACTTTTGATGTACTAATTGATTGTTAATATCATTTTGTCTATTATCTTGTTCAGTAGAATAAACTTGTATATTATCATTCAAATTTTCTTTTCTGTAAATATTTTTAAATTGATCACTTGATGAAATATGATCCAAAGGATTTGGATCCGTTTGATTCGTTTGTGATGTAGAATTCGATTTACATTCTAGAGCGTTCTGGAAGCATGAACATAATATAAAATGTATATCATATGGAATTTACTTCTAGTCATAGTTCTAATTAATCAATTACATGTTACCTTGAATTGTCATGATGTATTCCTCACCTACTAGAGTGTTTCGAACTGTTATTCCATGTATAACTAACCGGCATAATGTTATACTGACCCATTTATATGTTGACGAAACACCACTCAACTAAATTCATTTGATGTTTGAGTAGTTTAAAGATTATGTTAGTCAGTAATGAATATTAAATCAAGAATTTCCAAAACAATATTAGATAATTCACTTAGTATTGTTTGTGTGAATCTTCCCATTGATGTTGAGGACTGCAACTGGTCAGTCTTTTATTGGCCATATGTGCATACTGCCTCGATATATCTATAATTCACAAGCATTGTATGCAAAGATCGATATTGGCTAACAGTGGAATCCAGTTTGACCTGTTTGGGACTCGTCGGCTGGATGCATCTGCATCCCAGAGTTGATGTTCACTTTTGGGACTTGAACCCAGTACCGTTTGCTACAAACGCCATGGCGTTATCCACTTGACTACTGAGTCCTGATAGTCAATTGCTTGTGCAATGTGGTGAAGTTATATAAAGCTTGTGACTTCAGGCAATATCGAGGTAGTCCGCACAGGATACTCATATTCCAACAAGAGACTGATCAATTGCAGTCCTAAATAACAATGGGAAGATACAAGTAAACAACGCCGAGTGAAGATACTTGTTAAAGTTTTTGATTTTCAAAAGTTGTTGATATTTAGAACTGCATTTTATTAGCTTCTGTTCACATATGAGTTCCTTGAATAAATGCCCCATAATTCTTTTTATTATAAGTTGATTATTATTCTGATGATGGCTAATTATTGAATCTACGATGAAGGTTTCCTTTTAATTAGGGCTCATCATATGGATGCATCGCTTTTCCAGTATTGACGTTCAAACTGACTCTTGAATATATCACATTTGTTGAAGAAGTTGGTGGTTGTCAAAACCCACTAGCTTAATAGATCATGTATAAGCTGTGCTTAAAGCAACGGCTACATGGTTTTAATCTTTATGTGAACATCAACCCTGGGTACATAGAATTGATCAGTGCTGAATTTAACTGCTACTTCTTGTTTAACAGATAAACATAGTTTAGTGGCTCTTAAATATCTGGCTTTGGCTAGATCGGACGAATGACTGCTGTCGAAATATACATTCTAGCTATCCTTGTGTATAATCATCGACGTAAATCGCGTTGATAAATAACGGAATTAATTAAGTCAAATATGAGAATGAAGTTTGAATATGTACATTTTGTAAACTCATTGATTTGGACAGATATTCAGGGAGACACAGCGAAGGAAGCGAAGAGAAATGCTTCGGAGAAGGCATATTAGCGTACTCAGTGAGACTGTAATTTATGGACGACCTTTGGACGACGGTAAAAAAAACCTTGGGAATGTCCACCTACATACTGTGGCTAAATGAGGGTTATTAAACCACTGTGAGAAATTAGAATTATGATTTACAATTGATAGTTACAGTTAGAAATTAGATTTAGGGTTTTTATCACGAACTGACATTAGCTATAGTGTCAAAACTCTATTAATCCAAATGAGCAAATTAATTTCTCGCCAAAATTCAAGATCTATTATCATAAATCTGATTAGTTCCTCCGTAAACTATAGTCTCGTCGTTGTCGGTCACAACGTAGAACTTCGTACATACGTACATCAGTTCGAGTTGCAATACCACATTAACACAGAGATGAAGTCCATTCAAATCCCATATTGGTAGAAGTAGTAAGAGTATAAGCATTATGTGAAAGATTAGGTTTTGAAGATGTTATTGAAGGAGTATAATACAGTGAAATAAATTTGGAAAGGGAAAAGAGATAGAGAGATGAAGAATTCAGAAGATTAGAATTTGGTAGAACACAAAGAGTGGATACACCTTCGCTATTGCAAACGATTTTGTACCATGTCATTCAAGGTCTCTAGCCATCAGTTGTTATTATCTCACGGATCCCAACCAGGTAGTTTACACCTACCAACATGGCCCAGTCCACTTGTCAGTGACTTCATGGATTTGTGCCACGTTTTGGTCTGGCCGCCTCTAACTTTCTTCCAACCTACTCCTACACCATAAAACATTGCACGTCGGGGCAGTCGGTGGTTGGTCATACATAACACATGTCCCAGCCATCTCAACTGGCGAAGTTTCAATACTTCATCAATCGATTTGCCATCCTTACCTAATACCGGTTTCCTAACAACTGAATTACTTACTCGGTGGTCCCAGGATATACGAGCAATGCTTCGAAGACACCTATGATCGAAAACTAGTAGCCTACGAATATCCTCTACTCTTACCGGTCATGTTTCACGGAACGGACTACTGCACAGTAAATCCGTCCTTTGGTTGCTAGACGGATTCGTCTATCCAAAGGCTAGAACAACTTGATATATAGTACCAGTCCCCCCTCCTATAACAGTTCTATTCACCATCATTTCAACTCAAATATCTGAATAATATCAATAGTTTACACAAAAAACTTGAATATGAATTCGGATAATGTAATAGATACCTTCTTGATTTGATCAATACCTGATGATGGAGATGAACTCATATTACAATGAATTTGATTGGTTATTAACTGTTCAATATTTTGATCCTTTATAACCTCCGGATAATGATTATCATTCAATGAATTATGTTTAGTTACTATGTTAGTGATTAAATTATTTTTATAATTTTTATATAATTTAGGTAACATTGATACTGGTAATATAGAAAATGAATAAAAATTAAATTTGGAAATTTTATGTAATTTTAAATTTGAATTGTTACTATGGTGATTATTATTCGATCTTGAAGATTTGATAGTTTGAACATGTTCTTTTTGATATTCATACTTTAATTGTTGATAATGAAGATGATGTTGTTGTTCACCTAAAATAATATAAGACATTGTTTAGAAGGGGTTCTATGGAGATTTCAGTATTTTTCATAGTTGAAAGCGTGAGTCAATTGAAGCTAGACCATTATGGGAAACCTGGAAGCACTGGACGGCCGTTTCGTCCTATTATGGGACTCCTCAGCAGTGCGCATCCACGATCCCGCACTTGCGAGATTCGAACCCAGGACCTACCAGTCTTGCGCCATAGCACTTAACCGATAGACCACTGAGCTGGCCGGCATCCAACGGTGTTAATGTCTTTAGATTTATATCTTAAGTAAATTCATGATAAAATAGAATAGACTTACCCATATATGTCCGTTACCATATGGAATGTAATTGAATAGAAGTAATAGTTAGTATGTAATTTGTTATATCCTAGTGAAGACATAAGTACGGGTAACTCCCAGGACTTATTAATGGACGATTATTCTATTTATAATTTTATTGTTTAATTATTGAGTAATTAGATTATGTATATCTATATTCATCTTATTATAAGCTGCATTTTGATCTATGAATTATTATTATACGAATTACTGCCCCTAAATTATATTCACTTTATTGATTATTGAATCCCACATTCACAGTCACATTTGGCTTGATCTTGTACAAATAGTATTTTCTATTTTATGGTGTGATGTAGTCTGTCTATTTGGTATATAAACCGAGTATGTTTGAAATAAACGATTCGCATAACAGAAGCTGTAATTGGTGTTCTGCATTCAATTGCAAGGTCTAGACGGACAAGGGACCAATAAAGACGCTAGACTGCTCATAACGGTCGAACGTCATTGATTTGGCACACTGCTCAGATTCCAAAAGTAGTATTCTGATTAGTGGATAAATCATATGATAAAAGCTGGGCATAATATCGCAACAATTTGGCAGACGGCCTTAATTTTTTAAATCTATAACATAATTTACATTAAGACAACAGTTTACCTACATTATTAGAGTCTTGTTTTTCTATAAAGAGCACTTAGAATCATAAAATTTATAATTTCACCATTACTTCTGATGAGAAAAGTTAGAGGAGTTAATGAGATGATCATTTGAGAGATACTAGAAGCGATTTTATGACCTCCATACATTTTATTAGTCAGTATTAATGCATATCATTATTGTCAATGATATATCATCAATAGATTTTGTCACAGACGTTAAAAGGTATCTGTGGTGAGGGACAAGAATTCGAGACCGAAAGTTAAACATGGAATGGATTTGTAACATTGTTTACTTTTGTATTTTCAAATGTCATTCATAGACAATAGATATTGAATCTTTGTATAATTCATTATAATTCAGCCTACTCTTCTTATCAATAAGTAGTATAATACTACAACTAAATCATTTTATCAGTTTGTTGTAGATTTTTCTTTGTTATTTTGTTATTTGAGGGGGTTTTGTGGAGATTTAGTATTTTTCATAGTTTTAAAGCATGAGTCAATTGAAGCTAGACCACCATGGAAAACCTGGAAACACTGGACGGCCGTTTCGTCCTATTATGGGACTCCTCAGCAGTGCGCATCTACGAACCCGCTCGCGCGAGATTCGAACCCAGGACCTACCAGTTTCGAGCCGAAGCCCTTAACCGATAGACCACTGAGCTGGCATCCAACGGTGTTAATGTCTAACTTCAACTGATCCACGAAGTTGAGCAACCATTCACCAATTGTCTTCAGTGAGTTCCTATCTCACAACAGACGTGGTTTTGAACTCCACTGGTCACTGCTTCTCACTAGAGCTCCTAGTTATACTTCTCGAAGTCACTGGTGAGCATATGATTATATTAATTATCAGAGGGGGTTTTGTGGAGATTTAGTATTTTTCATAGTTTTAAAGCATGAGAGTTGAGATCATGAGTCTGTTGTGAGATAGGAACTCACTGATGACATTGGTGAATGGTTGCTCAATTTCGTGAATCAGTTGAAGTTAGAAATTAACACCGTTGGATGCCAGCTCAGTGGTCTATCGGTTAAGGGCTTCGGCTCGGAACTGGTAGGTCCTGGGTTCGAATCTCGCGCGAGCGGGTTCGTGGATTTCGTTATTTGTCCCCTTATAACTACTGACTTCTCATATTTAGCAATTCCTTTTGATTGTACTAAACTATTGTATTTGTATGAACTAATGATTTTTTGTACTTGATGATCCATGTATTACAAATTCCAAATACAATACATTCATTTGTGTTCATCTGGTTCTACTTGTTGTATGTTGCACCATTTCTGGAGTTCGAATACTTCTAATTATCATATAAACTTATTGACAGTAGGAACTATGACTTGGGGTTATTCATTTATTTTCCTGACTTTCCTGATAGTGAATGCTATTTTTACGTAGTAGTCAAGCATATCCATCGTAATGGTCAAAATCAAACTTTATTGACTAAAATACATGTTTCTTTGGGAAACATCATGTCAAGTAGTCATGTTGGACAGCAGTAAGATTACTAGTAATAAAGTAAGCCCAGAAAACTAAATCGTGCGGCTGACTCTTCTAGATTGTCATGCGAGTAAAACTTTTAGCCCAAACGACCAGTATCTGTTACCTTCGCATAGTGGAAAATTGTCATTAGAAAAGGTCAGTCCTAAAGGTAAACATCTCATACTACCCCCACCCAAAGTTCCATCAGCATCTGTAAGGTTTCATAAGTAAAGAACCAACACACTAATAAGTACCAAAAAAAACATATGTGACAGGTCATCAGCAGTTGTCCTCTGGATTGTATGGTTAAACAGCCAGTTTCTTTTTCAGACTCTTCATGATGAAATATCATTCAATGGTGTGAGCAGCCACTTGATAACCGCTTACATATCTTTAACAGTAGTAAAAAGTGACTAACTATTCTAATTGCATCTATACAGTTTGACAGCATTTGATACAGTAGTATTAGTTCAAACGAAGCAAGAAATACCAATGTAACAGAATAATACAAACTCCATTCTATTTGTTTACAGTATAAAAAGGAATGGAAATTAATTTTTATGTTAAAAGATCTATTCAACATACTTTTAAACATATTTGATACATAAAACAATCATTCTATAAACTTACCTTCAACTTCAGACATTTGACGACGTTGACGACGACGACGTAATCGAGCATCTGATAAATGTCTATGAAGTGAATCATCTTTAAATTCATCAATACAATTAACATTACTCGGATGAATCTGTTTTTCATGTTGTCTATATACAGTTAAAGATGTTTTAATACTTTGATTCAAATTTTTGGGTACATTATTGATTAATTCATCTATTGGTGAATGTGTAATACCTTTATCATTACAATCAATAGACAAAGTTTGCTTCGATACTGACTTTGAATGTTCTTCACAATTTTGTTCTGTATTTATGGTGATTGGTTGCTAAAATCAAATGAATATGATTAGTAATGTTACGTAATTACATAACTGTGAGAAGTACATCCCTCTACTAAAATAGTCAACAGATATCTTTCATCACAGCACAATTGATTTGAATTATTCCTATGATGGCTAGCAGTGAAATTCAGTTCGACGAACGTTTCGTTCAATTTGGAACTCGTCAGTTGTATGCACCTGCATCTCAGAGTTGATGTGCACTCTAGGACGCGAACCCAGTACCTTTCGTTTCAAACGCCATTGAGTTATCCAATTAGCTACTGAGTCCGGATAGCTGACGAGTCCCAAATAAGACGAAACGCGCGTTAAACTGGATTCCACTGCTAGTCACTGTCTATCTTTGTCTAATGAGATATTGCTTTCATATTAACTTATAATCTTAAGGACAAATCTAGTTTTATTGGTACCTTTGATAAGTGTCAATAAGTCTGAGGTGTATAAAAATCAACTACATTTAGCCAAATGATAATTGTTCAACAATAAATGAAGTGAATAGTAAAGTCAAGTGAAAATCATTATTGATGAATTAAGCTAGAATTGAAGAACAAAACCAGCATTTTAACTAATCAACCTTATGAATTGATTTGATTTGGTCTATGTTGTTCATATACCTAAATAATACAGACTATACATCATTTCAGTTGTTGAATAATTCAATCAAAGGAAACTAAAACAATGTATCATTACACCAGGGTTACATAGTAACCTAATTAAATATTGATGAGAAATATTTAGTCATAAACATATAAACTACTCATTTTTAACTACTTATATTACTCATATATGGTTAGAAATATGAATTTTTAAGAAGAACCACACCCAAAATGAATAATTTCCGTTTACTTCATTTCCTGTGAGTTACAACAAACTTTATGGTTTTATATTTGTTTACAATCGCATTGCTTCTAGATTGTTATATCTCGTGGAGAATTATGAATGGTCATTCTGATAAGTACTGATAAGTACTCAAGACTGTTCAATGCAGATTTTGTGTATCATTGAATCCGATCGATCAAATCATTGGTCTCTAATTGGGTGATCAATAAATTTACTCCTCTCTTATTGGCGGTAATCAGTAAGTTCACGTTCATATATATATCAATTGAGCATGCTCTTAATCGATATAACATAGATAACATTCATAGATTTTACAATTTAATTTATTTGTTCAATTCACATTCCATTATTCCATTAAAATATAAGGCAAAAAGTCGTGGGTTTTGAATCTCATGTCAACTGCCTAAACAATATTATGTGAATGTAAAAAGGAATCATTCAGCGATGTTGTTTTTTTCATCTGTCTGGACGGTCTAAAATATTACACCGCTAACTACATACAGCTATGTGCAAAACCTAAGATCTAATGATTTTTAAAAGCTTCATATTAGGCCAAAGGAGAAGAAGAAGAAGACGAAAAAACACATGAGGAGAATGAATAAAAATGGGATAGAACTAGAAAGGAAGGCCCAAGACAGAGTGGGTTGGAGAATGCTGGTCAGCGGCCTGTGCTCCATTGGGAGTAACAAACGTAAGTAAGTAAGTAAGTAAGTAAGTAATGATCTTCATATTAGATCACCTGAAATACGTTCCAAAATGATAAATGTATGTAAGACGCATACATAAATTGTAGAAAGCTTAGTAAAATCTTTGAAAAACCTTGTTTTGCTTATCCATCTCGGTAAATTCGAAATTTCATAGTAAACGTATCTTCTATGACTTCAGCCATTTGTAATCATATTTTGGCAAAACCATTAACTACCTTCTGGAAGCAATTTTATAAATCATTTTCAATAATCAGAGGGGGCTTTGTGGCGATTTCAGTATTTTCATAGTTGAAATCATGAGTCAATTGAAGCTAGACCATTATGGAAAACCTGCAAGCACTGGATGGCCATTTCGTCCTATTATGGGACTCCTCAGCAGTGCGCATCTACGATCCGGCACGCAGGCGAGATTCGAACCCAGGACCTACCAGTCTCGCGCCAGAGCACTTAACCGAGTTCTAGTGGAAAGCAGTGACCAGTGGAATTCAACCACGTCTGTTGTGAGATAACAACTCACTGAAGACAATCGGTGAACGGTTACCCAAACTTCGTGGATCGGTTGAAGTTAGACATTAACACCGTTGGATGCTGGTTCAATGATGCTAGAGGTTAAGTGATCTGGCGTGAGACTGGTAGGTTCTGGATTCGAATCTCGTGAGGCGGGATCGTGGATGTGCACTGCTGAGGAGCCCCATAATAGGACGAAACGGCCGTCCAGTGCTTCCAGGTTTTCCATAGTGGTCTAGCTTCAATTGACTCATCATTTTTAATAATTGGTTTCATAGTAAATCTAGTTTACTCTTAATGACCAGAATATATTTTATATAGTTATACACTTTGATATATATATATATATATATCATGGTAATTAAATAATAAATGGGTAAACATTCCCCTAACTGAGTAGAGCAGACTCAAGTTAAAATAATACGCAGCTCTGTTTTATCATACTTGGTTAATAATGTCTATTCTAAGCTATGAGTCACACATTTTTGAAGTTTTGCAGTAGTAATTGATCGCGTTCCTAATATGCATAGTATAAATGTTTGGAAGGAATCTGTTCCACACTTGTATCTTCCTAATGACATAATGAACAAGTTTGCCAATTTGTCACAGGCTTTGATTGTTTATTCTCCCACATCCCTTTCAAATGTCTTCTCTACTACAAACTGATTTAAATAGATTAATCTTGCAAGTCTTATCGCATGATTTTACTGGTTGTCATTTCATTAAGCTTATTTAAACGAATTTCCTATATTGAAATATGTATTTAGGTTGTTATCATTTCTTATCATCACTCATACACTTATCAACTTATTATCAGTTCTTACATTTTGTGTATTATGACAGAGTGGGTTGTAGAATGCTGCTCGGCGGCCTACGCTCCATTGGGAGTATTAGGTGTAAGTAATAAGTGTATTATGATTAATTATCTGTTTTCATTGTTATTACTGACCCATAAATTTATTTGATTGGTTCAGAAAGTTTTTATTTATTCATAGAAATTCTTCAGTATATTATGGTGTAGCTTGGTAAAGATCTGAGAACTTGGTTATTCTCTTAAGTGTATTGCTCTAATTTACATGATTGATATTTTCAATATTCTTATACATATATATATGCAAGCATACTGAAAATGTGTGTGCGCAAAACGTAGTTACTCTTATGTACTGTGGATTGCATTCTGTTGTACAATATCTTAATTTACTGTTCTCTACTTCATTAGCTGTACAAAATGACTACTAATGTTTTACAATGACCATGAATATTTAGTTAACCAAAAACTTTGTTACACCTTATGATAATCTTAATTATTTCACAAGGTTATATGTTATTCTTCGTCTTAGCTCATTAATAAGATTTCTCCCCATATTTTCATGAGCTCCCTCCGCAACTTGAAAAACACTTTCAGCCGATAAGTTTATACATCAACTAATGGATGGTTCAGTCGAGTTGACAATGAAACTGACATTTTAAATATTATAATCTACAATGACTTCTGGCAATTTTATAAAAAAAGTCATAAATTGAAGTGTATAAATTAGTAATAAATAAATTTAACCTGTTTCATTTCATTTGTTCTTTTCTCATTACTCATTTTTATTTCATTGGCTGATTGGTGAGTTATTGGAGGCACACCAGTTTCGCATTCTACATGTTGACTAGTATTTTGTGCTTCATCTTCAATGGTTGAATGGTTTTGGGAGTGATTTGACCTTGGATAAAGTAATATACTCATTTAGATTGCTATTGAAAACTAATCTACATGTTTTGTTCATACCAACATACAGTAAATTCCGTAAACATATTATTAGTAGACTTCAAAAAAATACTAAATTTGCCCAGACATATTACTTATATAGGTTATATACCACTCAGTGATTACGGGTAGTTTGAAACAAATCACTTCAGGCAACTGCATAATTATTTGAACATAAGATGACCATTTTATCGAAATTCCAACACTTCGGTGTTTAAAGTGTGAAAAGTGCTAAATTCGTTTGCGTGACTGATGCAGTAGGCATATCAAACATCGGTTAGACGAAAAGTTAACTATCAATTATGACAGAAAGTTCGTGTTTTAGTTTTAAAATTCTGATAAGGCTGTGACTCTTGGCAATAAATTGAAGCACCTACTTGTAAAGTCTCCGAAACTCCATGTGATAGTCGAATTCATCAATGAATACTAACGAGCAGAAAAAACAAATTATTACAAACAATGAAATATACTCGGTCACCTGTTCCTGACCGTTATGACCAGGTCTAAAATTAGCGGGACGAATTTTCACCATCTCATGCATTTAATGTCTAAATATTTGATTCTTTTATGTTTGAGTATGTAAATTCCAACTACTTTGAGATTAACTTAACTTTCTGCTTGTGTCAGTTTATCAGCTATTAGAGTTATTATACAGTATGGAAAAGTAAATTATACAGCTTTCTCCATGGCGTTATAATGTGCCCAAACGGCCACAGTTTCGAATGAACCTAATTATAGCAGTTGTTATATGTAAAATATTCAACAAAAGTTCTGAACAATCTGGGTTTTATCAATTTGAGCAAAACACAGAATATAAAATTTACTCGTGAGATTAAAGGCTAATATTTTCCAGAAGTTCAGCTGACCATGTAAGCTAGACGTAAAATGTACATTCTTAAGTTTTAACTTTCCTGATAAACACTTTCACTTGTTTTTCTGAGATCAATATGACAACTGAGAGTCTTAAATAACTAATCCTCCATTTTGAATTTAAAAATAGATGTAGTGATTGATAGTAGTGCTAAATGTGTATTTTTCTTATCTTTTACTTTTTGAATTTGAAATCAGTAAACCTACCGATCTTTAGTTGCTTCCAGAAATAGAACAATATGTTTCCTTATGAATGAGTTGGACAAAACGCGTCTAGCTGATGGACGTTTTTCTGGTTTCAAGTGTAACATTGCACGCATCAGGTCAAGAAGTTCTGGACTATATTGAGTGGGCATATCTGGAATCTAGAGAAGATGATATATTCTTGTATTTGAGCTAACCTTTCCGCTTAAAATTTTATATGATAGTGCGTTGAATGATTTAGCATTAAAGGCATGACGAAGGGTAGACATTTCGTACAAAACGCAGCCTAGAGCCCATATATCCGACTGACGATCAAAATTTTCATGAACTTACTTTGTGATTATAAGGTTTGTTGGCAAAAAGCTCAGGTGACATGTAGTAGGGGGTCCCAATTAAAGTTGTAGCCATTGAATTAGAGGACTCTAACACCCTGTGACATAAATATTGATCAATTACAATGATACCTAGCTATCCCAAGGTCGCCAAGTTTAACAATATTCGATCGTGTGAGAAATATGTTTCGAGTTTTAAGATCTCGATGTAATACGTTTCTCTCATGCATATACTGAAAATCACCCCATAAATTTAAAGCGGAGATACTTGTAAAGCGATAGCAAGCTGAACAAACCACTCAACAAGAACACGTTCAGGCAAAAGAACCCCGTTTCTCATTCTAAGTCTTGTGTAAAGATCTCCTCCTTCACAAAAACCCATTGCAATATACAAAAATCCGTGATACTCAAAAGAGGTCTTGTATTGGACAATATTTGGGTGCCTAAACTCAGAAAGCAACCTGCATTCTAATTTAGCTGCTTTTCTTTCCTTATCAGAAGATTTTGTCACATCGATTTTCTTAATGACGTACTTTTATTCACTATATAGATTGACAGGGAACAGACTACCTTCTTTGTATCAATCTTGTGTCTGCAGAGCCAAACTTCTCCGTATGATCCTTTACCAATAGTCTTTATGAACTGATATTCTGATATGGATATATCCGGCATACCTGACACCATTTGTAAATATTTGCCGAATACACGTACTCTTTGTTACCAGATTTTGATGCACTCTAACAAAATCTATTCTTTTTTTCGTATAGGTAGGATTCACAGCTCTGCATACTTTATTTGTGTTCTTTTAAATAAATTTGATGATAAATATTCAACTTTTTATTGCTACGCGCTATAATGATAGTAGGTCGATGAACCTGTGTTATTCCTGACAGATTTCATTACACTATAGGTCCAGCTTCTCCTTGAAAATGTTCACTGATGGGGCTGATAGCATTTGTTTGGGTCATCCGTTCCAGTCATTGACCACTCGATGAGAAAAAACGGGGCCCCACCTTTAGTTTATTAGATCGCGGTTTCTGAACCTTCTTCGGTGACCTCGGGAGCAAAAAGATAAGACATATTAACACCCAAATCATAATTAAAGATACAAAATTCCAGTATAAGGTCACCTCTCGACCTACGATTAGACAAGGGGAAAAGGTTAAGACGTTTCAAATACTCATCGTAAGGGAGTTTAGAAAGACCCATTACTATCTTCGTCCCCATACGCTGGACACGCTCAAGTGAGTTAGTATGCTTTATCATACATGGGCTAGCTGCTTGGATACAGTACTCTAATTGTGGTCTTACGTAGGTGGTATATAAAATTCGACACGTCTCATCGTAAAAGCATTTGAATGCTCGGCGAAGTGACCTTAACGCACGATAGCCTTTGGCAACGGCTACGTTGCAGTTAGCAGTTCTTTCCAAGTTATGACTTAATATTACTCCTAAGTCTCTATATTCTTGGACTCTCGGAAAAGATCTAACATCAATGGTATAATAATAAGTATTACCTTGTCCGATGTGCATGAGCACACGTTTCCAAGAATTAACTTCTAAGCCCCAACCACGAGCCCATTTAAATAATTCACTTGGAGATGAAAATGATCAGCCTCACTCCATATTGTTCTCCAGATTTTGACATCAGCCGCAAACACTAATGTCGGCGACTTAAGCAACAGCGGTAATTCATTGACGTAGAGATGGAAAAGTGGTGGACCTGAGATGGTGCCTTGGCGTACGCCACTTTTGACCAGCTTCCATTCGGATAGCGTTTCATTAACCCTTACTCTTTGTCTGTGGTCACATAAGAAGCTTCCTATCCATTCCTGTATAGCACATGTTATTCCAAAGCTCGAGAGATTATGCATAAGACCTAAGTTTCGACAGACAGGCGATTATGTGGGGCTGCTGTCCAATCTTTTCTTGCAATAAGTTAGTCGAGCATGAACGCTTGTCACGAAACCCATGTTGCCCGGGAGTTAACAGGTTGTACGAATCTATGTGACCAAGTAATTTAACTCCAATCACCTTTTAAAGTAACTTCACAACTATTATGGCTAGACTGACGGGTCAGTAGTTGGACACGACCTCTCTCTGACTCTTTAAATATAAGACTGACTAGAGTCTTTACAGTCTCCTATGGGTTGAGTGTGGGAGAGTGAGAGATGACAGCAATCGTGAGTGTAATCCATCAGAGGTTAGTGATAAATGGAAGAAAACTTTCCTCAGTCACATGTACAGATCCTATGACTTGTATCTCGGTGTAATTGGGACAAGTAGTTGTAACACTACACAAAGAGTAGACTTCACTAAAACAGTTTGAAAAAGTCTCCGCTTTTTCTAGATCAGATTCACCTAGTAAATCTGAATTATCGTGTGTCAGTAACGCGGAAATACAACCACTACGTTTTGTTCGCCGTTAAGCGTACGAAAACAATCAGTTCGGATAAGCACGACTATCATATGCCAACCATCGTTTGTAAATGGTATGAGATTTAGCTATGGTCGTAGACGGACTATGATCACCACTACTATTCGATTACGCGTACAAATATGACTTGGTTCCCTTGATAGCCCGTAAATCAGAAGGCTTTACTAGTCCAGATCAAGTATATTTATTGGCGATCTCGTGGTATCGAAATAATACCGAGACGTGCCAAAGAGTACAAGCGAATAAGCGGTGCGTGAGCAAGCTCGAACCAAACAAGGCGGAGAGCGGAAGCAGAAGTGAAACTGATACAGTTAAACAAATACAGTAAAACAATCTCTGGTACAATTGGTTACAATAATAATAATTGTTTCCGTTATTCCAATCGTGTTCTTATCGAGACTGGCCGGTCACTACACACATATTCCAGATATTTTATGTTTGCACTTAAATGTCGCCTGTCCTGTTGACAAGAATAAGTCTCAGAAATGATTCCTATGCTTCAACAGCTTCCAGGGTTCCTTATTAATCCGTGGAGGGCGATAAGATAGTCCACGTGTTGACCATGGGATAAACGGTGATGTTTTGTACTCGAATTCAGCCTCAAACTTATTCCATTCGTTTCCGATCTATCCGCCAGCATCAACCAACCATTCAATCAAGATAGCACAGTATTTGATTCCCGAAATATTAGCTCTCCAGATATTGAGTCGGGATGGAGCGGATACAAATTGTATACCATGTGTCCGGAACTTAAAGGAAAGTATAACATGATCACTATTCACTAGTGGTGGAAGGTGCTGAATGTCGATGACATCCTCACAAATCATTGTGAGGACAAGTTCCAGCAATGATGGGTTATCTTCTAATTCCAGTTGATATGTGATGCGTTAAAGTGATTGATTGTACGCGAAAGTGGCCCCTAACATATAACATTATGCCTCCTCCTTTGCGAATTATAACTGAATCACGTTTAGTACAGATGTAGTCCACCAGGATGGCAGAACAGTCCATAATGAGCCAAATTACTGTGAAAACAATTATATCGGGATTTCATTCATCCACCGTCAAACTTAGTTTTAACTACGGGCATTCGTATGGAACACATTTAAGGTGTTTTGGGAATCATACGTTCTACTCATACAGGTCTTGGGAGCATTGGCTTTCAAACCTGACTACCCGAAAACCTTTAATCGTAAGGTTCGCTTCGCCACTAACCACCCGAGTTCTCAACTCTGTCAGAGCATTCTTTCCCTTGATTTGTTCCTCAAACAACCAATCTGGTCAAATACGAAAGTTAGAATCACGAGTTTTGTGTGTTATTAAATATTACGTCTCTCCTAAAAAATTCCGAAGGTCAATGGAAGATGTGAGAACTAGGAGGAGAGCTGACATAGCTTCAGATCACCACCTGGTTGTGGCCAAGATGAGACTGAAGCTAAAGAAAGACTGGACAACTGGACAAACAGCATTACAAATGTTCAATACAGCCTTCCTTCGAGATACTCACAAACTCAACGAATTCAAAAAAACTCTCAACAACAGGTTCCAAGCTGTACAGGATCTACTGAAAGAACAAGAAACTACTTTGGAGGACAACTGGAAAAGGGTTAAAAGAAGCACTAACTTCAACGTGTCAGGAGGTTCTTGGTCCTAAGAAGCATCATCACAAGGAATGGATCTCTGTGGGAACCCTGGACAAAATTCAAGAAAGGAAGAATAAGAAACTAGCAATTAACAACAGCCGAACACGAGCAGATAAAGTCAAAGCACAAGCAAACTACGCAGAAGCAAACAGGGAAGTGAAGAAAAGCATTAAAGCCGACAAGCAGAAATACATGGGAGAACTAGCAACGACGGTGGAAAAAGCTGTAAGAGAAGGAATATGAAACAACTATATGATACAACGAAGAAATTGGCAGGGAGATATAGCAAAGCAGAGAGACCAGTCAAGGACAAAGAAGGAAAAACAATCACTGAGATTCAAGAACAGAGGAAAAGATGGGCAGAATAATTCGAGGAACTGCTGAATAGACCAACCCCATTGAATCCACCGAACATCGAAGCAGCCCACACAGACCTTCCAATAGATGTCACTCCACCAACGATCGAAGAAGTGAAGATGGCCATCAGACAAATCAAAAGTGGGAAGGCGGCAGGACCTGACAATATACCAGCAGAAGCACTGAAGTCAGACATTGAAATAACTGCAAACATGCTTCACCTTCTATTCAAAAAGATTTGGGAAGGGGAACAAGTGCCAACGGACTGGAAAGAAGGATATCTCATCAAGATACCAAAGAAAGGAGATCTGAGCCAATGTGAGAACTGCAGAGGTATCAGTTAGTTATCAGTACCAGGAAAAGTTTTCAACAGAGTGCTGCTGAATCGGATGAAAGACGCAGTAGACGCCGAACTAAGGGATCATCAGGCTGGATTCCGTAAGGATCGGTCGTGCACAGACCAGATTGCGACATTACGGATAATCGTTGAACAATCAGTTGAGTGGAACTCATCACTATACATCAACTTTATTGACTATGAGAAGGCGTTTGACAGCGTGGACAGGAGAATATTATGGAAACTTCTTCGACACTATGGAGTTCCTGAAAAGATTGTCAACATTATCCAAAACTCATACGATGGATTACAGTGCAAAGTGGTGCATGGAGGTCAGCTGACAGATGCACTTCCAGTAGGGACCGGAGTCAGACAAGGCTGTCTACTCTCCCCATTCCTTTTCCTTCTAGTGACTGACTGGATTATGAAGAATTCGACATCTGAAAGGAAATACGGAATACAGTGTACAGCTCAGAATTCATTAGATGATTTGGACTTTGCAGATGACCTAGCCCTCCTCTCTCGTACACACGAACAAGTGTAGATGAAGATAGCAAATGTAGCAGCAGCCTCCGCATCGATAGGCCTCCACATTCACAAAGGAAAAAGCAAGATTCTCAAATGCAACACGGAGAACACCAACCCAATCACACTTGACGGCGAAACTCTGGAAGAGGTGGAAACATTCAAGTACCTGGGGAGCGTCGTTGATAAACAAGGAGGATCGGATGCAGATGTAAAAGCGAAGATTGGCAAAGCAAGGGCAGCATTTCTACAGTTGAAGAACATATGGAACTCAAAACAACTTTCAACTAATTTCAAGGTCAGAATCTTTAATACGAACGTGAAGACAGTCCTACTATACAGGGCTGAAACGTGGAGAACTACTACGACCATCATCAGGAAGGTACAAGTATTTATAAACAGTTGTCTACGCAAAATACTCAACATCCATTGGCCGGATACTATCAGCAACAGCGTTTTATGGGAGAGGACAAACCAGCTTCCAGCTGAAGAGGAAATTAGGAAAAGACGTTGGAAGTGGATCGGACATACATTAAGGAAATCACCAATGTGCATCACGACTCAATCCCTAACTTGGAATCCGGAAGGGAAGCGGAAAAGAGGAAGGCCAAAGAACACACTACGCCGGGAAATAGAAGCCGATATGAAAAGGATGAATAGTAACTGGAAAGAACTGGAAAGGAAGGCTCAGGACAGAGTTGGATGGAGAATGCTGGTGAGCGGCCTATGCTCCTCAACGAGGGGTAACAGGCGTAAGTAAGGTAGTTTCGGACTCTGAATCTGACGCGTAGAATGTGAGCCCGACAAGGATTTTTCCACTAAACGGGCGCTTTCTTTGGCTATCTTCTCTTCTCTTATACGTTTCTGCGTCATCCATTTTCCATATGTCACAGGATCCAGATTAGAACTACTCGGGACAATAATTGTTCTAGCCGGATCATCAGTTACTGATGTAACAACTTGGCCACCAATATCTAATGACGTATCTCTCAATAATTGTTTCGAGGTGGAAAACTCTATTTCGTGTTGCGCAGTCGGATTTCTGGCACGTACCGTGACAGCACTTATAACACCGACACATTATTTGATATCAGCACCCATGTTACCGGTACAGCCCTCGTCAACCTTTTTGTTAGCTAATGCCAGAAGGGTTACTTCTTCTTGCGTGAGTAATGTTTTGCTCGAACAAGAAAACATACAGAGCAAATGAAAACTAGACTTTTAGCACCTTTTCTAGGCGAAGGGACTTCTTACCACTCATCACATTGCATTCCTTCTTCTACAGGGAATAAGCAATACGGCTGTACACACTTGTGAGCAGAGTCGACCACCTTAAAAATGAACTAAAATGGTAGGCAAAATGGATGTGTAAGACAAGGCTCAAACCTTGATCAAAGAAATAAAGCCATAGTCGACCAAGAATGCCTTGATGCAGTAAATAAACAAAAGCATGATCAAAATACACAAGTACAATATGACTTTAACTGAAATTCAATTAAAGTGTGAACAGTAGTTTTGATGTGTAATTTGGTCATCAAAGAAATCAAGAATGGGAAGGCAGCAAGACATGACAATACACAAACCGAAGCACTGAAATCTGACATACGAGTAACTGCACAAATGTTGTACGTTGTATTCAGGAACATTTGAGAGAGGAACAAAAGTTGACAGATTTGAGAGAAGCATACCAAGGATATGCCGAAGAAAAAATTATGAATCGGAAATACGTTACGGAAATCACCAAAATGTAATAAGAAGCAATCCCTAACTTGGAATCCTGAAAGGAAACGAAAAAGAGGAAGGTCAAGGAATACACTACGTTGGAAATCAGTGACAGACATAAGAAGGACTAATAACAACTGGAAAGGAAATGAAAAGGATTGTCCAGGACAGAGTTGGATGGAGAATGCTGGTGGTCGACTTGTGTTCCTCCATCTAGGGCAAGAGGCGTAAGTATTTTAGTGAATAAATGATTTCTAGTTTGGCGTTAACAAAGAGCATTAGATAATTTCATGTTGTATAGCTGGTAAACTGTGATTAGCGGACCGCCTCAGGGTACAGTATGGGAACAGTGTGGTTCACCTTGTATGTAAATTACCTTCCTAGTCTCCGATCATCAGCCTCGTGATACGCTGACGGTATCAAGATAAGAGGTGAGATAAACAATGAAGATGGTAGTTCAGAGCTTTAAAATGACCTGCATAAGTTTTCTGAACGGCCTAGGATTAGACAGTTACTGCTAAAAACGTATATATGCACTACAATAAATATTGGTCACCAGGGTGCAGATACACACACATTGAATAACACCTGTAGTACAGACAAAGAAGGACCCACGAGTTATCATTAGCTAAGACCTAAAAGCCACTGCATACTGCGTGTTTCAGAACCCTATAGTCAATACGTAGAGCCCTCAGAAATGTCGATGCTAAAACGTTTTGACTTTGTATACTAAATTTGTTTGTCCTAAACTCAAATATTTCATAAAAGCGGCTGTCGGTAAAGGCCCAAAGAACTGAAACTAAGCTGATTCTCAGAATAGTGAAGATTCCGTACGACTATCGAATGCCGAAACTAGACCTATTCCTGTTGTCGTCTAGAAGAATTAGAGGTGACTTGACCATAGTCTTTTAATTTCTCAATGATACATGTAAACATGACATACCATCATTTATCCTGTTTTCTAAAACAGGAAACCATTAGAAGGTTCGCGAACTCAGAAGAAATTGTTAGACGGCTGATTGTGGGCTTTCTCATCGAACTATCCACGAATGTGACTGATTACCCCAACAAGTGTTTGGAGCCCCATTTGTAGAAGCATTCGAAAAAATTTGGATCAACTGAGAGCACCGTTGCCGTGACTAATACAGGATTCCGAGCCTACAGTCTTCTTTATACTGGAACTAAATGTTATTGATGGACACTGGTTGTCTTGTCCACCAAAGTTTGAGATATGCGCATTGGACATTGTTTTGTTGCACCACTTGAAACTTGCGCTCTTCATAGGAGTATGTTCTCTGGTCAGCATAGGGATATTTGTTCTGACCGAGGTTGTGAAAACTGTCGGGATTTATCTGAAAACGTAAGCAGATCTATCAGAAGCTTAATATAGCACTGAATATGTCGTTCGTAGGACTAGAAAATGATATATACGGTGCTCTGAGATTGATTTGCAACTTAATCTAACTGTAATTTGCTTTGACCTAAGTATATTATTATCAGCCAGTACCCTGAGTCTTCCGTAACTTTACAGTATTTTGGAAACTTTAAAACTCTGGCATTTCCATCTGGGTCCTTAATAGTCTGTAAGAATTTATTGAGTATATTTCGAACTATCCAAGCGTTTTTAGGTATTTTTTTATCAAACCCGTTCTCAACATAGACCACTCGTTCACTTCACTCACGAACAGTGTATTGATATTTATTAATATCATGAATTTTCTTATCAAACTTCAGACTTTGTTTACTGATAATGGTAACACCTAGTAATCATAGATTATCAGGTACTCCATTTGAGATAAGTTAGGAGTTACAAAACTAGTTTCGTGTAGCCAACGTAAAGTTCGTAACTTATTCAACTTCCCATATGTGCACTGACTTGTATCGCATGGCTTAATCAAGTTATATTTAGATGTTGTTTCTCGACAATCAAGTACTCTCACTATTTTCAAATCCTCTAAAGGTTCATTTGTTTCCTAAGAATGTGAACTAGCTTCCAGTCTAAAAGTGTTATGTCACTCGTTAAAGACTACAAAATAACAGGAGATGGCCTTCCATGAGACGGAGAACCGATGTGTCAACCCTGCTTCGATCTGGACACCCGGGCAGTATCATAGCCCACCCACAAAATGACAGTTTTTTGTGTGGCGCATATATATTTGGTACTCCCTTGTACCAATATTTAAGTATTAAAGTAAATAAACAGTGTCAACGTCCCTTATACCTCCGACAAACGTGGCTCTCAAGGCTAAATAAAAATCACTTGTCTCTTGAAGTTGGTGACTGACCAACTTTTGGATAACAGTACCGTTCATTTCTGATGAGTGCTACATAACTTAGGGTATTCAAATTGACTCCATGAACTTGAAAACACGAATTGATAAATTTCGGATTCTTATCTTTTGTGGAGGGATAATATGTCACCGTACGAACGAGTCGATAACATTATTGCGACGTACATAAAAGTAACTTCCTACCGATTTGAACACATTGGTATAAGTAGTCACACAAATAAGTGAGACTGTGAAAGAGTGGAGGAAGAAGGCTAAGTACAATCAAGTGAGAAAAGTGAACGGAAATAAGAAAACGAAGACAGATTATGATAGAGGAAAATCAGTCTTTAAAAATGAAACCAGGAGAAGTTTCAGCTCAGGAAGTTCTCACTTTTATGAAGAACATGACTGCCACCGACTCCTATTCTAAGCCATCTCTGTTAATGTTTCAGGCCACTAAGCTAAATCGTCCTTAGGACCTTAACCAGGGAGTCATGATGTCAGTTCCAGACCCCTGGTAAACTGTGTTTAATGTAACTGAATTTCGTTCTTAACTTTATCTCAGAAACTGACATGTAATTGATGTATTCAATAGGCAAGTGCTTTTTTCCCATGTCTCTTGTTTCTATGGGGAATTATCGCCATCATGGATATGCTTACAGAAGTAACATTAATTTAAGTCAGTCGTTATAAACCCAGGGCCCAGCACAAGTGTGCTTTGGCCCAAGTTGCAATTACCATATTTACTCGACAAAATGGAATTGACAGAGTAAATAGCAAAAGCTGTCGGGATGATATAGCATCAATAGCAATGAGCAGGACTAACCATTGAGTGTGCGCCGCACAGACAAAGTGGAAAGGTATGTTTAAAGGAATACTGAAATTCAAAATCGTGGGGAAAACGCAAATGCATGGATTCATCATGCCATTGTGAACTATTCTGGTTAATGTCGCTCAAAGTCTCCAACTGCCATTTACGGTTATTGCGCAGACCCCAAACAGGTAATCCGCACCTACTAACGTGAGTAAAACCAATAGTCAGTGAATTCATGGACTAATGCCACGTCCTGGGTTGGTAGCGTCTAACTTCCAACTTACTTATAGACCAACCATCACGAGTCGAGTTAGGCGTCCTTTAAGTACACGTACCACGTCCTAACTACCTCAGTTAATGAAAATTTTCAACCTAATTAACCGTTTCGATAGCTGTGGCTGGTGCCATATGCCTAGCCCTAAAATTACTCAGTTGCTTCACAAACACGAGTAATGCTTCAAAGACGCCTCTAATCAATGGCCTGCAGCCTACGTATGTCTTCTGCTTCCATAGATCAAGTTTCACGGTCACAAAGTAATAATAAGTGAACTGTTGAGTAGTATACTCACCCTTTAGTTTGTCCGTTTGTCTGTCAAGTGACGGATATACGGATCATTTTTTCTGTTTTTTAAGTGTGTAGTATAGTTTCTGACGGTGTTCGATCATGGGTGTTTTGGATGCACTACTTGTGTGTCATTAAACAGATTTATAACAGTTCGGTTGATAAAATTCCGAACCGTCATTGACTGGGATAGTTTTGGCACATTACTGATGTCTGGTCATTGTCCACCTTTACTTATTATGGTTACCAAGATATAAGTGGATTGGGAAAAAAGCAACTTGTCTTACCGCACTAGTCAATGCATAGTTTTTATTGTTCTTGAGTTAATTAACTAACTCGTAAAGTCGTTTATTCCTCAGTTGCAGCTATGGTATATTTTAGCTGTTACTTTCTCATTAATATTGTCCTTTCCTTAAGAAAGACTGATGGTAAAAAGATCAAAACTTTCTTATTGTGGAAAGACATCATCGTCAAACTTTACCACTGAATGATTTGCGTTTTATTCCTTGTCCTCTTATGATTATTTTCACCACAGTCAACAATTCTGACCTTAAAACCCTACTTTTCACCCGATGCAGAATCAGTTTGACAACCAAACCCGATTTGTTCGTTAATAGATCCTCTGATGATAATTGTTGTGATCTATAATTTACTATATTTCCTTTGTTCTTAATTTTACCTTCTTTACTTAGGTTCATTGTACTTGCATTTCCAATATCAAACGGTCAAAACCGTCGTCTGATACTAGCACACCTGTCGATCAAAAGAAAAAACGCCTGCATAATAATAGTTCGCCAGTTTCTATGGAGAAGAAAAATTGCATTGATACATTTACTTCTTGGTCAAATGGAGACCAAGTTGACTTTATTTGCAACCTGTTGTCGAAAATTTCTCACTTCCAACAAAGTCAAATCAATGATTTCCTAGAACCTCTCCTAAAGCGTGATTTTATTGTTGCTCTTCAAAGTAAGCAAACTTGCACAATATATACAATTAAACGAAATTCATGTTAGTGACGTGACGTTATTTGACATTTCAAGTTTATCACTTAGTTTACTAGTCACGTTATCGCTTTTAGTCAGTAGAAAATCAGGCCAAGACTGAGTTATTTGTCTCCTTTTAAATAAAAGTAGCTTAAATGTCATTCCACACTCAAATAGACGATCTGCAACGCTTTAGACTATTATCAAGAGACGCGAGTAAAAATTTCATTACTCACTCCTGTTACCCCTCGTGGAGGAGCATAGGTCGCACACCAGTTTTCTCCATCCAACCCTGTTCTGAACAGTTCTTTCCAGTTGTTATTCATCCTTTACTTATCTGCTTCTATTTCCTGGCGTAATGTATTCTGTGGCCTTCCTCTTTTCCGTTTCCCTTCCGGATTCCAAGTTAGGGCTTGCCTTGTGATACAGTTTGGTAATTTCTGTAATGTATGTTCGATCCACTTCCAACGTGTTTTCTTAATTTCCTCTTCAGCTAGAAGCCGGTTTATCCTCTCCCACAGAAGGCTGTTGCTGATGGTATCCGGCCAGTGAATGTTGAGTATTTTGCGTAGACAACTGTTTACAAGTACTTGTACCTTCTTGGCGATGGTTGTTGTAGTTCTCCGTTTCAGCTCCGTACAGTAGGACTGTCTTGATGTTCGTATTGAAGATTCTTATTTTGACATTAATTGAGAGATGTTTTGAGTTCCTTATGTTCTTCAATCGTAGGATTGCGGTCCTTGCTTTGCCAATCCTCGCCTTTACGTCTGCATCAGATCCTCCTTGTTTATCAATAATGCTTCCCAGGTACGTGAATGTTTCTACATCTTCCAGAGTTTCTCCACCAAGTGTGATTGGGTTGGCGTTCTCCGTGTTGTATTTGAGGATCTTGCTTTTTCCTTTGTGTATGCAGAGGCTATTGCTACACTGGCTGTTTTGACCTGCATTTCTTGGTGTGTATAGGATAAAAGGGTCAGGTCATCTGTGAAGTTTAAATCGTTTAGTTGATTCCGAGCTGTCCAATGTATTCCGTGCTTCCCTCAGATGTCGAGGTCTTCATAATCCAGTCAATCAGAAGAAAGAGGAAGGGGGAGAGTAGACATCCTTGTCTGATTCCGGTCCTTAGTGGAAATGCATCTGTCAGCTGTCCTTCCCAGTTTCCCACATTCTCCGGACGTTCCATGTACCTATAAAAATTATTGCTCTGGTTGTTAGAAGGGGCATCGGCCTCGTGACTTCCAAAGAATCTCGGCTTTTATGATGAGGCGTCATAATTCTTCCTTCAACTCTCAGGACTGAGTTTAAATGGTTTGAATTATTTTTTCTGGTTAGCGGCTTTTAGTGGGTTAGTTTTCTACAGGATGGGGTCGCTAACCTCATGCCCAACCCTCCTCCTTTACCCGGGCTTGAGACCGGCAGTAACTCTAGAAAAGCTGCAGACAGAGTTAGAAATGTCATAGTAAGTGTTAAACTACCATCTATCCACAGTAGAATTTCTTCTATGAGTAGTAACAATTGTCAAACCTATTTCCAACATTCCGCATCGGCTAACTCAAACCTCTCTACCAAAAGGTTTATTAATTATCTAATCATTTGAAACTTTTTTACCCCGAAGGAAGCTTCCATTTTGGACTGAGGTTAGCTATACCATCTTTAGAAAACCAGGACTTACTGAAATATGTTTCGTTCAAGTGTACAATTTCTCAATAGTGCCGATAATCGACAGTTATTTAAATATAAAGGATCGCCAATAAAAGTAACCTAACTTAAAGCCGTTCCAGGCTTTCTGTTATACACTTTTCTTCTAGGTCGATAATACATGTAGTTCATGTATTTTTGTGAACTGAACAAAATTCGCCAAGAGATTCTCATGTATAAAAAGTTGGAAAGATTCCTGAAACGATGGGGATTGTTTATTTTAGATGTACATTGTAGAATTAACTGATTATCTACGAATCAGGAATACTAATTGAATACGTAGCATAATTTATCTTCTTGTTAATGGCTTATTGTATGAGCAACAGAGCAGAATACTTAGAAAGAACTGTTACTGTAATTATACAATTATTTCAGATATTTCTACAAGTTATACGGTAACTCTCCACTACTATCTTTTGATCCTGTTATAGGTTATCATCTTATAATTTAGTCAAGATATTAGTAGTTCACTAATCAAAATAACAAAACTTCCTGGGTGTCCGGAATGAAATAATAGTAGCATGTTTGAACCCAACCCTACTTAAGTCACCTCTACATTCCTAGGAATTAAATGGGAATTAAATGTCTAATATTAGTTGATATTATTTGAATAACATGTATTAGTACGATATTTAGTACATTTTATTTGTTTAGACTTAAAGAAATTGTTGTACTTTATAGAATTTACATAACTTGATATGATGGCCATAAATATCGGATATAGGTGTGTTTCTAAGGGCATGTTTTTGGAAAAGCATATTAAACCATTTTCTCACACAATTAGTTCAAGTAGAATATCGATCAGTCAGTTATTTTGAAAATCATTAATCTGTTTTTGAATCTTTTAATAACTTCTCCTTAGATCGCGGTGTTCCTTATCTTGCTGAAATGATTTTAGTCCAGCTAGATGCATCTAGTCTTCTTTCAGTCGAGCTCGCTTCTAGGGGATGGCAGTGGAGTGTTGCAAAGTACCAACTTTGGCGTCGTCTACTAGCCTGTCGTGTAGCTACTGATCCAGTTTGGCATGGGCTTTGTGAACGTAGAGGATGGATTGAATTTATTGACCATTCTGATCCAGCTTATTTACCTGCCTTACTCGAAAGACGTCGGGTCCCCATAGGTGTTAGACATAAACTAACCGAATTCTCCCCATTCCTTGATAGTAATTCTTGCATGGAATGTGAAGCATCCAAACTTTCTCCAAAACTAGAATCAACCTGTAGTGTAAATCGTCAGCAATCTCTAGTATGTCAGTGTCAATCAGACATTCAGCATTCTTTAATATATCCTACTGATAGACACTCCTACGTATCGAGGACTCAAAGTATCCCATTTTCAAGAGATTCTACAACTGATGCATCCAACACACCTAGTTGTTCTTTAAGCCCATACAATGTGAATGATGGATTAAATCATCGATTCGTGAATGCAACTTTTTCCATGGAGACAGATCTACATGATGCACTTTCCTACGAGACAGTTATGTTTGCCCATCGCTTCTACAAACAACTCTATCCTCGAATAATTCGTGATATAGCAGTAAGCTTTTTTGTTTACTTTTCTCTCACCCCTTCTTATTTTGCTATGATCTGGATAGTTTTGTTTATGTAAAATCTTTGTGTATTTGCTTTACCTATATTTGCAGGACACATCATGTAGAAAGTCATGTTAAGTTTAGTACTTTACGGTTGTGTGCGCTTGTAACAGTGCGTCAGTCAGTCAGTGCAACGTAGAACCTAACAAATATGTACATCGGTCTAAGTTGTCATACAATAATGTCATGATCAGCCTTCAGTTGTTATCTATAGTCAGTCTTGAGGTGATTATGAACTTACAACTTAACAGTTGAAAGCCTAGTGCTTTAACTTTTAAATCGTCCCTTCACTAAAGTCCTGTAGGGCGCAGAGATTGAAGTACACGTAATAGTTTGGGAAATCAGTAGCAACTTTTTGCCTCTAACAACTTTAATTCTATTCATTCGGTACTTATCGGAGATATAAAAAGGATATCTAGTTATCCATATTGGTATTCCAATTAGTTTCTCAGCTTACTAACTTCGTACTTATTATCATGATCGTCATGATAAGAGAATGTAAATAATTTCTCAGAACTAAAATGGCTGGCTTATGGTTGTGCGAATTTGTAGTTAACCGTTTTGTAAGTTACTTATGTTACGTCCCGATAACAATGGTGAATAGTAACTTTGGGATCCATTTATGGACCAACATTACGCATATACATTTTATCGTATGTTTGCTAATTAACTAATTTATTCATATTCGTGTCCCTCTTATTATAAGCTTTATTTTGACCTATAGACTATTATTATATGATTTACCATTCTTGAGTTATCCCTAGTCTATTAATTGCTGCCTCTCATATTCACAGCCACATTTGGCTGAACCTTGTACAAATGTTATTTCCTATTTTATTGGTACAATGTGGTCAGTCTGTTTGGTATATAAACTCAGTATGTTTGAAATACAAGGATTCATACCACAGATGCTATTATTGGTGTTCTGGACTTAACTGGCTGGGCTGGGCATAAAGCAGGGCCGATATGTACTCTAGACTGCTCGTACGGTTTTTGTGTGTCACTGTTCCAATCGATAATTCGCTGCTCTCTGATTGGCGGTTTTATCATGTCACACATAACCTGGGCATCCACTCGGCCACAAGTTATAACAACTTATTAAGTAGAAAATTGAATTTCCTAGCATTTATTGTATGCAAAAAATGGATCTGCATGATTTCATTCACCTTTAGCCCTATATCCTGTAGTTCTTTTTAGGCATCATATTTTCTTCATCTTTCTTCTTGTGGGAACTATTTATCAGTATTAACAATTACTAGTATGATAAGTTTTCAACTAATATCATCCCATCTGTAACAGATCGTGGTTGTTTTTCATCTGAATACTATCTAAACCGTTACAACATAAGTGTATGGGGGATTTTCGTAACGTTAACAGCTATTCGTGCCATTGTATGTTGACGATGTTTGCCTGTCTCTGTCTGTTCTAGTTAGCGACATAAATAATTTATTTCAGTTTATTTATTGATAGATATTTTTGTGTAGACACTTGTTTCGTCCAGTTGTTATGTCACATGCGTTTCATCTCATTCTATTTTTTTGTATTCTGCCTGGACAAATAAACTAAATTATTTACATTCCATAGTCTTGTGTTAGTGTTGTTGTGGATATTTTATTCTTCATGTATTCAGTACATGTTGTAAAAATATGTTAGTTATCCCCCAAATGCCCTGGTACGGCCGAGAGTGGGGAGAGGCCACCACCCCTCTCCAAACGCTCTCACATGGCCACGCGTATATAGCCTCTGCCAGGGAAGTCCTACTCACTGCCTTCTCGTGGTGGGGGTGTTGTTTACGAAATTGAGAGGAAGAAAAGCGAATGTCCGACGCTTTAACTGGGTTGGTGAACACGGTGCGTTCACTTAGGGGAGTTGGGAAACCCTGATTCCAAACCAATGGTGCACATGGACTGGTTACAGTATCCTGCTGAGGGGACAAATGGCGTGTGAATCAATCGTTGGTCACCAGTTACCATGGAACTGCATCTCACGAAGCCCCACTGTCTTGTGGACCAGACATTTAGGTCAAAGACTCCCTAAGAAAACCACCTGTTTCAGTCTGAGCACCTGGGCAGTATCATAGCCCTCACACAAATCAAATGAGATTTGTGCGGCGCATATGTATCTGGTGTTTCCTTGTACCAATATTTATGTCTTTAAATAAATAAATAAAATTAAATTTTAAATGAAAACTATTTTAGTAGTTATCAATCAATTCGTCATAATAAGTATAGAGCCTTGAACAAATGGGCGCCAGTCCATGTTACCATATTGTATCAGTACAGAGAGATGAATTTAATGAAGACAATAACAAAAGAGACCGAAATAATGTAGTCAGTCAGTCAGTTACAACGTAGAACTTCGTACGTACGTACATCAGTTCGAGTTGCCATACCACATTAACACAGAGATGAAGTCCATTCAAATCCCATATTGGTAGAAGTAGTAAGAGTATAAGTATTATGTGAAAGATAAGGGTTTGAAGATGTTATTGAAGGAGTATACTACAGTGAAATAAATTTGGAAAGGGAAAAAAGATAGAGAAATGAAGAATTCAGAAGATTAGAATTTGGTAGAACACAAAAAGTGGATACACCTTCGCTATTGCAAACGATTTTGTACCATGTCATTCAAGGTCTCTAACCATCGGTGGCTATCATCTCGCGAATCCCAACCAGGTAGTCTACACCTATCAACATGGATCAGCAACTTCATGGATTTATGCCACGTTTTGGTCTGGCCGACCCTAGCTTCCTTCCAACCTAAACCTACACCATAAAACATTGCACGTCGGGGCAGCCGGTGGTTGGGCATACGTAACACATGTCCCAGCCATCTCAACTGATGAAGTTTCAGTACTTCATCAATCGATTTGCCATCCTTATCTAGTACCCGTTTCCTAACATCTGCATTACTTACTCGGTGGTCCCAGGATATACGAGCAATGCGTCGAAGACACCTATGATCGAATACTAGTAGCCTACGAATATCCTCTACTCTTATCGGCCATGTTTCACTGCCATAAAGTAGGACGGAACGAACTGCTGCACAGTAAACCCGTCCTTTTGTTGCTAGACGGATATCTTGCCTACGCCATACATGACGCAAGTTGGCAAAAGCTAGACGAGCCTTCTGTATCCGTACTGAGATTTCGTCACACACCAGACCACAAGGGCTGATGAGACTCCCAAGATAAGTGAAGTGGTCTACACGCTCAACTACTTCACTCCCTATCAATAGTTCAGTTGTCGATGCAACCCAATCCTGAAGTAACATTTTGCACTTCGAGGGAGAGAATCGCATCCCGAACATGCCTGCATTGTTGCTTATAGTGGTCAGAAGACTCTGCATTTTGTCAGAGTCTTCACCGAATAAAACTATGTCGTCGGCGTATTCTAAGTCAATAAGTGAGCCTCCTGGTAAAAGTTCAACTTCAGGAGATTGAGATGATGAAAGTGATATCTCTAAAAGCATGTCAACGACAAAGTTAAACAAGAATGGGGAGAGTGGACATTCCTGACGAACACCACTTGAGGTAACCAATTCTGATGACAGTTCGCCATAGGCTCTAACTCGACCAGTTGTGTTCGAGTAGAGAGCCTTTATGAGGTTAATGTACTTCTTTGGTACTCCTTTTACTGATAAACACTGCCATATAACCTTACGATCCACGGAGTCAGATGCCGCCTTAAGGTCAAGAAATACTACTATTGTGGGATGTCTGAATGTATGTCTATGTTCTAGGACCTGACGTAGGGTGAATATCTGGTCTATGCAACCACGTCCAGGTCGGAAACCAGCCTGGTTTTCTCTAGTCTGTTCTTCACGAGCTTTGGTTAGGCGCCTAAGTATTATTGAAGCTAATATTTTAAACACTATATTAGTCAAACTGATCCCTCTGTGATTGTCACAGGAGGACTTTTGTCCTTTCTTATAGACTGGCACAATCAGTGATTGGGACCAGTCAGATGGAATTACGTCCAGTTCCCAGATTCTACCTAAGACCTCAGTCAATCTCGTTGCTAGTACTGGACCATCATCCTTAAAAATCTCAGGGGTCAACCTGTCAGGGCCTGCGTCTCTCTCTCGCTTTAGATTTTCTATAGCTTTTCCAACCTCGTAGAGAGTTGGAGGACTTACCTCAATTTGCTATTCAGGACGACTGGGGATCGTGGGTAATTGAAGTGTGGCTGAAGGCCAGTTGAACTGATCCCTAAAGTGTTCTGCCCATCGATCGAATCTCCTGGATTGAGAATGAATGATATGCCCATCTTTGTCTGAGATAGTTTCGCTAATAGGTGGGTTCCTAATGCCGGTTTCTTTAATAAGTCTGAATAGCTGTCTGCTGTTACCTATTGCCACTGCCTTTTCCATCTCTCTTGCTTTCGCTACCCACCACTATTCACGATCATTGCGTAGGCTTCTTATTAGCCTTCGCTTAAGCTGACTCCGCTCTTCGTTATGTTCAGAGCCAGGTGGGATGAGTTTACGAGCATCTATCAGTGTGGTAGATGCTACCGAGATCCATTGTTTCTCCCTGACCTTATGGCTTGCCTTACTAACGGATATCACTGCTGTTTCCACAGCTTTTCGGATGTCATTCCACGCTGCTTCGGGGTGGACACAACTTACATGTCTGTCTAACCGTTTTTCCAGTTGTTCCTGAAATATATTCTTAGCTTGCTTATCATTAAGTAGAACTCTTAGAGACTACCCTGCAGTGTCTTTCCTACGTCCAGTAAGACGCAGACAGATACGTGCTCGCACTAGAGCATGATCTGAGTCTAAACATGTGCTCCAGAATGAGCGACAGTCTTCTATCGAGCCCCTCCATCGGTGGCTGATAGCGATGTGATCTAATTGGGTCCAACGTTGGGACGAATTCGGGGGTCGCCATGTCAAAAGATGTTTTTCCTTATGCTTAAAGTTAGTATTTGCAAGGAATAGGCGGTTATCTGAGCACAGCTGCAACAGACGGTCGCCATTATCTGTTCTTTTAGCCACGACACCATAAGATCCACCCAGGTGTCTTTCCCTTTCCCTTAGTTTACCTACTTGAGCATTAAAGTCACCAGCCACTATTACTACATCAGAACGCCTAGCTTTTCGGAGAAGGTCAGAAAGTTTCCTGTAAAACTCATCTTTTATATCGTTTGAGCTGCAGTCAGTGGGAGAGTAGGCAGAGACGACGAAGAGGCAACGACGAGTTTCCCTATCTTTTCGAGTCCTTACTGATCCGTTTAGTCGGACAGCGCATAGACGACTGTCTACTGGGATCCAGTCTAAAAAAGCTTGTTCTGCCCTACGAGTTAATGCCATACCTACTCCAGCGAGGCCACAGGAAGCAGCATCAGGGCTTCCAGATACACAAAGCGTGTATCGAGATGGTTCTTTATTTTGATTAGGTGAGGTCAAATGAATGACACTACTCGGATCTTGTATGCGCGTTTCGGAGACGCAGCACACATCGATGGTGTAAGATTCTAGAGTCCTAGCTAAGGAAGCCTGTTGTCCTATTTGGCACAATGTTCGGACATTAAAAGTTCCTATATGTAGTTTAGAGCGTGGTTTCAGGAGACCAGGAATAACGTTCCGTGTACTTGAATCGTTTGCCCTAGCGGTGCGAGGTGATAAAAGGACGTGGGAAAGGTTAATCGTGGAGATAAGAGAGTTATTAGGAGTAGGAAGGATTTGAAAGTGACCAACTTGGTCTCGTGTGCTGTTACGGGTATAAGGGCTAATATCACTTCCCGTCTGCCCACACCGTGGAAGGAAATAATGTAGTAAATATGATAATAAGCAAGATAAAACAATGGGAATATGATTCAGAAAAATACATGAGGGAATACTGAAATTCAAGATCGCAAAAAATATAAGGTTAAATCTATTCACATCATTTTAAACGATTGTGAGCCGTGTCACCCAAAGTCTTTTATGCTTTGGTAGTGGTTTTCACCTGTCATCTTCAGCTATTGATTATAATTGTCATTTAGACTATTATTACTACTACTGCTACTAGTAGTAGTAGTATCAGTAGTCCTAGCGGGATCGTTGTGTAAACAACAGCGTTTATGTAGTTAAATATAACTTATTGTAAATGAGTAGTCTAAGATTTCTGCGTTCATTTTTATTTCTTCGCTTAATTTTGATAAATTGTTCATCGTTTTCTTCTATTCAGCGCGTTGAAGATAACTGGACCCGTGGTCAGTATCATTTAACTCGGATACCATGTCGAAGTGATGTCACAAAGGGCGTCTACTGTCTTCAGTATGATAAACATAAAATTGTTAGCGGTCTAAGAGATGATACTATTAAGGTATGGCAAAGAATTCCAAACATTTGTGCAATCAATAAAAATAAAGGATCTAGTTCTGATTGTACTACTACTCCTAATCCTGATGAGTCTGGGCATAAAGTCAGAGGGAGGAGTGAGGCTACTACAGCTGCTCCCGCAGCAGTTGAAGCACCGAACCAAGAAGGTTTCAATGAAGCAACGTGCTCCGACGGTTACCGCTGTACACAAGTAAGTCTTTGAAATTTTTTGAATTCAATATCAGCCTAATTTTCCTCCAGTTCAATATTGAAATCTTCATAGGGAACTACGGTTGTGTATACAGTACTGCTAAGCCTTGCGCTAGAACAAAACAGTTCAATACTCTTTGATTTTCAAGGATGTTATCTCTGTTGAATTGTCAGTCCATGGTAAAAGCCATCTGAACACAAAATTGTTGTTTCCTCGCATGGCTTGTTCTAATTTACTGGATTGGGAGTTTTGAAATATAAAGTAATGTCTACGGACATACACAAATTAGTTTTGTGAACGATATGGGATGTCTTCATTTTCCTAACAAACAATCTTATAGATACTTATAAAGATATTGTTTATTCCAGTGTATCTCATAAATAATACAAGATACAAGATGGAATAACTCTTTGTACTTATAAAACTGATAGAGTGAAATGAAATTTACTCCATTTATGACTAGTTTGTCGTCGGTCCATAAAGATATTGACTGACTGTTGTATTTCTTAGTCAGGGTCTTCAGGATGGTTATAATCTTTGTGGCTAACAACCTTGGATAGAATCTATATCTAAATATGTCACATTGTCTTAGATATATTCACGCTTTAAAATATTCTAAATCTTAACTACTAATATCATTCTTATCTCGATGACATAAACATCATACCTGTTGACCAAGTTGGTGCATATCTGGAATCAATGGCTCAGTGGATAATGCGTTGAATGTTTGAAATAAATGTTACTGGGTTCAGGTCTTAATGTGAATATCAATACCGCAACTCGCATGTACACTCCATTGACGAATCCCGAATAAAACGTAACGCCCATCTTCAGTTTCATTACTACTCGCAATGCATTTATTTCAAACAGTTGTTAGTATTGTCATACTTTTCTTTTCTTAGTTCTACTAATATTGAGATATTAGCCCGACACTCCTACTTTTCATGTCATCTATTTTCTGTCAGTGTGCTAATGTATGGAATGTAACAACTTTGATGAATATATATTTATGTGAGACTGGTTGAATCTGTCTTGACTACTGAATTATTAAAACCTGATGATAATTAAGTAATCTAAATTTATCAATTACAGGTTTGTTTGCTCGACTTTGAGCTACAATTTAGGTTTAGGTGATACTAGCAGCAACTTCTTTCAACCGAAGTATGTTTAGCAGCTAGATTGGGAAGTGAGGTGCTTCGATGCTTTTACATTAATATGTCAAAATCATCTTTTTATATTCGAATGAAACCTAATACTTGATTTTCCCTGGTAACCATATTCAAAATATTCACACGAATACTTGTGAATATAGTTACTAAAACAAGATTCACTTACGCTTAAAATCGTTTTAGTGCCTAGCGTGATAATCGTAACCAGTGATTAGAGACTGAGTTACATGGCTCAGAATCATTCGCCATTGCGCAGTCACATTCACTCTTTGCATTTCCTTAGGTTTTTAACTAACCTTTTTTTTATTCTACTAGTTCCATATTTTCATTTCGAATTTTTTTTTTAAAAATCCAGGTCCTTGAAGGACATTCAGGTTCCGTTTTATGTTTGCAATATATCGGGAATTTGCTGATTAGTGGTTCCAGTGATACAACAGTTCGTTTATGGGATTTATCCACTGGATGCTGTTTAAATGTTATCAATCATCATGCTGAAGCTGTGCTGCATTTACGGTTTCGCAATAATATTCTAGTAACATGTTCAAAAGTGAGTGACACATTACCTTTTCTTTTTCTTTTAAATTGTATTTATGTAAATATTTGTTTACATTTTGTTCTAATACTGAGTAAATATATTAATAAATAGCTGGAGAACAGCGGTGAACTAAGATAAATCATATCCTTTTTCATAGATTTAAAACCCAACTAGTTGTTCATTGTAACATTAGTTTTCTACATTCATGTGCACAATTTTCTTGATGAATGGATTACTCCTAGATTGCGTTATATTGTCCCGACCGTTGCTGCTACCTTGACGTGGTAGTCGGGCTTGCCTATCGTGATAAACCAATCGAGCTATACTGGCTGGAACAATCGTTCCTCAAGGTCCTACTATACCAGACAGATCGGTTGAAGAGCAGTAAGACTAGAAGCAGCAAACTCAAGGTCCGAAGGTGAAGTCGTACAGAGGTGTGACAGCAGTAAGGTGTTTCCTTCAGACAACCAGCATAACAGCGATGCTGCCTTCCCACAAGGAGGGGTGGGGTTAGAAAAGGTCGACCCTAAAAATGCACACCTCGCCTTATCTCAAGGGTTTCCGTCTCCGTCGGTAAGGTCCCAACAAGTACGGAGCTAACACAAAAACTACCCACAAAAAGGTGTGTGACCGACCTCAAGCAGTTGTCTCTTAGGCACTGCGGTCACGCTCTCAGGTCATTAAGACCACTTCTAACCCGATTTCCTTTTCAGGTACCTCTAGAAAAACCCTTCCGCGGTTTGGGGCAACCAGGAATTGATAGCTGCCCCCATACCTCTAACAGCAACAGACTGACTGCGTTATTTTGGTAGTTGACATTAATTTGTTATTAGAGTAAGCAAACTTATGTGGTATTTATCCACAGGGTATCAAATACACTTCTCATAGCTCTAAATAAGGTAGATCCTTAACGAATAGGATAAAGTAACCAAGAAGATTCATGAAACACCGGTGAACACATTTTTTCCTTTTTTCTTGACTTTGTCAAGTTATTAAAGTGGTGGTGGTGGTGTATCTATGCATGTGTTTCAGGAAAGCAGCGCAACTAGTGAGTTATTTGGGTAATTAAAATAAGGCCTGAGTTGAGGATGTAAGGCAACTCTCTGTGTTTAATCTTCGTTTTCTCCGAAGGATTACTGACACCTAATAGCAATACCATTTTGATAATTCAGAGTTTCGGTATCATGTGTTCAAGCACAGTGACGATAGTTCAATTAGTGTCATTATCTTGAAACATTGACTTCAGTGGCTTGAACATGTCCTGCTGGTGTCGCTCCAGAGAATTCCACGTTGTGCACTATTTGCCGACGTTGGGACTGGTTGGAAAAAGCGGAGAGGTGATCAGTGTATGATGTGGTTTCGTGACGTAAAAGAAAGTTGTAGAGGACTGACTTCTGTTGCTCTTTTATGACTCCCTGACTGGGGTCCTAGATATGGTGCAACACTGTCTTGAGAAGTTATCAGACATGTTTCAGAATAGAAGCCAGTGGCGATCCAACTGGCTTTTTTTCTTAACTGAACTGCTTCTCTCATTGTTAATGTTATGATAATAATGGTAATATTATTATTTCGATCCCATATACGAATTTCTATTCAGTTTTATTCTACTTTTGTCATACTCATCTTCTTTTCTCTATATCTTCACAAACCCATTTTTACTGTATGGCGCAGATTCATCTAGGTGCCCCCCTTGTACTAACATTTATGTGTTCAAATAAATAATACAACATTTTGTAGGTAGCGATAAAGTTATGAACACACAGTTCGACATTGTAGTAAGTGGACTTGTATAGTCTTGGATGCATTCTGGAATATATTACTTTCTAGATGGTACGTGATATTTTAGGCATTCTGACGACTATTTTACAGGTTATCGATTGTTTTATTTCAAATTTTGGACATGATTTATATCATGTATACATGTCAGTACAATAATAGGTAACCATTTTAAATGAAAATTCTTCAACAACATTTACTATTTAGTATTGTATGTTTGAATCTTCCCATCGATGTGTTAGGACTGCAACTGGTCAGTCTCTAATTGGCATATGTGCATACATGGCGTTGAAGCGAAAGGTACTGGGTTCGAGTCCCACAGTGAACATCAACTCCGCGATGCAGGTACATCCAGCTGACGAGTCCCAAATAGGACGAAACGCGCGTCTTGGATTCCACTGTTAGCCACTATCCATCTCTGCTTGCCAACATTTACTATGTTCGTCATCATAATTTTTAATTAGTATCTTACTATAAAATCCGGAGAAATTTATTGAAATAACAAAATTGTTCTTTAATAGCCTTGGTTATATTGAAGAATGATCAATGTTTAATATCGTAGGAGTTATTTAGAAGATCTTGTAGAAGATTTGTAGCTCAGATAGATAATTTAGATAGATTATTTTCCTCTGAGCATGATGGGTTGGTCGTGGAATCTTCATTGTTCTTCTGAACAACATCATCAGCACAAACTTCAGGTAGAATTGAAGTGTTCGGATTTCCTAACATATGACTCACAGCTTGTCCTGTCGACCTCTATCTTGATCGGTCGACCAAACCATCCAAATCAGACAACAAAACTCCACCTAAATAGTTAGAAAATGAAAGGTTTTGTATACTTTTCCAACTAACATCAATGCTACAGTATGAAGCACGCTGTTATTTATCGAAAATTTAAAAGTATCATTGAAAATCAACTGATCAAAGAATGCAAACTTCAAGGCATCAGGTTGTGGTTTCATATATGTAGCTTAGAAATTTCAAAATGGCAATTTAAAACAACGTGTTTTCTCTAGTACACCATTGATTATGTGAATTCATTCTTTCTTTTTGGGTCATATATTCTATATTATAATCTACTTTACTACCACTGGTACTACTACTATTACTACTACCACTATGTCATTCATCTTGATAATTGTATCTGGTTGTATGGATATAGTGTAGCAATTTGGTATAATGCACATATATACTAGGTTCTGAGTTCTTTATAACTAAATGATCAGTCGAGTGTTGTTAGGAAATATTACATTTCCGGTACATTATAATATCAATAAGTTCAATATTATGATGTTCCTTTGTTTCTTTTTTTACGAATTTTAGGATCGCAGTATTGCAGTATGGGATATGGGTCCTTGGCCAAAAGATGTTCAGTTACGTCAAGTTCTTGTTGGACATCGAGCTGCTGTTAATGTTGTTGATTTCGATGATAAGTACATTGTTTCAGCCAGCGGTGATCGTACAATCAAAGTAAGTAGTCTTATTATATTCATTTTCAGATTATTATGTCTTAATTTATTAAACTTCAATCATCTTAGACTTGACTTTCAACTTGTTTGATTGATTTTCAAATAATTATAGGTTTGGGCTACGGATACATGTGCTTACGTGCGTACATTGACAGGTCATCGTCGAGGTATTGCTTGTCTACAATATCGTGATCGATTAGTGGTTTCTGGAAGTTCCGATAATACAATTCGTATATGGGATATTGAGACTGGTGTGTGTTTCAGAGTTCTTGAAGGGCATGAAGAACTAGTTCGGTGTATTCGCTTCGACTCTAAACGTATTGTATCAGGTGCTTATGATGGGTTAGTGTTGTTGCTATTATTATTATTATTATTATTATTATTATTATTATTATTATTATTATTATTATTATTATTATTATTAATATAATATTGTATACAATCTATGGAAAGTTTCCCCTTGTATTTTAAATTTCCTCAAGGACAATCAATCAGTCATGAACGGCATAAAGACTGACACATGTCTGTTGGTTCGAGCTGCCACAGTACACTAGCACATAAAAATGAAAGTATCAAGACAAATCTCAGAGTAGTAGAGACAGTGACAGTTTTAATGGAATCATAAACACTCAGCATAGATAATACGTCTCTATAGAACTAAAAAATTAATTTGTTAAACAAAATATGTAGGATGATTTTAAAACTCAAGATCTATGGTAAGAGGAAGAGTAGTGAGTGCTTCTGCACCACCGCCACTGATTCTGAATCATACTACCTAAATTATCTAATCATTATTTGCGCAAATTATATGGTCCTTAACTAGGTATTCTTCATCTATCTATATAACTCAGTTTCACTGTCAGTGACTTCATAAACTGAATTAACATCTTGATTTGTTCACCCTTTAACTATCGTCCAACCTACTACACCAACAAGCGTTCCTTGTCATGGTAAGCAATTATTGGAGATACGTAATACATTTTCTGTCCACTTCTGTCGATGAAGATCCGCTACTTCAAGGAAGCTAACATATAATAATTACTTCAATATATGTTTTTTTTCGATTTCAGTTAACGGTTTTCAAAGACGTTCTTGATTTTATTCATATTCCATTAGATGATAATAAGTTCTATTCTATATAAGAGAAAATCCTGTCCAATAAGTATTAATTAATTGGTTGTGTAATACATGTATTCATTATTCTATTATGCCCCCAAATGCCGTGGTACGGACGAGAGTGGGGAGAATCCGCTCTCCCTCTCGAGATTCTCTCACATGGCCACGCGTATATAGCCTCCATCAGGGAAGTCCTACTCACTGCCTTCTCATGGCGGGGGTGTTGTTTACGTAATTACGACGATGAAAAGCGAATTTCAGGCGCTTTAACCGGGTGGACACAGAAAGTCCACCTAGGTGGGTTGGAAAAGCCTGATTCCCAACCAATGGTGCACAGGGGCTCCAGTATCCTGAGGGAACAAATGGCGTATGAATCAATCGTTGGTCACCGGCTACCATGGAACTGCATCTCCTCACAATGCTCCACTGCCTTGTAGATCAGACCTTTAGGTCAAAGGCTCCGGGTGTGGCCCCATAAGAAAACCACGTTCTTCGGTTTGGGCACCCGGGCAGTATCATAGCCCTCACACAATTCAAATGAGATTTGTATGGCGCATATGTATCTGGTGCCTCCTTGTACCAATTTGTGTTCAAATAAGTAAATAAAATAAATAAATATTCTGTTGTATATGGGGAGTAAAAATTATGTAAATCATTCAATAATGCTGCAATACATGGGAAAATAAGTGGGGTATTTATGGATGATCATAGTTTACAGAAAGATGAGCCAATGTTAGCAATTAAGAGTGTGTGTTGTGTGCCACAACATTAAAAGTCATAACTTCAGTAATTGATTGACTCTTTTTTGTTACATAACCTATGCTTAACTTTAACTAGGACTCTATAAGTCCTATCACGCACAATATGTTCATCATAAGAAGAGAACTGACATATTTTGAACAGTACAATATATATGAGCCCTTTATTCCATTAATCACACTTGATGGCGAAATTCTGTTAGAGGTTTAATGTTTCACTTATCTGGATAGCATCATTGATGAACAAGGAGGATGTGATGCAGATGTAAAGGCGAGAATCGACAGAGCAAGGATTGCATTTCTGCAATTGAAGAACATATGGAACTCAAAACATCTCAATTAATGTCAAAATAAGAATCTTCAATACGAACTTCAAGACATTCCTACTGTACACAGCTGAAACGTGGGGAACTACTAAATCCATCGTCAAGAAGATACGAGTATTTATAAACAGTTGCGTACACAAAATACTCAACGTTCACTTACCGGATACCATCAGCAACAGCCTTCTGTGGGAGAGGATAAACTGGCTTCTAGCTGAAGAGGAAATTAAGAAAACACGTTGGAAGTGGATCGAACATACATTACAGAAATTACCAAACTGCATCACAAGGCAAGCCCTAACATAGAATCCGGAAGGGAAACGGAAAAGAGGAAGGCCACAGAATACATTACGCCAGGAAACGGAAGCAGACTTGAAAAGGATGAATAACAACTGGAAAAATCTGAAAAGGATTTCCCAGAACAGAGTTGGTTGGAAAAAACTGGTGTGCGGCCTATGCGTAAATAAGTAAGTATTCCATTGCTTACTAGTATTTGAAAATATAAGCTCTAGGTAGGTACAGTGTATTTTTGATTAATCGATCACTAAATAACATTGTCACTAATTTTATGCTTGTCTAATCACTTAATACGGATTACATTCTATCGATCAAATGATTATTTAATTACTAGTCTATGTGTATTGAAATCATGTTCACTATAGTGATATGTATAAAATGTTGGTTAACTGCAATTCACTGTAATTAGATTTCATTCTAGCTATTGATATTAGTCGACAAGAGGTACTTGAAATCTTTGAGAAAATTAATTTTCCGAAGGGGTTTGGTGGAGATTTTATTAATTTTTATAGAATTTAGTTCATGAGTCCAATGAAGCAAGACTACCATAGAAAACCTGGAAGCACTAGACGGCCATATCATCCTATTGTGGAACTTCTCAACGGTGCGCATCCACGATCCTGCCTCACAAGATTCGAACCCAGGACCTACCAGTCTCGCGCCAGAGCACATAAACTTGACTCATGATCTCAACTTTATAAAATTAACTTTGTTTGATTATTTTTTTATAATAAAAATTCTTACTATATGTAACATTTTAATGTTATTCATCATTGTTCATTCATTTGATTAATTTTACTTTACAGTAAAATTAAAGTATGGAATTTAAAAGCTGCACTCAATCCTCGTTCTAAACCAAATCAATTATGTATTCATACATTACAACAGCATACTGGTCGTGTATTTCGTTTACAATTTGATGATTTTCAAATTGTTTCATCATCACATGATGATACTATATTAATATGGGATTTCGCAAGACCAGCTACTGGTAGTGAAGAACGTGATGATGGATTTGATGATGGAATAAATGCTGCATTAGCATCACAAAATAATTGTTTATGTTCATTAAGATCAGCTGCTGTACAATGTCAAGTACAATCAGATAATATTAATACTGGAGGTGGATGTAGCAGTAGTAGCCATCCTACTACTACTACTACTACTAATAATAATAATAATAATGATAACACAACCGACAACAACAACTTAACACCCGTCGTCATGGATAATAAGAATAGTGTTACTGCTTCCATCTCCACTACTACTATTACTAATGCTAACACTACTACTACTACCATCACTAGTACTACTACTACTACTACTACTATTAGTGGTAATAATAATTTCAATAATCCTAATAATTCCATCATAAATTCATCGAAATCTAGTTTTATTTCATCAACTAATAATAGAAAAATTTAAAGAGAAAATCTAAATCAAATTTGTTGTTAACAACTTATCACAATATCCATATGATCATTCAATTCTGATTTAACTTGCACAGTAATTTGTTCTTCTTCTTCTACCTATTTTCTGTCTCTTCTGTCGATGTTTAATGTTTCTATTATTCATGTTTATCTTTGGAATGATGTTGAGTATTTAGTTATTTTTACTCATGCATATATATATACATCGGCCTATTGTTACTCTATTATCAGTGTTATTACTGTTTTATTTTTGGGTGTGTTATTTTACAACTTATCAGTAAAATAATCAGCCAGAACATGATTTTTAAGTGTTTTTCTAATGGTGTATAGATGGTTTCAACTTCCCGGTTACTATGTACACTGTGGAAGTGTACTTCTTTCCGAAGTATCTGAACAGGGAACTGGATAATTAGTGGTCTGGACGATATGAACCGTGAAGGTAAAACCGTAAAAAACAATTGTTTTAAGGTCGATCATATATGGGTTTTTTATGACATTCCATGATGTGTTAGTTTTATACTTATAAAACCATACCGAAAGCAATGGTAATCCGCAGAACAAGGTGAGTTAGTGCATATTTAGGGTTGATCATTTTAACTTCTCCCTTCCCTTATGGGAAGGCAGCATCTCTGTAGATACTGATTGTCTGAGGGGAACATATTGCCACCGTCGCATCTCTGCACAGTCATTAGTCTGACTTTTTTGAAACTTGATTTGTTTTTGTCTAGTCTTATTGTTCTTCGACCGACCTGCCAAACGAACGAGTGTCCCAACTGTTGTAACTAAGTTCGGCTAATTATCACGTGATTTATTCGCCAATCAAAATACGACTTACTCAGTCTTAGTACTGTGCTAAACCAATAACGTTAGGGCGGTATGAGCAGCCTAGCGTCCTTATTGGTCCTTTGTCCTCCTAGCCTTGGAAGTTGAGTCCTGAACGCCAATAACAGCTTCCACTATGTTAATCATTTATTTCAAACATACTTGAACATAACTTAAGAATAGTAAATCGTATAATGATAGTCTATAAGTCAAAATAAAGCTTATAATAAGAGGATGATAGATACACATACTCTAGTTATTGAATAGTTGTACAATAAGAATATATATGTAATATTAGTCCATTAATAGTTCTCAGATGTTACCCGTAGTTTAATCTTCACGAGGATATAACACCAACAATATAGCCCGTCTAGGTCATTACAGTGTACATACCGACCTATAACTTCAAGATAGCAGCTGTAGTCAGTCACAGCTGAAATATTCTTAGATGTAGCGATTGGTTTTTTTTCAATAATCAGGTTCTTAAGGGCAGGATTGATTAAGATGAGTGGCTAATGTTGTTGATTGGCAGGACAAAACTTGATATTATGGTATACACCAATTGGTCATTGTTCGGTAACGTTTTTCAAGTCCGTTATTACTGAGCAGGTTTAAGTTCTAGTATGTCTATTGATCTTTGAGTAATTTGACATTATAATAAACTTTGGATGAAGCCCTAGTGTTATTCGACAATCAATCATATTTCCCGTTTTCAGGAGATTAATGTGTTCCGTGCAGTTTGATCCATACTACAGTCGTTGATGTTACCACTGTGTAGGTATTATCCTCTGTCTGATATGATCTTAATAATTAGTCAGTAAGTAGTAACAGTTGTCCTTTATTTTCTATTCATTACTACTGATTTAATTATATTCACTATTCGGAGCGGGTTTGCAAAGAACTACAATTTATGGTCTCTAAGCTAGATGTTTGAAGGAACCCCTGAACCTGTATTTCGTGTTGTTTGGTACTCATCATCAAGGTGCACCTTTAGTCGTGGGGCAACTGGTTCTTCACATGGGATGCGGACCCTTATCACTCAGCCTTACAGTGTGAAATGCTATTACTGAGCTATTCGTCCCGATACTGACTATCGAATACTCCGGGCAGTTTGAATAGATTGCTGACGCTTATTGATTCATGTTAATTGAAAAAGTGGGATGATCAAGTGCTGTGAAATTCAAACACACAGCTATCGGATATCTTCAAGGAATGAAGTGTAGTCTCACAGTCATAATTAAGACGTGATAATTTCGAAACGTTGTGGATTAAATGTTATGAAAATACATTAATAATCTGACGGACAAAAAGTTATTTAAATGCTCTTTAAACAATGGCTAATCACATTTACCCTCGCAGTGAACCCTACTATCTAGTTAGATACATGTTGCTTTTCTATTTTCTAAGAAGTTTAAATACAAGAAAACGAGATCATCCTAATTTACTGGGAGTACTATATTATCGTCATATTACTTGAACCTTCTATTTCTCCCCTAACTTGTTTAGATGAGGTTTTTTATTAGGAAGTATATTATCCTATCTCATACAGAATGTTACGAATTAATCTATTGCTTTACAACCCAAAGTTACTTACTTACGCCTGTTACCCCTCGTGAAGGAGCATAGGCCTCACACCAGCATTCTTCATCCAACTCTGTCCTGGACAATCCTTTCCAGTTCTTTCCAATTGTTATTCATCCGCCTGTAGCTCTTCTATAGTTACTGCTGGTCCCAAGCCCGGGTAAAGGAGGAGGGTTGGTCATGGGGTTAGGTACCCCATCCCGTAGAAAAACTAACTCGCTACAAAAACGCTAACCAGAAAAAATCCAAAGTTGTCCATACCAATATTATTTAGATCGGATTTAAGTATTCAATTGGCTCTTTTACTAAACTAAAATTATCCTGTAGACTTCAATGATGCTTAAACTTTGTAGTATCCTTTGTTAATGATGTTAGACAGACGAAAGTCACTATTCTTTTATTTACCAGGTCAAAATCTAAGCAATGATGTGACGTTTCTTCATTGAGTTAGATATGTGATCATGTTAAACTGATTAGTTGATTAGCTAGTAAACCATGTTTACCACAGTTTTATGTCTCTAGTACTGAGTGAATTCAAATTACATATATATTGTACAGCGATGTAGATGGAAAAAGCAAATTACTCAACTTGATATTGACTTCTTAACAATAGAAATTCATAGCTAAGTTAGTACCAAGAAATAACTTTAGTCAGATAATCATTGAAAATCAGAAAGTATTGAATGGTAGTCCTTTGAAATGTACATCCACAATTACTTGAAGGAACAAACTTAAGACATTTAGATTGTTTAAGACCAAACTATGGGACAAATCCGTTATTGCTTACTTACTTACGCCTGTTACTCCCAAAGGAACATAGGCCGCCGACCAGTATTCTTCAACCCATTCTCTCCTGGGCCTTCCTTTCTAGTTCTATCCTATTTTTGTTCATTCTTCTCATGTCTATCTCCATTTCTCGACGTAATGTGTTCTTTGGTCTTCCTCTTTTACTCTTGGCGATCAGCAAATGATGATCTGATGCTTTGTCAGCTCCTCTCCTGGTTCTCACATCCTCCATCGTCCTCCTGAACTTTTTGTTGATGTAGATATGGTCGATTTGATTCTGTGTAGTGTGGTCCGGTGAAGTCCATGTGGTTTTGCGAATGCGTTTGTGTGGGAATATTGTGTCTCCTATGACCAGTTTGTTGAAGATACATAGGTTTACAAATCTCTCCCTATTTTCGTTCCTTTTTACCAGTCCATGACGTCTTCATATCCTGTGTTATCCATTCCAACCTTGGCATTGAAATCTCCCATCAGAATGGTCAGGTTCATTTTTGGGCACTTCTCGACGACCGACTGCAGCCTATCGTAGAATTGGTCTTTAACGTCTTCATTGGAGTCGTTGGTAGGCGCATAGCATTGGATGACGTTCATTGTAATGCCCTCTTTCTTTGTTTTGAAGGAGGCTTTGATGATCCTTGGTCCATGAGATTCCCATCCTAAAAGTGCATTTTGTGCTTGTTTGGACAGCATCAGTGCAACTCCTTGTGTATGTGGGGCATTCTCTTCTTCATGACCGGAGTATAACAGAAGCTCCCCTGAAGATAGTCGTTGTTGTCCAACCTGCGTCCAATGTGTTTCACTGATCCCAAGCACCCCTGGTTGTATTTCCTCATTTCTGCAGCGATTTGGAAGACTCTTCCGATCTTCGACATTGTTCGGACGTTCCATGTACCTATAAAAGTTGTTGCTCTGGTTGTCATAAGGTGCATTGGCCTCGTGACTTCCGAAGGAACTCGGCTTTCATAATGAGGCGTCATAATTCTTCCTTCAACTCCCAGGGCAGAGTTTAAATGGTTTGAATAATTTCTTCTGGTTAGCGGCTTTTAGTGGGTTAGTTTTCTACAGGATGGGGTCGCTAACCCCATGCCCAACCCCCCTCACACGAGCTTTTGACCATTGAATTGACATCCAACGGTGTTATTGTCTAAATGCAGTCGATCCATTATCTTACTCAACCTTCCATTCATTGTTTGAGGTGGATAACTGTCTCCACCTACATGGATCGAACTCCGCTAGTGACTGCTTAGTTTAATTAAATGCACATACTTAATTTAATGGCTATCAATATAATAATACATTCATGCATATATACATTCCATGGATAGTTTGAGATAGTTTTGGAATAAGAAGGCAAGTTCACGTTTTTTCAAACCCAGTATAACATTTAATGACGTATGTGATACTTTGATATCGATTTTATTCTCAGTGTAACACTTTAAGTTAGTACGATATTTTCTAGTATAACATTATTCCTTGTTGATATGTTTATACTAATCATGTGTAAAGTTTGTTCAGTGTGATAGTTATATTCTTTATATATTTCACAGTTAAGATGATGGTTAGAGGTGGTGAACAGGAAACCGTGGACCTAGGTTTCGTGCTACTTGGCACTCGTCAGCAAGGTGTACCTGTAATCTTGAAGGAATTGGTGCAGTGTCAAGCCACCTAGACTAGTGGCCACATTGCAACTTGATCGATAGCATTAGATCAGCACTAAGAAAGACTTGACACACATGACATTGATCACCACTCAGTGATCAATCAATTGTGATTTCACAGTTACTTTGCGTATGTTTTCATATACATGATGTTTGTAAAATCAGTATATAGATTAGTGTATTTTTCGTACTGATGATGCGATTTTGAACGACTTATTTTGTGGATGTGTTTATGGAGAGTCAATAAATCATCATTTATACCAATGTTCATGTTTTTACTTCGTATATTGGGGGACTGCAGTGGATTCATTTTCCTTGTATAAATAGTAGGACCGCGTATGATACAGACTTGCCACGTACATAATAGAGTAGATGCGGATATAACAGCTGAACAATATGCTTGGAGACTATATGCATTGGTTAATTACTATGATGAATGGTTTCTTAACTTT